CTAAAGAACGATAACAGCGAGCATTTAGCAACGAGAGGAAGACAGAAAGCATCGTCATTGTAGAATCATCCATTGCTTTTTGGCTCATTATTAAACTATCTACATCTAATCAAGTGATATCTTTCCGCATTCTAATGCCCACAAAGCATAACTCGTGTACTCTTTAGTAACTTTTCAAAATTTCGCTCTTTAATAGCAATTCCCGTTTCTCTATGTGCTTTCAAAACCATGGCTGTCGCATCGCATATATACAAGCGCTAGCCTATTTCTCTTCCTCTCTCTACCTCTTGTTGTAGTTGACGAAACGGCTCTAAAGGCAAAGGAGTTAGCATATTGGATCAAATCTGGATTATCAGGGCAACGGGGGCAACGTACTCCTAGATAGAGAATGGTAATGTTGCTGACCACAAAGCAAAGGAAGATACCCAAGTCTCTCCACCGATGGTCAAAGCTCAAGTTCAACGGACTGTAAAACTCATCGCCGACGCTGTACGAGCAGTACTCGCAGTTCTGCGTCGAGTTGGACACGAGGTAGCCTGGTCCTCCGTTCTCGAAAAAGGGCTTCATGTACTCGCCGCAGGTCGTGCCGTTGGGGGCGGTGAATCGGTTCAGCTCGCTGCTCTTGCAGACGACCTCAAGCCCGTGCAGCGCAGTCGTGACGCAGGCGCCGATGAGACGAGTGAAGGGGTCGAGCTGATACAGCCAGACTCGCCATCCCTCGGGCATCTGCGTGTACGGAATGGTGACGCCGCAGAAGAGGGCGAAGACGATCGTGATGAATGGATCAAACTGGGTCGAGACGCGAGGCGAGGGAGTCAGCGCCGATAGGCCCTGGCCCAAAGTGACGGAGAAGAGCTCTGTGATGAGCACCATGAAGAATTGGAATCCGGCCCTGGAGGGGGTCGTCTGGAAACCAGGCATGAAGTACAAGGGTAGGAAGAAGCCCACTGCACAGAGGACGGAGTAGGGCATCTCGGCGAGGATAATGGCCGTGACAAACGAAGAGGTAGAGTACATCTTGGATGAGGATTCGCGGAAGAAGAGAGCACGCTTGATGGCGTACATGATCTCGACCTGCGACATGATGATGGCGGGCAGCACGGTGATCTGGAACATGACAAAGACCTTGTACTGGAGGGAGGCCTTGGAGTTGTCCAGGTTGAGATACGTGAGACCGGTGATGAGGGCGACGGCGACGTGAGCGTACAGGCGGGTAAACAGATAGTTGGGCGAGCGCCAGAAAGACCGGAACATGCGTCGGACGACAACCTTCATCTGATGCGAAAGAGGAGAGGCGTACTCCTTCTCGACGCCGGGGCTTGCCTGGTTGGCCGCCACCCGCTCTCGCTTCAGCTCGATAATGGTGTCCTTGACATGGGCAAACTCGGGGCTGTCTTCCCAGATGTCGGCCCAGTCACGATCACCGATCCGGGGCATGCTACCGGCACCGATGGCGTCGAGCATGTATTCGGCAACGTTGTCGGTCGGAGCAGCCTCGGCACCATAGCGAGCCAGGTAGGCACGCAAGATGGCAGCGTCTTTTCCAATGTCGCCAAAGTACACGGTGCGTCCTCCTCGCTGAAGAAGCAGGAGACGATCAAAGTTCTGGAAGAGCGCGGCATTGGGCTGGTGGATGGTGCAGAGAATGGCCTGGCCGGCCGCGGCCAGCTTCTTCAGGAAACGAACAATGTTGAAGGCGCTCTGGCTGTCGAGGCCAGAAGTAGGCTCGTCCAAGAAGAGAAGCAGTTCGGGCTTGGCGGCCAGCTCAACGCCAATGGTGACACGCTTGCGCTGTTCCACGGTAAGGCCGGCCTCGGGGGATCCAATGATGCAGTCGGCAATGTTTTCCATTTCGAGCAGAGAGATGATCTCCTCCACATAGGCGTAGCGTTCGGCCATTGGCGTTTCGTAGGGTTGGCGCAGCTCGGCAGAGAATCGAAGAGCTTCACGGACGGTCTGCGTAGGCTCATGGACGTCGAGCTGCTCGGCATAAGAGGTGGATCGCTGAAACTGCTTTCCGGGCTTGACGCCGTCAACCAGCACGTCTCCGTAGATGACACCAATGTTCTTCCTAGCCGCCAAGACATCCAGCAGGGTGGTCTTTCCAGCGCCGGACGCTCCCATCAAGGCCGTCAGCTCGCCAGGCTTTACATATCCAAAGACATTGTTGAGAAGACGCCGTGTACCACCAGGAACGGGGACATCGTAGTTGAGGTTCTCCCAAGTCAAGACACTGGTCGAATTGATTTTCAGATCGGAGCCTGCCTCGTCAGACTTGTCCTTACGCTTCGCCTCGCGCTTCTCGAGCAGCCTCCTGTTCAGCTCGTCCAGCTCCTTGGTAGGCTTTGCGTACACCTTGAAGCTGTTTCCGCCCATGCCAAAAGTCACAATCTCACCGAGAACAACGTTCAAGAAGAGGAAGAATACAATCAAGGCCATGACGATGCCCCAGTTGCGCCACAAGTCGCCAGGAAGGTAGTCGAATCCCTGGGCGACGTAGTCTCGGCCGCGGACAAAGGTCGTGCCAGCAGTGGAACCGGGAAGAACGCAGACTTGATGGTTGATGTCGGTGTATCCGGGGCCAGAGGGAATAAGCGACTCTGCGGTGCAAGTGAGATCGATTCTCTCAAACTCGTTTTCCATCAGAGAGCTAAACGCGAGACCCAGGACATTGATCCAGTAGATCCAGCGAAGCCACACCTTTTCGGACTGGTACTGAATGAGATAGCCAGACGTGGTGATGAAGAGCGTGATGATGACGACTGCAAACTTGATGGCGGAGTCAAAGTCCGGGCTGACACAACCAAGGATTCGGAAAAACAGTGTCATGGCAATGTTGCCCGACAGAATCATCAGATAAAAGGTGAAGAATGCACCGGCGTCTCTGACCAAGCCCGTCATGAAGTATACAATGATGGAAAAGATGAGAATCTGACTGGCCGCAAACGCCTGGTCCACGAAGATCTGGGCAATCCAGAGGGCCGAGGGCCGGTGAAACGCGTATGCCTTGTGCCGAGCAACCAGTGGCCGCCCCGTCATGGTTCCTCCCAGCTCTGAAAAGGCCTGGAAAGCGTTGAACAAGAGTGCCACAAACAACAAACCACCCTTGCTGAAAGCACTGGCGGAGGTTTGACCGAGATTGAGATACAGAGTGCCGAGAACAATAGCGACTAGAATACTGCGAGTCCAGCCGACGATGAGGTTGAAGCGGTCTTGCAGCTTGAGGATGAACTGTCGCTTCATGATGGACCAGACCTGGATGTGGAAACCGACCTGATAGGGGCTTCGCTTCGACGTGCCGCGCTTGCTCTCCTTAAAGGCAGCGAGGAAGTCTTCGTGAGCTTGCTTCTCCTTCTCGAGATTTGCCTTGTACTCGGCAATCTCATCCTCAATCATTTTCTGATAGCGAGACGCCTTGAAAGCCGCCAAAAGGGTGTCGGGACTGTGGGGGGCGTTTTCCGCAGACCTTCCGGGCTGGTATTCGCGCTCAAACTCGTCGGTACATCCAGTGACATAGTCGGGCGTCGTCTGTCTGGGCTGCGGCAGGAAGCCGAGGCCCTCAAAGTAGGCACGGGCTTCCTTTGCGGGACCAAAGTAAACCTGTCGTCCCTCATCAATCACCATGACCTTGTCGAAGAGGTTGTAGATGTTCTCAGAGGCTTGGTACAGGGAGACGAAAGTGCAAGTCTTGTAGAGATCCGTCTGGATTCTCAGGCTCTTGGCAAAGTCGAGTGCGGTACTGGCATCGAGACCACGCGTGCTGTTGTCCCAGCAGAGAATGCAGGCATTGGTGATCATCATCTCGGCGATGGAGACTCGCTTTCGCTCACCACCAGAGACACCTCGAACGAACGCATCGCCGACAATCGTCTTCCTGGTATGCTCGATGTTGAACATCTTGAGAAGGAGAGTGATGACGTGCTCCTTGAACTCGGCCTTGGACATGTTGCCCGGTCGCTTGGCAGGCATCTTGACGTCCAGGGCGAATCCCAGCGTCTGCTCCACGGTCAACGTAGGGTGGTGAATATCGTCCTCGGCGTTGTAGACAGCCTCACCGCGGTATCGCTTGAACTCCTGTGCCGTCCATGGTCCGTAGAACACATCGCCGGTGACGCTGGTGTATCCATAGCGCTGGTTGGCAATGGCCTTGAGGAAGGTGGTACATCCGGAACCTGGAGTTCCCAGAACCAGAACCATCTCTCCAGGCTTGCAGACGCCCTGGAAGTTGTCGAGCAGTGTGGCCTCTGTAAACTTGGGGCCGAGGCCGACCATGCTCAGCAGCGGGGTGAGGACGTTGAAGGTGTCGATGAAGGCATCGGGGAAGGTCTTGACGAAGTTGGTGAAGCCACCGATGCCCTTGACAGTCAGGCCATCCCAGCAGGTGCCAATGTGCTTCGATCGAATGCCAGCTTCGGTGCTGGCATCCAGGTCGCCTCTCAGAGCAGCTTCCAAATCGAAGAGGGAGGCGTCGTCCTCTGCCGTGACGGTGGCTCCCTTTTCCGGGTCGGACGAAGACTGGTGCTTGTTCTTGCGACTCGCTCGAGAGACGCCGGTGAACTCGCGCTGTAGGCCAGCAAATTGAGCTTCGGCTTGCTCAACAGAGACGCCCGTTTGGACTCTGGCGAGCTCATTGGACGAGCGCTGGCCCTCAACATGAGTTTCCACAGAGGTCGAGTCCAGCTGCTCGTTGAGGTCCTTTGCCAGCTCCGAGTTTGCCGTACTGGGCAGCGACTCCCCATTGGGAGGCTGCTCCCCTGACATTGTTGCTGATGTCGAGAGGACCGTACAATGTTGTTGATGATGTTTGGAGTAGATGGATAGTGTCGTCGAGAGGAGGGTTGTCTAATATGGCACCTTTGAGGCACTCGCGTCGCCAAGAGCTGATGAATGAATGATGAAGAGCGTAAGAAAGTCTAATGAATAGACGAAAGAATATTAATATTGTAGATAATATAACGGCGAGCCAATGCAATCAATTCTCCTGATCCGTTTGCCTTGCAATGCTGGAGGACCAGATGAAGATAGAAAAGAGTAAGCGGTGAACTTGGGCGGTGTAATTCTACCAGCCGAAACCACAGAGCAATTAGTAGGGAAGGAAGATGAAAGAACACTCCGCACCACAGGTTTGTCGGATGACAACCAAGAACTGGCTATCAAGCGATGGCCAGAAAATCTCCAGGTGAGCAGAACCCAGGAGGCCTGGAGTTTTGTAGTCTTTTTCTGACGGCGAAAGGCAGAAGAAAAAAGAAGGGAAAAAAATCGGGCCAGCGGAGTGTCAGGGGATCTTTTGCCCGCCAAGATTTCCGGGGCCTGATAACGGCATCGCAGCTCGCCTTATGACTAGGTAGGCAACACGACGAAGCTCTTTGCCGGCCAACAAAGCCCACGGTCCACCCACAGGGCGGGCGGCTGGTTGCCGCAGCTCGAGTTTGCCAGCTCAGCTGTGATGCTTGACCGTCAAAAGTCCGAGAGAGGGGGGGGGCAAGCCCGGAGCTACAGCCGTGCGCATGGTAAAACCCGGCCAAGCGGCGACGAGAATCCACTCTGGATGCAGAGTTTGGGGGGGTTACCGGTGGCAGTGGGGGCGCTTCAAGGAGGGCTGCTGTTCTTGTTGACTGTCGAGGAGCAGGTACACGATACCTACAGCATACTACCGGACGCTGATGCTGCCCCCCTTTACGAGTCTACAGGCGCGAGGTACAAAGTACGACTCACGATGGCGACGAGGATGACATGAGAACACTGTTGGACAAGCGAGGTATTGGAGACAGTCACGCCGTCAGACAGAAGACATCAAATACATAACGCGGAAGAGATACATAACGCCCAAGTACATACTGTAAGGCTGGCCCTGGCCGTGACGACGGGTACAGGTTCCACAAGGCCAAGCTGCCAGGCTCTGGTGGACTTGCATGGTCGACGTGAGCAGCTCCCTATCCCCATGCTTGCGGTCTTCGAACGGCACATTGACGGGAAATTTCTTATTAATACAAGCAGGCTTCATTTCCGAAAGCGGAAATACGGAATTAGACGAGCCAGTTTCTCATCAAGGTGTCGTGGTTTCTGGCTCATCAGCTCACCAACAGCTGCTAGAAGCCCAACTGCAGTTCACTGTCCATCCAGCTGATGGGCCTCTTCCCGTGCGTGTTCGACAACGCCATGCGGTGGCAGGCGGTAACACGATGTGTGTTAAGGAGGCTGTACTCCCCGCTTGCACTGGATGGCGCCAGAAAGGGCAATTCTCCCAGGTTCAACGGAGGAACGGCGTGCAATCAGTGGCGCTGCGACTTGTCAGAGCCGTGGGGCAGTTAGTGTGAAGACGATTCAGCAATTCCGAGCTCGAGTCTTACGGAAGTCCCAGAAAGAAGGATCGTGCTCAGCTAGAGAGTTTGTGAGCCGCTACTGTGTACCACGCTGTCCCCATAGCAAACTGACCGATAAACAGCCTACTCCCCAGACATTTGGCCTTTGTTCTTTGGCGACCATTCGAAAGACGAAAGCCTCAATGCCTGGGTGTCATGACTGAGAAGCGGTCGAAGCAACTTCGTCCACCACCGCCAGCACCAAGATCATGTCGCGGTTCAGGCACCCATCCAATTGCTACGGCGATCCACAGCTCTCCCTTTTGCTCGGGTGCAAAGTACGAGTACAGTACAAGTACTCGTACACGGAACGCAGCCTCAATCACCGCCTCTGCTGCTTCTCGCCGGCCCGCCTATGCCACTTGGGTACATACCTCGGGAAGGACACCGACTGCAACGCATCATTGCCGATGTTTCATACGGGACGTGACCGCGCTTGGGGCCAAGGACGCAAACCGCTACTAGTAACAGGAACATGAGTGCCGCCTCGCCGGCTTCAAAAGCGCGGCGCTCGGCGCTCGCTGCTTTCTCTCGCTCGTTCTGCCTTCTAGCACCGGCGGACGGCGGCCCGCCACCCCCCCTGCTGGCCAGGCCGTTCATTGTTGCGGCCCGTTTGAGTCCGCCGGAGAGTCGTGACGAACACAGATTGCCATGAGGAGGCTGAGACACTTATTCAGCCGCTTCTCCTGTGTCGCAGACGGAATCCGCCTGGCCTTGATCATTGTCTCACAGAAAGATCAGGTACCGTACGAACTACGAGTTGCTTCTCACATCAGCTGGTCGTGATGCGTGTGTCGACTCGCCGTCGCTTACAAATTCGGCCTCCTCCGAGTTAGTTCAGCCGATGGGTCCTCTTTCGCCCGCCGGCCGTGACAACAGGATTCTCACCAGCCGCGAACGTTCTTTTCTCTTCATGTCTCAGTGACAAACGCGTGGAGCAATCATCGGGCTCTCATTCGCGCTACTAGCTGTCGGACTCTCCACCCGCCGTCGGTTATGATTAAAGACCATGCTCGCCGGATGACTCCCACACGCAGGGAGCACTACTGTATGGGCCATGCAGGGGGGCGGTATCCGGCCGAGACTTGTTTACCCGCTTACGGTATGGCTAAGGAAGAGCGAATACGCAACGAGGAAAGACACCAATCGGCAAACTCAAGTCGTGAGAGCAGGTGATACAGGGAGCAGGAGACCTCTCATACTTTAGGGAGACGGACTGACTGCTCCATCATCCATGCATACTCGTACATGCCTATCTCACACATGCATGCGCTTCTCTGCAACTGGTAGAAGCATCACTCGAGACGCTTGCGTGACACCAAAGGACCAGAATACTACGCCGAAAGAAAGGACAGGGCGATTCATCATCTCTTACAGCTACTATCAACTGCCTCCCTGGTAAGCAACGACAAGAATCAGCTGCTATTCGCAGATCTCCAGCATCGGGCAACTTTGCAGATTCTAGTGGAGCAGAAAGCTTCCGCGAAGCTCGTACTTCGTAATAAAGCGCTGTTGAGCGCTTAATTCCATTTCTTAATTCCGGCGATGCTTGTCTGTTTTCTCAGACGTGCAGATAACAACACCAAATGTCAAGCGCCCGCGACTCACGACTAAAAGCTTGGCCTTATCAAACCGACACCCCACAAGCGAGGCGATGCGGTTCTCCATCCTGCTTGAACCACCCCTGGCTTCGAGAAGATTCATCCCTGACCACGATGGAATGCTAGTAGTACTAGCCCTGAGCCCGGTACTAGAAGCATCTGTCTGCTCGTAACGAGGGGACGAGGGGCGAGGGCCAGCAAAGCATCAGTGCTGTCGAATGCCAGCAGCAAAAGGGATAGTACATCATTAGACAAACCTGGAGCAGCACCGACATCGATGATGTAAGTGACTGGAGCTCAGGTGGACGTACAATCATCATTCACGCCATGCGTGAATGCATGTATCATACAGGTGGCCATCAGAATCAATAAGGGGCATAACCTGCCTCCAGAGCCAAGTGAAGTGCCGGCGCTACTGTGTGATCCCTTGTTCATCGTCCCTTTCTACTATCATACTTTTGGATACTGTAGTGCAAACTGGGATAATAGCACTAATGGATACCTTACCGTACTCCGTGCTCCATACAGCTTACATCGAATCACGAAACACGAAAGTCCGCAAGGCAGTGAACCGCCTCATTCCGCAAACACGGAGACACTCATTCACGCAGCAGCACTCACGCAGCAGTGCCTTATACGAAGTAAAGGAGTCTGCCACCTATCAACGGAAGAGTCACCCTAGCCCCAATGCTCACCGGAAATACACACAGCGTCAATCCAATTCACGACAGCAAGAGATCCTTCCGCTCCGAGAAGCATCTAGATTATCGACATATTATATGTTCTTGCGCCCCTGAAGCTTCTGTTTATGATTTTTCGCCCTCTATCCAGACTTTCTTTTGACAATGCAGGTGCCTGCAGGGTATTTTGGGCTGGTCGTCATGGCACGTTCATTGGATGATACATCGTCATTTCACGGAAACATCCAGCATCATTTATCAGTCTTCTCCAACAATCGATCCATCACTGCTACATTGCTTATACATCATCCGGTGCGGAATTCCGACTTGCGAGAGGACCTCACAATGTGAAACAATTAACGTCAACTCACGGAAATTCATACGAAAGCATGCCAGACCCCTTACGTACCAATCACCTCGAGGTCCTTCTCAAAGCGTCATGCCATGGCGTTATGTCAACAGAAGCACTGGACCATATTTCTCACACTACAAATATATCAAGCCCGTAAAGGAGAGGACACCTGTGGCTCACTTCCAAGCCGAAGGAGAAGCCGTGATTCGGCAATCTTCTGCTGGCTAGCCAGACCCCCCCCTATATGTATGCTGTCCTCCCCCGTCATTATTACATGACTTCTCCATGAGAAACCGTTGCCACTGCACATGTACCAGTACGAAGGATTCGCAAATACATCCGCCAACAGCCCCCCTCTGAAATTGGCGTCCCACACAAAGGACGGAGTATAATCGTGCCGGTGGGTGATCAGAAGTTCCGGTTCCATGAGACAGAGAATATCTTGCATCAAATGACACACTGGAACTTTCCCGTGCTGAGAATCGATTTCAAGCGGTATATCCAGATGCGCCAGATTGGCTGTCGAGTCAACAAAGGATTGCCGAGAGCACCCTTGTAGACAGAAGTAAGGTAGATAAAGCAGACGGCATAGATTCGAAAGAAGTGAGAACTGAGTAAAAACATCCCTGGTGAGTACAAATAGCAGCGTCCGCGTCCTAAGCGCCGTAGCACTGTAGGTGTTAATAATAAAACTCATTGTTCTCAGCTCAAAGTCTCACCCTGCATTCCTCCTACGTGAAGAGAACTCACGAAGGAGGAGCATGGTTTTTCCTCTGGCTTGCGGACTTGGAGAAGCCAAGACATGTTCTTTCAGAGGCCAATATCCGTCTGTTACTCTGTGATCCTGGGCATGGATGCCTTTCTCGCAATACTATATGGCATTCGAACAGTTGACCCTACCGCCGGTGCGTCTGTCTCGTACTCGCCTATCTCACCATATTAGCCCCTTGAGATTGCCTATGAAGACACAGAGCTATCATCACCGCTGATCTGTTTCTCGTGACGAGTTGCTACGACACGTCTCTGAGGCGTTCCCGAAGAGTATGATCTAAGTAAACCGCATGAACATCACCTGTTAGACCTGCTATAGAATGTCCTCTCTCTGCCATATCTCTGTGCTCATGCATATATCTACCGTGTCGCTTATGGAACAACTTGCTGTACGACGGCAGATAGATCGGCCAGAAGGACATGATACGCAAACTGGGCTCAGCCAACTTACTCCTTATAGAAAAAGCGGTTTAGAATGCCCATTATCGCAGATACAAAGTATTCATTGAATCATCAATTATAGGTTAATATCTTGATGATGCGGTCCTGTACGGACTTTGTCCCGGGACGGCATTGGGTCGGTAGTTCGAGAGCCGTTTGTACCCCCTTTTTGTTTGGTAGTGGCCTCCTTTTTGCTTATAAGATGAATATGTCGCCAGGCACCTTGATGTCACTGCTCAGATAGATAGAGCAGCGGGTCTTTCCATGTTAATAGCTCAGTGTTGAAGTCCTTTAATGCTCATGGAGAGGTAGGTAAAAGTAGCGGGATCAGTTGTAGACAGAAAGATAGGTAAGAGAACGCACCTGTGGAGGCGTATCGGCGTACTGTGTTAGTAGACGAGGTGATATGATACAAGCAAAGACACAACTTTTCCGTATTTAAAGCTTCATATCGCCTCTTCTGCTTCGAAATCGGGCCTGCCCGAGTCGTGAACCGGCTACGCTGTTTGAGCGAAACGTGAATAGAATTCATTGAACAATTGACCTGAGAACGCTACCATTGGTGACCCATGACCTTCTGCTGCCTTGCTTTTCTCAAATGCGCCCTCCCTTGTCCAGCCTATAACATGTGTCATACAACATGATCCAAAAAATAGAGAGAAAAAAAAAAGGTCGAAAAGAGAATGCCAATCCCATTGCTCCGTCTCGATGTAGCTCGTACCTGACGAGAAACAACGCCTGCGATGCAATATCTACCATACCTACCTACCCAAGCCGCGCTCCATAACCCCGAACTCAGATGCACATAGTAATACACACAATCATTGTATGAAAGAAAGCCCCAAGAAGCAAGGCTCGTTATGCTCATACCACCCAGGAAAAAGAAAAGTTATACCGCCTGTCGAACAAAACCACAACTCCAAGATTAGTCAAAGCTCAGGGTCCTCGGTAGTCAGTTGTGACAGATCGTTATCGACATCAATATCGAGGAACTGAGAAGGACTGCCCTGTCTGGGGCTGAATTGGTCGAATAAGAAATCGTCAAGTCCACGATCGAATTGGGAGTCAAGAGTCGCTTCGTCAAGCAGAGGCGTTGGAGTTGCAAACCCGCTGTTTGCCTGGGGCTCGATGGGCGTGTTGAGGTAGGAGATCTCCGAAGGTGAAGGGTTATATTGAGCCTCACAGAACGAGGCACCTGTCATTGGCTGAAAATAGCCTTGGTGCTGCGTGATATATGTCGAGGGAGTAGCGGAATAGGACGGCTGTTGGCTTGACTGGAGGCCCGTTTGCGACATTGACGTGAATGAGAAATTAGGCTGATCCATCTGTCGTAGAGTTGCCGCATTCCTTAGACTTGCAGATCCAGAGAAACAGTCTAGAACAAAAGAGTTGTCACGCAGAACAATGTTGATCTGGTTGAGAAAGTCCCCCAGCAAGACTTGCCCTTGCAGGGGGGATTGGCGCTCAAAAACGCGCGGCAGCCATGTGCAGAAAGCTCTCCGGTACATGACCTCCGGCGCTGGAAAGGATATCGAGCGCGGCAGCTGGGCATAGACTGGGCTCAGGCAGTCGGCGCCGTGGGTCTTCATGAACTTGAACAAACCCCTGAGCCGCTTGACGGTCGAGTACCCAATGCTGGGTTCGGCGATGCGATCCGCGCCGGGGAACAGGATCTGATAAATACGGTTCCACTGCTCCTTGTGCGACTTGGACCGGTCACTGCGGCGCCCGTTAATCTGGAAGCACATGTCTGGGCCAAAGGAGAGGCCGGCGATAAGGTTGGGTCTGGACTTTGACTTCTGGCACTTATGAAGACAGCCGATGGCGTCGTGGTGGCTGTGCCTTAGATGCTGCTTCACGTACGGGATTGTGTTGAGCTTTTGGAAGCAGCTGTAGCTTACGCGGTCTGGGTATCTCATGGCATAGGGGCACATGAAGGTGGGAAGTGCGTCATGGGGTCCGGTGGCGTCCATGCCCATTGTTGTGCCCCTGTGATGCGCATCGAGCGTGCTCACCATCCGCTCCAGGCAGGCATCCACCTCGAGCGCCTGTTGGCTGTTGTAGCGACCGGTTCGTTCGTGTTGTTGTGGTTCAGAAGCCAGGCTGGCGATATAGGTACGGTGGACGTCCTGGACGGCTAGGGTACTGGGATCCAGGGGGTCGTGCGTGCTGGCCGGGTAGGATTCGGTGGCCTGCCACGACGTCTCGCCGAAGCTGTCACTTAACTGGTCGGCAAACAGCCGCGTATCGGTAGAAAAAGTCTCCTCTTGGCTCGAGATGTTGGCATCTGGATGATGACTAGGCCGCAGCCACTGGTTTGTCGAGTCATCGTCATGCCAGTCGAACGAAGCATTGAGCCACTTGATCTGCGACGCCTCATTTCTCCTCTGGACCGCATTTGCCCTCTCTCGGTTGAACTGTATAACATCGCCCAAGTCCTGCACGGGAGTCGTCTGTCTGTACAGAGAATCTGTCGGCATGGATGTGACGATGGACGACGAGGAACCGAGCTGCATCATTGATCGACTCGGCTGGTGATGCGTCTGGGACGGTTGGAAGAACCGAGGGACATTGAGGAGGCCATCGTGGTTCTGCGGCGGCTCGTACGCATAGGTCTCGTAGTATCGGGGCCGTTGCCGTGTATGGAGGGGGAGGCTGATGGGAGGACTCGAGCTGATGCGGATGTTGATGGGCGTTTCCTCGTCTATCTGGCCGGGCAATGGTCGATCGAGGAGGTTGTTCATCGTTCCGGGGTGGAGGGGATCGATCCGGGTGGAGAAGAGCGGCAGCATCTGCACGCTGTGCCCGGGCAGCCCTGAGGGGGCGGCACTTACAGCGGGATTGATGCTGTATCTTCCCCTGGAACTGGCGGGCGCCACTGAAGCTACAGCGATTAGGTTCCAGCCTCAGTTCGGATCGGATCTCCTCAGCTGGGTAAGGCACCCTAGCTATCGATTACGGGTCGACAGAAGCACGCCGACCCAGCCAGGCGCGGCCCGCTCTGGAGGCTGCGGCTATGTGCGGGGAGATGGGCGATGGCTTAGGTTCTGTTTCGTTGCCGTCTCGAGTTGATTGTTTCTAATTCACGAGTCAGTGGCTTGGTCAGACGATGGGATCTGGAAAGGTGGTACAAGTAATAGAATAGAAACCCTCGGACAAGGCACTCCCAATGTCACTGGCGTCTGGAACTCCCGAAGCTGAACTGAACTGCATTGACCGAGGGTTTGCTCGCTGAATTGCTGGATGGACGAGTGAGAGATGGAATCAGTCACCGAGTTTGTTGGTGAGCGTTGGAGGCAGTTATACCCTGATGAAGCCCAGAAAGGTACAAGATACTTCATCTGATCTGGACCCACTCGACCCGGCTTCTGCTGCAAATTCTCGGACTATCATTGAATCGATCAGTTGAGGGTATGTTAGTCCCGACTACCTACCTAAGTACTATCCAAGGCACTAGATCTGTCTGCATTCATTTCATATCAGTACCGGCTTTCTATCTTTCGCTACAATCTGGACAAACGTTCTTGCTTACCCCAGGTAGTCATATGTGTATGGTGCAGTATATGTATCAACAATGACTGCTGTATACACTTTTCCTACCTGTAAGAATGCTTGCTAGACTCCTACCAATTACCACCTCTAGGTAGGCACTCTTGGGCAAAACATGCTGCTGTTACCGTACCAGATGACCACTAAAGCTCGTACTGACGTAGTGTGTCGATTCGTTTGGTCCGCATCATGGCGTCGGTTCCCATCCACTCAACCTTTGTTGAGCCTCAACTTCCGAGCCTCAACTTGGACTCTCTGGCTCGTGCAACGCTATAGCAGAGAACCCAGCACAGCCCCCCCGTTCATTGCACGTCTTTTACAGGCCGCATCCCGGCACGGCACGATGCGTGAGACACCGTATAAGCTGGCAAATCATGGTACGGTCACGACGTTGACGTTGCTCAATCCAAAAAAGCTGCGCCACGCACGGTTGAACTGAGGCTATGTGTATGCAGCTCCAGTCCCATTGCTTCGCGTAGTATGTACCTCCATTACTTCACAGCAGAGGCAAGCAGACCAAGTCCCGGCACCACCGTCATCTGATGCGCCGTGCAGAACGACTTATAGTGCCCGGAGGCTGCCCCTGCCATCCGGTGTTGATATGACTGGGTGATACGTGGTCGAGTGTGCGCTGGCAACCCGTTTCCCCAAGAGAGGCGGAGACTAGAGGCCCCTGTATGATGACTTGTCAGAAGGATGGAGAGCGATATAGAGGTTGGAGCAGCCACAGCAAGCTCTGGAATTGATCCCTTTGGCACGATTGATGCGCCACTGTTTGGGGTTTCTCGTTTGGTGTAAGTATTTGCACCTCTACCCTGGTCAATAGCTCAATAGGTACGCCGACATGCGGTCCAGGCAAAGCCGAGTCCATATGGGTAAAACTTGGGCTGTATCGAAGCAATTGATGCCAATAGCATTATATGTTCCTTTACTGCTGTACTCGCATCACCAGCCACAAGCCATCTTCCCGAGAAAGCGCGACTGAGAGCTGCTGGCTTCCATCCCGTTGGCTTGGCGCGGCCTCCTTCTCTCCATCCCATCTCCCCGATTGTCGGCTCATGGCCTCCGAGTGGCTGAAACACAACGGAGCAAGCATTATCTATGTCCTGTAGCATACGAATGCAATAACACAAAAAACATGAGCCCAGTCCTCCCTTTCTCACTGCTCCGAATTACTTTCCCTTGCGCACCCTAATTTTGGGCAAAAGACACAGCGATGCATCACCCTGGCACTGACCTGGACTATGACATGTGCCTACCTAGAAATTTGAGGCGGTCAGAACATGGACATACTGTACAGAGCCTCCTCTTGGCCTCTTCTCTCCAACGGAGGACCGTCAAAAGATGACAGCTGAAGCGACGAGATCTGCAGTCGTTTAATGGATGCCTGCTCGCTTAGGCTGCCATTCATTGCTTCCACCTTGCGGCGCACATGCATGCATCGTCGAATATTCCTGCCCCGCCATTGCTTACTTACATGTCCCTTGCTCGAACATTAGCGGTTCTTGGAGTCGTTCCCTCATCATTCATCCCGCCTGTTCTGGATCTACGCCTAATCTGCCGCCTTGAACAAAAGCATTCCGAGCTTCGTCATTTTACATTCTTCCGTTCCCCATTGCTTTAAAATTTCCACTGACCCTTGATTGGGTATCCCGGTGGATAGATATTGCCTCACATCACTCAGGCCAAAGCTAATGGTCGACTTCTCTCTCTCCCTACAGGACGATCTTGTCTCCCCTTTTCGTATGCCCAATGCCTCAAGGTCATACCAAATTGCGACTTTGTTGGAACACATGCGGCAGAGTTCTTTTTTTATTCCAGATGGACTATGGGGACGTTGATCCTCCATGTATACATATCTAAGAAGAGGGAGAGAACAGTGCTCAAGACCTTCTGGAAGAAGATCTTCCCTAATGCCTTTTACTTTAACAACATTACGTGCAGTTGAGGCAGGCACATGAATTGATACTATCCTGGAATTATGTCATCCTGCATGTGAGGCTGTCGGCTGGATCCATGTGTACCTTGCCTGTAATACGTGTACAGCCACGAGGGACAATGGACGCAAGAGGCATGAGTGAGATCTTCGAACCAGGACAATACATCATACCTCTCTCTTTGATGGCAAAGTGCTATTACCTACATACATCTGGCTTCACCTGTATCAACTACACTCCTTTCGCCGTTTCGCCGAATTTCATCGGTCGGCTGAACACAAGACTGAACCACGTGAGCGTTTATTGCCTCTATTTCTGCCTTGCGTCTCCAATTCTATCCGCTCTACTGCATAGCCAGATGACGTACAAGGGTAGATCTATATCGTCTAAACGACTCGCAACATGCCCAACTCGGATCTACTAGTCAACTTCATCTGCCCACTCGGGCGGCGGCACAAACGCTCCATCCGGGCCCAACGTTCCCGCGACGTATCTTAGGTAGCATTCTCGTCAGTAATTGAGGATGCCAATTGGATTGACAGGTCAAACATACTTGGTGTGGCTGCCCCGTGCAACGAGCTGGCCCTTGCCGTTGTAAAACTGCACCGTGGTGAATGCGAGCGTCTTGCCGACTGTTGAAAGCGTCAGAACACTGCACAACGATCAAGCTGTCAACGTCACTTACTCTTGTCGCAGATGGAGGTGCCCTTCAAGACATCACCTGGCTTTCCGCCTGGGCTGAGGTAGGTCACTATATCAATGAGGTCAATACCATGATTCCTTGCGATTGCGAGCAGGAGAAATTGCCCTCACCATTCAAGTCGGTCGAGACGCCGGTTGCGAAGCGTCCAGTGGAAGCTACCGCTAGAGATCCTCCAAGATCAACGAGGCTGGCAAGCGTCCCCCCGTGTATCGTTTGCAGTCGGTTCTGGATAAGAGGGCAGTAGGTTAGATTGCTCGAATGCCCACGGCGGACATATCCTCGGCAATTGGTAGCCAACGTACTGTGTGATCCTTATGGATGTCAACCTCAAACTCAACCTTGCCTTCAGTGGCATTGGTTACACGAAACTATTGAAAGCAAGAGATGAGTATCAAACAAAGCCTCTTAGTCATCTGGAATGCCTACTCGGTTCTGCAAAAGTCTGGCGTTGATGCTGTCAACTGGCTATCCTCGGCTATATGACGTTGCGATAGTGGCTTGCTCATACCTGGGCTCCAGGCCGGACTCGGCCATGAAAGACCGCATCACCAACTTGGTGAAATTGAAGGGGGAGAGTCTCTTGGCCATGATTACCCTCAGTGACACTCAATTGATAAGGTGAAATCCTCCCTCAGCACGCACGTTGCATGTGAACTGGAAAAGGCCAAGGTGTTGGCAGTTGAGCCAAGTTGGCAGCACAGCTATTAGCATCTCCCCGGTTATCCGATGAAGCGCCGACGGGTGACGTCTACACGTCAAAGCTCCCATGCGATTAAACTTCACGCGACCTCAACGCCTCGACTTGGAACTTCTGGTCCTCGACCTCGACCTCGACCTCGACATTTGCAAGATCATGCGATAGCCAACATCCTTACTCCTGCCTCCCTCAACGGACCGCAGCCTCGCCGCTCTCGCCCAGCATGTCTATCAACCCTTCCCTCTCTCTCGCCGAATACCTGGAGCGGCTGCCTGGCACAACCTTCAAGAAACTGTACCAGCAGCCCTCCACGACGTTCGCCATCTTCCGGCGCATGCTGCCGCATCTCGCAAAGACTTTCGTCATGAGAATGCTCTTTCTTCCCCATCCCATGACGCTCGCCGACCTGGACGCATGGGTGAAGCCGGAAGCCAAGCGGTTCGGTCTCTCTCTCTCTCTCTTCGTCGCCATTGTCGCACGCTACAAACACACACGGCCGTCTAACGCTGTCGCAGGAAGAAAGACCAGTCCCTCTCCATCCTGCGAAGCCTCCACATTGTCCAGATATCCGCTCCGTCGAAAGAGAAGCCACAGGAGATCCAGCTCATGTCCAACTTCAAGAGATCGCTGCGGCTGGCCCTCACCGGAGGCGGTAACCACAACTCGTTTGGCGTGCCCTCTTCGCTCATGGTCCCGCCCGAGATTGACCTGCCGTTCCTCGATCGATATGCGCGCAAGAAGTGGGAGGACGTGTTGCACTTTGTCGTGTCCAGCGTTGGCTACAAGAGCAGCTTGGGCGAAGGCTCAGGGCCGAACAAGGGCGTCAAGGAGCTCCTCATCGCAGGCCAGCTGGTCGACAGGCGACCAAACGGAAGCTTGGGCATCACACAAGCCGGCTTCACCTTTCTGTTGCAGGAGGCAAACGCACAAGTCTGGACGCTGCTCCTGCTGTGGCTGGAAGTCCTAGGCAATAACAAGTCCTCTGGGCTGGATCCCGTCGACATGCTCTCGTTCCTCTTCATGCTGGCGAGCCTGGAGCTGGGGCGGGCGTACGACACGAATGCGCTGACGGAAGAGCGGAGGAATATGCTTCCTTCCCTCGTCGATTTCGGCCTCATCTACATCCCCCAGCACAAGCGCTCCATGTTCTTCCCGACCCGACTGGCGACGACCCTGACGAGCGGAGGAAACAGCTTGCGGACCATTAGCGAGGGTGTTGCGGCTGCCACCCAATCAGCCCAGTCGTCGCAGCAGTCGCTCGGCCTTTTGGGCGGCGGCGGCACCGGCGAGCAGGCCGGAAGCGTCGTCATCGAGACCAACTACCGCCTCTACGCATACACCCAGTCGGCCCTCCAAATCGCCGTGCTCGCCCTCTTCGCCAAGCTCAACATGCGCTTCCCCGACATGGTCGCCGGCCGCCTGTCCCGCGCCTCGATCCGCCAGGCCATCAACTTCGGCATCACCGCCGACCAGATCATCTCGTATCTCTCCGCCCACGCCCACGAGCAGATGCACCGCACCGCCGCGCTCACCAACAAGCCGGTCCTGCCCCCGACCGTCGTCGACCAGATCCGCCTGTGGCAGCTCGAGAACGAGCGGATGAAGACGACGAGCGGCTTCTTGTTTCGGGACTTTACCGACGACAAGGACTACCTCGACACGGCGCGCTTTTCCGAGGAGATTGGCGTGCTGGTTTGGAGAAACGACAACACGCGCATGTTTTTCGCGAACAAGCATGAGCAGATTAAGGATTTCTTGAAATCCAGGAAGAAGGCTGAGTGAGCTACAGGCTCTGTCCCCCCTTTCCCCCTCGTCTTTGGTTTTCTTTTTTACTTGCGAGGTCTTGAACCTGTCTCGCATTTCTATCAATATCTTTCGTTTCTTTGCGCCGCTCGGGCTGGTGCATACTCGTGTAAAAGTGGTTTCAATAGGCGTCTGGCGTTTGGGAAAATGACAGCTATATACAAGTATATACCTAGTAGGTACGCATCATCGATTCGATGGACGCGGCATGGAGGTCCCTTGGGTACGTTACCTCAATACTAGGTAGGTCATTAGCATACAGGTAGACTACGAACAACTTCAATAATGACAAAAAACCATCCACATGAGAAGAAAACGTCTTAGAAGCTATCTTACAGTAGAAAGTACCCCGAAAAGTAATGTACAGTAGTTCTACATCATTATCGTATTACCCGCCAGACCCCTCGTCATCGTATCCTTCAAACTTGACCCCCCTAACAACCAAACAAAGCTCGAGAAAAGAAAATACCAGGTCCTCTCCAATCCAGAGCAACAGCTACTTCAAACAATTAGACGCAGTATTTTTCCGTGCTATCCTTTCCAGTGTGCCGCCATTTTCCATTCCAAACATGTGCGCGTGCCATTTCAGTGTCATTAGTAGTAGTAACCCGACTCCATTTCCTCAAGGTGATGATGCTTGAGTGGACGAAGGGCAAAAAGAGAAAGGAAAACCTCATCAGAAACAAAGGAGAAAACATATAAAGGAGTGACAGAGCGCTTCGTCTCGGCCAGTGTAGGCCACATTCTTGTTACAGGGTTCAACAATCTGACGAATTGAAATAGAACATCTCTCCCCCATTTCAAGTCACAGTAAGGCGCTTTCCGCGAGAAGCCCTTGAGAGACTGCCGGGCAGAAAGCTCTTGCTCTTGTTCTCGTGGGAAATAGAGCACTGCTGCAGCTTGGAGAAGCTGTGCCTTTCGTTCTTCTTAGAACTGCCAAAGAGCTTGGCCAAGAAGCCCTTCGCTTCCACGGTGCCCATGGAGCCGCCTTCAGGGAGTAAATAGGGGCTGTTATGTCGACGAGCATAAGCTTGCTGCCAGATGTGCAGGGAGCGTCGTGCCTCGGCTGTGCTGCAGAGCGAATCGAGATGATCGAAGACGCGGCGGGCCCGAGCGTCTTCTTCACTGATCGATGAAGTGCTGGACGAGGTCATGAGGCTCCTCAAAGCCGAAGTGGTGGTTGAAGTGGGAAGATGAGAGGCGCGTTGGTGCATGCTGCTGTATGGAGTCCTTGGCTGGACCGAGAAGGAGTCGGCCGGCGAAAGGCGAGATTCACGAGCATCTGAGGCCAGATTCTCGGAGGAGAACCGATCGTGGAGAGCCATGAACCGACCACTCCAGTAGGCGGATGACTGTGCCTTGCTAATCTGAAAAGTTGGCGTCTCCGAGGTGTAGCTTTGGGCCGACCTGGCCAGTGAAGTTGTAGATGGCTGCGCCATTCTCAGCTCTGAAAGCTTGATAGGGGTCAAAGTCGTTCCGCTAGAAGACGGAGATGATTTGATAGAGGGGCCTCCAACGGCGGAAGCGTTGACGGAGCGAGCAGCCAACGATGGTCGAGAGATGGATGTTCTCAATTCATGGAGGGCGCTCATGGTCCGAGACTGTGGCAACTTGCTGCCTGCGCGCTGTGCTGATGGGTTCGGATGGAATAGACCGTCAGATGCTGGGGGGATATTCTCGTCCTGCTGAGCGGCGACTGACACTCTGAGCAGTGTGGTCTTGAAAGAGGGCTTTGGTATGGATGAGGTCGTTGTCAAGAAACTTTTGCGCAGATTCTTTGACGACTTTGGTTCTCGACAGGCCTTGATGGTCGGGGTGGAAGCGATATGACTGCTTTCGTCGGTAGGGCTGCTCGGCAACTGTCCGTCACTGCGAAAACTGTCCGAGATGTGCCTCAAGCTGTGTGTTGGCAAGCGGCTGTGATGTTTGGGGGTAGAGTCACAGCTGGCCGTCTCACAGTCATCGATGGTGTCGACAATGATGAGCCTCTCGCTTCGGATGAGATCGGCACCTCTCGAGCTTTTGACAGGACCAAAGGGTCCAGAGATGAGGGGTCGTCTCTTCTTATCCTTTTCACGGCCTCGCATCTTGCTGTAATCGGCGGCAAAGGGTGCCGAAGAAGGCGTTGTTGGTGTGCTTGGGCGGCGCAATCCAACGACTTTCTGGGAATGGCTCCTGGTCTCGTGGAGGCGCCTGTCGAGGTGGAGGTTGAAGAAGGTTTCCAGCAGAGCGGCCTTATTTACTGTGGCGTAAACCCTGTGACCATTGCCGGGCCTTTTGGGGATGAATTCCCAGATGATAGAAGATGGCTGTTGTCCAGGAGACTTGGTTGATTATTCTTCGGTCACTCTGGAGGAGGCCGGCGCAAGAAGGGGCGCCGAGAGAGGATCGCCGTCGCTCAGCGCGAGGCCTCGAAGGCGGAGTGCGATATCAAACAAGGCTCTCAAACAGTATTTGATGCTGGTGATGAGCTGTCTTGGAGATGATGCCGCCGTTTTGCGTCGTCAAAGCCGTAGACAGCAGAGAAAAGAAAGAGTGCGTGCGTGTTTGGTTGGTCAACACCAAATGGTCTTTGCTCCCCCCCAAGCAACACAGCAAACAACCACACAGGTGGACAAAGACCGGCAGCGGCGCTGAAGGGTCAAGAGGTAAAGACAGCTGAAGACGCGTCTTTGTCCAGAAGATGTCGAAGGTGAAAGACAGACCGACGCGTGGTAGAGCAGAATCAGGCAAATTTCGGGCACAACTGGCAGCAGAATGGCTACAGGCAGCTGTGGCAGGTGCCCGGCGAATCCACCTGCACACTCGCAAAGCCTCCGGCTGGGCAGTTATTCCGCGGGCATGAATCAATGACTTTCTTTCATTCTGCTTGCTCAGGGACTATAGTACCTGCCTCGGACTTGCATACCTTACCTATACTCCAAGATGCTGCATTCGAAAGGGGTTGGGAAAAGGCAAGGCTGCCATTGACTGTGACTCTAACTCTATGATACTAGATCTGCCATGTCCCGCCTTGAAAGTTCATTAAAATTGTCCCTCTGGCCGACCAGTCATTTCCGTCTGAGGCCATGATATCGATATCGACTGTATCGCCGCGTGTCCCTGGCCGTCCTCCATCTTGAGCCTCGACATTACACATCCCGGTATATCGCCCAAACTGGACCCATTTCTAGGTGCCTACTCCGAAGAAGTCGAATCCGTCTATCCTTGACGACAAGAAGAACCAAATAGGTATTCATTCATCCCAGCCGTCAATCTTGAAGCGAAAAGCAACGTCTCCTTCGCCGCGGGGAATCTCGTTTCCATTCGCATCCCACAGAGCGCGCTCGACAAAGGTTGCGTTGCCGTCGTGATCCACCAGAAGCACCGTCTGCCTCTGCGTTCCATACATGCCCTCTTCGAACCCAATGCTCGGGTGCGGGCTCGGCGAGACCTCTGGCCTCGACTCCTGCTTGAGCTCCTCGACTGCCTTCTGATCGCCCTGCATTTTCGCCCAGAGTACACGCCCCTTTGACGTGGCTTTTTGCATCTCTTCACGGTTGACGTCGTCGCCGATGGGAGGCACGAAGATGGTATGCCTCATCAAATTCATGTACTCTTGCAGGGTCCATCCAGAAGGCCGCTCCGGCATGGATTCCGTGTCGAGAATGGAGAACAGGCCTGCAATAAGCTCCTCTTCAGAGGCCTGCTTTGCTGCGGCGTCTTGCGCGACTTGCTTGAGGAGGCGTTTCCCCGTCGTTACTTTGGGCCACTCGTTGGGGTCGTTGTACACGGTGTTGCTGAGTCCCCAGACGCCATCTGGTTCCAATCCGACTATCGGGACGTCGCTCGCCTCGGCCGCCCTATTGCTCACAATGGCGATGCCCTCGCTCTTGCGCTTCAGCTTGCCGCATACCATGGAGAAGCCGCCCACGCCTTTGACACCGCCGTCCTTGACGAGCTCATCCACGCCCCTCCGAAGCCCCTGCTCTCCAAGTCCTCCTAGCCACATATTGACCATGCGGCCCCGGCTCTTGATGCCGGATATCGGGTGCTCGGCATCGTCATTAACGGCTTCCCGGTAGTTTGTCAGTACAGCCAGGCTGCCGGTCTTCGTGATGCCCAGCCAAGTGCCTTTTGCCGCCCTCTGGAGATCCCGCGAAGACAGGACCTCGCCACCAGACTCGGGGTGCGTCCACCAGTGCGGCCGTGACGTAGGCCGCAGGATGAACTCGTCGCGGTTGTCAATGAGAATGAGCGAGTAGCCTGGGTGTGCCGTTGTGAAGAGGACGATGCACATTGTGGCGAGTTGCGTTGTTATATGAGATATAAAAAGCTGACTTTGGTTCAGATGCTGGATAGTGCAAGGCGAGATACGGACTGAAGCTCGGGGAAGCTCATCGAGGTTCCGACTCTGTTATAAAGGGCGAATCGCAGCAAGTGCCGACGTCGGCGCAGCTGGTTGAACTACACAGACAGGCCACGCCCGATCCCAGCGCCTCCTTATACACAGACTACTGAGCTCCCAGGCCCGCGACTGGTTCGGAATATCGCCAAGCTGAGCTCCAGGGATTGGTGCCAGCACATGCCACTACAGACGCTCGCTCATATCATGTCTCTCGGCCAAGACGCAGCAGATGCGAGGCGGTGGTCTGATGCGGGCAGCGGAATGCGCCACTGGCCGGCCTCTGCTGATTTGCTGCTGGGTTTCTGGTGGCGCTACTCGGTGTTAGTGTACGCAAGAGCATGGACGCCAGATGCGCTGATCAACCATCAGGTGGGCTTCCATGCGCTGTGATGAAGCATCATCGTCATCCTCGCGACCTTGAACTCGAATGTGTCTTGTTTGCTGGTTGATAGCATGATTCACAGTCTGCGATTTCTCGGAAGGCTGGAGCATATCGACATGACTTTGCTGCAGCAGCATCACCATCCGAACCCTGCAAGGCTTCTATCCATCCCTGCTTCGTAGGTAGGTTCATTTCCCGACGGAAGTACATGTACGCAAACATCATGGATGATGGCTTGAAAAAGCGCCCCAACAATAACAGATGCCGGTAGCTCCCGCATCCGCGCAGCGCCCGGATACCCTGTGTGGATTGTCTTCAATGTACCCTGTTGAGATACATACCTTAGCATAGATTCACTTCAGATCTAGACGTCGTTACTCGCAGACAGAGGGCCTGGCCTGGCAAACGTCATGCTCTTTCCGATACGCAGAGCCACCAGTCATTCGATGAGCGTTGGAGTATCCGAGATGCTGGGGGTTCGCAAGACCAGTTGAGCCCTGCTCCCTGAGCTGTGCCGTGACGCGCGAATATATTCATTATAGATGGAGTCTTAATGAGATCTTTATCTGCCTTTGCGTGGTCTACTCCACGGAACCGTCAAGGCGGGGTGCTGGATACTGGTACATACACACAACGATGAGCTGCCGCTGATGTGCTCTAGGTAGTAGGTATGTAATCTATAGGTGAGTCCGTTTCATGAGGCATTGTGCTAGACCACATTCTACCTACCCTTTCGTGCCCCATCTCGGATCCGTGCGTCGCGAACAGCTCTATACCCCAGCAAATGGAGCGCATTGCTGTCGGCTTCGTTGTGCTGCTGTTGGTCAATCTCAGAGGTGTTGAGGCCGCCCCTGTGGGACAAGAGCACGGGACGGATACCGCAAAAGAGGAGGCGGGAGTGATTAACGGCGGGGATGTTCAGCATGGAGCACATGTACCTAATCGTTCCATGTGTCCTCTGGCCTAGGTAATGAAGCCTGCAACTGATTAACCCACGAACCAGCCGTCTTTAGGTTGAATTAGCCGATCGAGCCTTGAGTGGCCCGGAGTCTAGAACTGCCAACCTTAATGGCATACCCCAGCCGGTTGGTAGGGTAATATCCCGACTGCTTCCATGCTCTGCTGGAGGGGTCGCAGAGATAGACACACGTGAGCCAGCTTCCTGAACGGCAATAAGCAACTCAGACTATTGATTTTCTTTTTGTTGTAGTGCCGGTTGGTCTGCGTTACTATTAGCCGTCAAAGGCAGAGTGTGCTGACGGGATGCAACATTTCCTCTGCATTTGCAGCGCTAAATATAGGTAAACTGCCTGCTGGTAAAAGCTGATTTGAGTAGGTAGGTAGCCCAACTCCAGCTTCACCACTGCCGTTTCAGCGTCCCCACTGCATGGATCCCTCCAATTGACCCAAGGTCCTCTTGCATTCACCATGGATTGCTCCGTCTCCGCGTCTCTGGTTCCGGGAGGGGGTGGTTAGCTACCTACCTTGGATACCTAGGGATTACTCTGCTTTGTGCCCTGGATATTCAACTCGTGCTCCCATCATCAGGTATCCTACAAGTAACCCCGGCGCTCCTCATTGGCTCGGTGACTGCCGGCGGTTCTTGAAGCTCCAGCGCTCGCCACGCTGAGGGGCGGGAGTAGGGAGTACCAGCAGAGGGGCCGGCTGCGGGCCTGTTGCTCTTGTACTCCGTACTTGCTACCTCTCTGGGGTCGTCCCTGCTTCTCAGCTTCTGGTCGCGATATGCTCAAAATGCCAAGACACGCCGCCCGCTGCTAATTGGAAGGTACGGAGCAGGTACCCAGGCGGTTGCCAGTATTACCAGCACCAGGATGGGGAAGGAAAGGAGCGAGAGCCAACTGCAGCAGGTGCGATTCGATCCAATTGCTGCCAAATCGCCCCCCCAGGGTAAAAAAGTCCCTGCAGCTGCTCTCGCCTCTGCTCCTGGACGCTGGAACCTCCCCTCTGCTGCGCTGGTCTCGGCGGCACTTTTGGCTTACCTTCTTCTTCTTCTTCTTCTTTCTCTCCTTCTGCTCTGTTTCTCTTCGTTGCTCCGTCTTCTTGCTGTCTTTCTAACATTCTTTGTCACGGGCGTTTCCCAGCGCGGTTCTCGCCCATGAGCCCGTGATATCGACTAGTGGCCGTCCGGAGCTCTCCTCAGCCCCCCCTCTGTCTGTGCCTGAGCCGATTCACGTGCGGGCTGCACCTGTTGACCTGCTGCATCTCCCTGTGCCTCTGCTCTGCCCGCCACGATGGCGCGACGCAGGTACAGGCTGTTCATGATATGCGCAGCTGTCATCCTCTTCCTCCTCTACCGGGTCTCGCAGAACACGTGGGACGACTCTGCGCACTATGCCACCCTTCGCCACCCTCCTGCCTCGAATCCTCCAGCCGCAGGCGGAGAGAGTCCTCTCAAGCCCGCCGCGAAACCTGAGCACGAGCACGAGCACGAGAACGGATATGCACCCGAGTCCAAGCCAAAGCCCCAGTCCGAGCCCAAGCCCGAATCGAAACCAGCGCCGGAGCATGCGGCTGGTGGCCAGAAGTCGCAGGGCAAGCCCAGCTACGAGGACGATGAAGAGACAGGCGTAAATATACCCAAGCTGAAGGATTTAGACGACTCGCAACCACCGGTCAATGGCAAGCCGCCTGTCCAAGCGGATGCGGACTCGAAACCGGCAAGCAACAAGCCAGCCTCCACCGACGAGGATGCAGTCATTGAGGATATCCACCAGAAGAATCCGCCAAAGAGCGCTGTCATACCCTCAGACACCCGACTTCCGCCAGACAACAAAGTCCATTGGCGGCCTGTGAAGGAGCACTTCCCTGTGCCGAGCGAGTCCGTCATCAGCCTGCCCACCGGGAAGCCGCTCAAGGTTCCCCGAGTCCAGCACGAGTTTGGCGTCGAATCGCCAGAAGCCAAATCCAGACGAGTTGCCAGACAAGAGCGCGTTGGCAAGGAGATTGAGCGGGCATGGTCGGGCTACAAGAAGTTTGCGTGGATGCACGACGAGCTGTCGCCCGTCTCTGCCAAGCATCGCGACCCCTTTTGCGGATGGGCCGCCACCCTGGTGGATTCCCTCGATACTCTGTGGATTGCGGGGCTCAAGGAGCAGTTCGATGAGGCGGCCAGGGCCGTTGAGCAAATTGACTTCACTACGACTCCTCGGAATAACATTCCCGTCTTTGAGACGACCATCAGATACCTCGGTGGCCTTCTCGGCGCCTTCGACGTGAGTGGTGGTCATGACGGCGGCTATCCAATGCTTTTAACCAAGGCTGTTGAGCTTGCGGAGATTCTTATGGGCATCTTCGACACGCCAAACCGGATGCCCATCCTGTACTACCAATGGCAACCAGAATATGCATCTCAGCCTCATCGGGCCGGCTCCGTTGGCATAGCAGAGCTTGGCACACTTTCCATGGAGTTTACACGCCTCGCCCAGCTCACCAGCCAATACAAGTACTACGACGCCGTGGACCGCATTACCGATGCTTTGATCGAGCTCCAAAAGCAAGGCACCTCCATTCCTGGTTTGTTTCCCGAAAATCTGGATGCCTCTGGATGCAACCACACAGCAACAGCTCTCCGCAGCTCGCTGAGCGAGGCAGCGCAGAAGCAAATGGACGAAGATCTGTCCAACAAGCCCGAAAACTATCGCCCCGGAAAGAACTCCAAGGCGGATCCGCAAACCGTCGAGAAGCAGCCCGCAAAGAAGCAAAGTGCCGGGGAGAATGGCTTCGTAGTTGGGAAGATCGGTACTGAGGACCCACGGGACGATCAGGCTCTCGCTGCGCAGCCAGATGCACCCGCCAAAGGATTCGTGGTTGGCAAGATAGGGCAAGAGGATCCAAGGGATGAGCAGAAGCTTCCCGAGGCTTCTGGGACAAAAGCTGGTGACTTCGTCGTTGGTAAGATAGGTGTCGAGAACCCCGACTATGCTAAGCAAGGGCCTCGCGAGGACGATAAAACGGAGACCCGTCCGTCCGACCCTTCTCTCCGTCGGCGAGACGAACCCGTGGAGAAGGCCAAGCAAGTGCCAACCCAGCAGACGGCCAAGCGAGGGAAACCCCCCTTTGGGGCTAATGGCTTCACGGCCAATTGGGATTGCGTTCCTCAAGGCTTAGTGGTCGGCGGATACGGATTTCAGCAATATCACATGGGAGGTGGCCAAGACTCAGCGTACGAATACTTTCCGAAGGAGTACCTTCTCCTCGGTGGTCTGGAGTCCAAATACCAGAAGCTGTACGTGGACGCTGTCGAAGCGATCAACGAGTGGCTCCTCTACAGGCCCATGACCGATGGGGACTGGGACATTCTCTTCCCCGCCAAGGTCAGCACAGCCGGAAACCCTTCGCAAGATCTCGTGGCAACATTTGAGGTTACGCATCTGACCTGCTTCATCGGCGGCATGTACGGCTTAGGCGGCAAGATCTTTGGTCGAGAAAAGGATCTCGAGACGGCTAAGCGACTGACGGATGGCTGTGTGTGGGCCTATCAGTCAACCGTGTCCGGTATCATGCCGGAAGGCTCCCAGGTTCTGGCTTGCCCAACGCTAGAGAAGTGCGATTTCAACGAAACCCTCTGGTGGGAGAAGCTGGATCCGGCAAAGGATTGGAGGGACAAGCAGGTGGCCGAGTGGGAGGAGGAGAGGAAGTCGCTCGAGAAGCAGCAGTCGAAGAAGACCCCTCAGGACAAGGGCGATCCCAGGAAAACCAGCGACAAGGACAAGGCGACTGTCGGCGAGGCCCTCAAGGAAACTGCCAACAGCCATGATGCTGCCGGGGGCTCCAAAGCCGTGCACAAGAGAGCTGCAGTTCCACTGCCAAAGCCTGGAGCCGACGACGATGTCGGTTCAGAGCTACCGCAGTCGCTAAAGGATAAGATTGGCTTCAAGAATGGCGAGCAGAAAAAGCCAACAGGCAGCAGCGTCGGCATCCAACGAGACCCCGATGCGCCGGTCGACTCGGTGCTCGAAGCCCACCGGCTGCCTCCTCAGGAGCCTGAAGAGCAGCAAGTCATTCTTCCCGACAAGCCCCAGACGCACGAAGAGTTTGTGAAGCAAAGAATTGCCGAAATGGGGTTCGCCCCTGGTGTTGTTCACATTCAATCGAGGCAGTACATCCTCCGGTAAGGGACTTTGTTTTCCAGCGATTTTTTATGATAACACCCTAGCTAATCACCAAGCTTGACAGACCCGAGGCTATTGAGTCAGTATGGTACATGTACCGCATCACAGGCGACCCCATCTGGATGGAGAAGGGTTGGAAAATGTTCGAGGCCACGATTCGTGCTACCCGGACGGAGATCGCCAACAGTGCCATTGACGACGTCAACAGCGAGGAGCCCGGGCTCAAGGACGAGATGGAGAGCTTCTGGCTCGCCGAAACACTCAAGTACTACTACTTGCTCTTCTCGGAGCCAAGCGTCATCAGCCTGGACGAGTGGGTGCTCAACACCGAGGCTCATCCCTTTAAGAGGCCCGGTGGCAGTGTAATTGGACACAGTATATAAGGGGGAAGGCAACGAGTGGATGAATGGGTAGCGTATATCACTTGCGGAGTATTTTTATCCAGCAGCACTACTACTATATTGCTTATGGGCGGTGTGTCTTTTGATGTTTAGGCATAGCCTGATTTTTCCTAGTTGTTTTTATTGCGTTTTGCAAAGACATGAAGATGGCATTCATGTTTGCGCATACCTATGGAGTTTAGAGACACGACGAGGCGTTTACGAGTAGTTTTAGGAAAACGAATGATTGACTTGCCTATGCTGTTGTTTTTGGCCTCGTAAATTGATCGCTCCATAAGCCTAAACTGGTGACTTTGGCCTGCCTTGTCCAAATATACCTAGGTAATCACAATACACTCTCACAACAAGGATAGGTTCAAGCTGTTTTATAAAGACCTGTGTATTGGATGTCCTCTCTAGCAGTTGGTATCATCCCATCCGTGCAAAACTCCAAGCCGTGAAATCTGCCTCTCTCCTCTTCATTCATTCGCTCATATAATACAATACATTCGAAGCATGATTATTCAGCCCAAGAAGGAAAACCATATCACCCTGCACAAACGCCGCAATAAGAAAATGGCGTGTGATAAAAAGAGAGACATCAAAAAGTCAAAAGATGTGATATATATCCCCCAACACCCCTCCAAGTAAACAATAGATGAAATGAAAAAGTTTTGAGTTCTCTTTCCCCTGTCTGTTGACTATTTCACAATCTCCTTGATGAAAAAAACCCCCAGAACCAGATAGAAAGAAATAGGGAACCATGAACATAGGGGAACAAAAAGGCATGAAACACATTTCATCCGTGAAAATCCGAGGAAGAAGAATAAAAAGCAGAACAGTAGCACCTGGCGGTATCAGGCCCTGAAAGCATTCCTCGCCGTCTATAATTCGCCCTCCCGCCCCCCCTGTCGAAACCGTTCGGACACGACCCTTTGCTTGTTCGCAATCTCCCTCTATCCAACAACAACCACAACAACGCCTGCCATCTGTCGAATTTCCTAGATCGACCATTTCAACTGATCCTCGTATATTGCTTGGATAGCCGGAAACAAGGGGAACTGAAGGCGAAAGAGATGATTGGCGTTGTTCGTTGAGGTTTGGGTTTGAGTGTGTGTCCGTCAGTTCCGTTTCAGTTTGAAAGCACCAGAATTTTTTTTTTTGTCATCCCGTAGTCCGGATTTTCGTTTTGTGTCGTCTGGGACGAGATTAAGGTATTTTTCTTTCGAGAAAACGCCGTCGTAACTCCAATGCTGATGATGCCTGTAAACCAACCAACCCCTAAAAGTCGAAAGTTGTGCCGCCCTGTTTACATGCCCCTTTGGTATCGCCCATCACATATACACATAGACATCCCAACTCATATATCATGTCCACCACGTCGTTAGCCTCATTTGTTTTGCTCTTCTTCTCATCCTCGTTCTCTCCTATCGCTTGTCTCGAACCGTAGATCCGAGGGCCCGCCTGCTCATCACACCATGGAACTCAGGACGCGTATGCTCAATATCATGACGAGCAAGCCGATGGTGACAATGATGAGCAGCGTAAACGAGAACCAGCCCATTACCATGGCGCTGCTTCCAACGCCACTCTTGACGACACCGTTGCCAAAGTCTTGGGCGATGACGGACGCTGCGACGGACGCGGTATGCTGCCAGAGGACCGAGACGAGGACGAAGATGGAGGAGATGAAGATGATGGCGAGGGCGATTTGCGAGACGGGGCGAGACGGGAACGGCTTGACTTCGCGCTCGGATCCTTCGGAGTCCTCCTCCTCGTGCCACCCAGGAAAAGTCGCCAAGAGGAGCAGGCAGATGAAGGCGAAGATGATGGCAATGATGCTAGATAGACTGCGGTCAGCGAAATGCAAAATGAGCTTACAGCTCCACCACTCACATCAGATAAGGGAACACAATCATGTCCTTGAACTGGGCAGCCAGCCAGATGAGGTTGAGAGGATCCTGGTCCACCGAGACTTCCTTGGCCAGGGCTGTCGCATTGTTACTACAAAGCCACGACCCGCCATCCGGGTTGACGCAGATGCCAAAGTAGCCGACGCGCGCCTGCAGATGGGCATTTCCAGCAATATTGTTGAGCGCCGTGTAGAAGTTGTAGTCCACCTGCGCGGTGTCGGGATGCGCCTCATACGACTTGTAGTAGATGGAGAGGAGAAAGATGCCGGGAATCAAGGGCGACGAGGACGAGCAGCCGGCGAGCAGCAGAGCTGGATGAGGGGGGAGGAGAGAGCGGTCAGCACAAACATACGGACGACAGGCATTGAGACAGGGCGACTCACACAGGAGGATGATTGCGACGACGATCAAGATCATCAACACGTGGTGGTAGCCCAGGAAGGGGACGAAGCCTGTTGAGACACCGGGGTTAGACTGACTGCCGCATTCCAGAAGCGCCGGCATTGTTCCTGTATCTGGGGGTTAAAGAAGAACTCACGATGCCATCCTATGTGGAACCTGCGCGCGACAATCTTCGTACTGACCGTGGTCGAAGTGGTTCTCGATCCGCTGGCCATGGTTGCTGACGTTCCCGAGGGAGTAGTCCCTCGCTAGAATCACAAGACTGAGTTGCGCGTCGTCGCGACAATTGTCGAGCGAAATATGACTGGAAGCGACAGTCGATAAGAGCCGCAGGCGCCGAGAGCGCAAAGCCGCCGTGACAACCCGCACGTTTGGTGCTATGTTCTGCCCCTCCCACGCAAGACAGACAGACACGCTTCGGTCCACAGGGCTTGACGCCAGTCGCGATGCCCCTCGTGCGCTTTGTCCCGAGGCGGCGGGATGGTTCGAATTGCAGCGTGACTGCAGGAGGGCGCAAACGCAGGCTGGAATGCGGATAGTAAATGGTATGTAGGTAGTATGTGTGGATGTGTGTGTGTGTGTGTGTGTGTGTGTGTGTGTCTGTGTAGCACCGGCTGCTTCAGCGATTCCGACCAGCTCCGTCTTTCCCGCACGAGGAAGAGAGAGAAGAGAGATTTGATCAAAGCGAGCGTGGAATGCGCCTGGACCCTGGATTGCTCAGCGTGCGGATGTCTTGCTGCTGCGTGCAATCAGTTGTCATGGACGACGTGCAGGACGAGACTTAGCTCAAAGGAGGAGGAAGAAAGCTCCCCAAAAGAGGATCTGAGGGGGGAGAGCGACGTAACACGCGGCCTCGAACGGGGCCAGAACCGACCTGATTGACTGGGCTATTTTCCTTCTCTCTCTTTTTTTTCCCTCCTCTATTCTTTTGTTGAAAATAGATGGCTGGGGAGCAGAATTGAGTGAGTCCTGCTCGTAGTGGTTGACTGCGTCTCTTGGGAGTGACCAACTGCCAGTTGACTGGGGGGGGGAAGAGAGAGACCAGCGGTGCCCCAGCCACCCTTTTCTGGTACCTATGTACATGTAGCTTTGACCTGGGTTGTTGGCCGGGCAACCGGGTGACGCTGGCAAGCACAGGTCAAAAGAACGCGGACCGCAAAACGAATATGTACGCACTTGTCAGCATGAAGAGCACTAGTATTGAGAGAATTGAGACCCCAGTACTGCAGGTTATGTGTGTGTATAATCACCTCTTTGTGTGCTTTTAGTTTGCCCAAATCCGCGCTTTTCTGGTCACAGCCTGGCTGGGCATGGAAGTGGGGACCACAGCCTAGCGCCAAAAGCTTAGCTGGGGGGCTGAGGTGGTTCTTCACTCAAGGCACCTCACTGAAGAAGCCCGCCGAGGCCACCTGGAGCCTCCATTCATGTTTGCGGGCTTCTGCAGGGGTTCCAGGGGCTGCAGGGGCTGCAGACCTGCTGCTGAAGCGCTACGGGGGGTTCAATGCTGCGCCGGTGGGTTCTGTGGCCCTTCTCAGCGGGTGCCTTGCAGGGGGAATCACTTCCAAGGTTGCGCTAAAGAGAGCCGGAGCGCTGGAGCTGAGGCTTCCAGGTTTTGCGGTAACGCACGCGGCCCTCAAGGTCATGGATGCTCGTTTGTTTGTTTGACTAGGTGGCGATTGCATCTGCGATCGATCGTCGGTTGAGACATTCAGGCAGACGGGCGGTAACAGCGCGAAATGTACCTACAGGTCATACCTTACTTGCATAAGTCTGCGAGTACCTGCATCGCCCGTCCTTTATGCCCTGGGGCAGCTTACAGGCATGGATCATAGTACCTACCTAGTTACTACCTGTAGTCTTCGAAGCATCCAATCCTGTCCCTTCACGTTTGGCTCGTTTATTACCTACTAGTAGGTACATTCAATACACCAGACAGAACAGACGGTTAACCGCCAATGGCCTCGCCAGTCCTGCTCCTCGTATCGTGGGCGGGCTGCTGCCGCGACGATCCATTGGCTCTCCCAGCCAAGGCGAGCCGACCGAAGCTAATGCCCTAGGGTCGTGTCAGGCATTAATTGGCAGCTTTCCAGGCTGTTGTCGCGCTGCGTAGTTGTACGTACGAGAGAATCCCGGCTGTTGTGCGTAATCGTACGCGGTCCTCTTACAAGGACACGGACACGGACTTGGACGGACGACGAGAAGAGGCGCAGCAGCCCATTGACCGCCTCAAGCCGTCTTTGTAAGCGGTAAACATCCATGGGATTGAAGACATCTTCACGCATCAGGGCCCGGTTGAAGATTGGGGGGAGAGTGGCTATATATAGCAACTGAGTTTGCATGCGCCAACATGGAAACACTCAGCTGCAGTGATTCCAAGAATACACATACGGAGAAAGTGCCTCGGCAAAGTCGACCTTCATCAGGTTCAACCAAGAGCATGATCACCTGCAGCTTCGTGCAAACAGCCATCTCTCGGTCCTGTGGCAGTCTCTTAGAGCCGCCGGCCCTTGAGTACATGTATGCAGACATCCATGCGCAATCAAGACCGCCGTTCACAGCAGGTCCCTATGCGTCAGCACTGCATGTCCGTGTTGTACGAGTACCTACCTCTAGGTACTATCTGGCCAGCTTGGCGATTTACCCCTGCGTTGTGCCTCTGTCGACTTTAGCCTGCTGTCTTTCGATGTTGCGCCAATGCCACAGCCAGTGTGTCGAAATATAACCTCAACCAGGTGCCTTATGGCTTCCAATTCTGCAAGGGAGATGCATTGAAGGCAAAAAGAAAAAAGAGTCAACACTATTAGGAGAGATAGCCAGCGCCAAGTTATCATTGTCAAGGAAGTCAATGAGCCAAGCATGTCGTGACACCAGACCTCAACTACCCCTCGATAGACGCATATCGATAAACCATCGCCCGCCAATAAGCATCCATCATGGCCAACCGTCTCCGACCGTCTGCATCGTGCATCGTCATCCGTTCCTGCAGCTTCGATGCAGCTAGGAATGGCCACGTACAAAAATGTCCTCCATGTCCGCTGTCGCCAATGGCGTCTCCCTTGACACCCGCGTCGAAGACTACCTCGAGGACAAGCTCCAGTCGACCGCCGATCTAGAGAACCTCGACGAGCTGCTCAACAATGTCGAGTTGCAGCGGAACCAGCTCCAGTCGCAGCTCGACGATGCTGTCAAGCAGCTCAACGAGGCGCGGCGCATCGCCGAGGAGCGTCAGGCCGAGCTCCAGACCCGGATTTCCGAGTTCAACGACATGCAGGAGAGCATCGACAGGCGAGTCCAGATAGCTGCTGCATCAGATGCGCCGAGCGAAGCGATTGCGCGACTGCAGAAGCCAATGAAGCAGCTACAAAACGTCCAACTGGCCCAAAAGTACTTCATGCTGCTCCAAGATGCCGAGAGGCTGCGCAAGGAGGCTCGGTCTCATCTGCCAAGCAGCCCCAAGGAGGCGCTTGAGCCGTATGCGCAGCTGAGAGAGCTAGTCATAAGACTGCGGTCTCTGCCTGGAAACGACGAGCTTCACTTGGTGGACCACGTCGACAGGATGACGAAGAATCTCTGGGCCGAAATGAAGCAGATCATGTCCGCAGAGCTAGAGACTGTGCTCAACAAGAAGCACTGGCCCAAGGTCGATCCTCAGTCTGAGATGGACGAGGACTGGGTGGCGTGCATTGAGAAGCTACTCGACCTGCAAATGCCAGAGATTGTCCATAGCACGGATGTCGTGATTCTCTTGCCGTTCGAAGTCATGGCCAGAATGTTCGTTGCCGAGTTTCGCTTCCACTTCCTCAGCGACAAGCCGACCAGCAGCCCTCAGTCGGTCGGGACTCATTGCTTCCCCTGGCTTCTGACAACCCTGGAGAAGTGGGAGGACTTCTTTCGCGATAATCTCGGGCATCTCTTGGCATCCAAGTTTCGCGAGACACCGGTGGCCGACAAGACCATCTATGCGGACCCTGCATGCGCCCTCATCACGGCAATGCTGCCTGTTGTTCGGGAGAAAGTCGATGCGGTACTGTCAGAAACGAGTGCCAATCCTGGATTCTTGAGCAGCTTCATCTCGCAATTGATGACCCTGGACGAAACCATCCGATCGAGGTTCAATTATGACGGTGGCGATCCCGAGAAAGGCTGGGCAGGGTTGTCGGAAAGCGTCCTGGACAAGTACTTTGACGTGTGGTTCCAGGCCGAGAGAAGCTTTGCGCTGGAGAGATTTGAAGTCATCATGGAATCCCGGGACGCCCGCAAAATTGACTATGACTACTCCCTTCCGGGCAAGATGAAGCCCACGTTTGCGGCTGTGCAAATCACCGATCTGTTGCGCGTCGTCACAACCAAATACGAGCGTCTCCGCAAGGTCAAGCAGAAGCTCAAGTTCCTGACAGACATCCAGCTGGATATTCTCGACGGCTATCATGATCGTCTTCGAAGCTCGCTGGAGGCCTACCAGGCTCTCACATCTACCTTGGGCCGGACCATTCATGGCGTAACAAAAGAGCAGCTGGCCGCTCTGGAAGGGACTGGTGCTTTGGAGACGCTGTGCAAAGTGATAGGTAGTGCTGATCACGTTGCCAGTACGTTGGCTGAATGGGGCGATGAAGAGGTGAGTGAAGCAACAACATTGGCGGCATGCTGTTCCGAAATGCTAACGGAGGCTATAGTTCTTTGTCATTCTGTGGGATCAACTGCACAAGCGTGAATCTAGGCAGATAAGGCATCAAACCTCGGCCATCGCCAGCGTAGTCGGGGCTGGCGACGATCTCAAGGAACGTACCGTCGCCGCAGTCGATGAGGGTAACGAGAACGGCGCCATATTTGACGAGACTATTGCGGCATACACCAACCGTCGCAAGGCCGGCGAAGGCCTTCTCGTGGGCGCACTGGTCGAGTCTCACTCTAAAGCGCTGCGCGCCTACACCCACAATGTCCAGTGGACCACAGTCGGCGAAAGCGCAACATCAGGTAAAGCTTGCTTCACGGCTTCAGGATCCTGTGAGATTGTCTGCTAATTCGAGTTTGCAAGATGACTCTTCGGCCCTTTCCATCACACCAGAGCTAGATGAGCCGCTGAGCGTGCTCAAGAGAAACCTAGAGTTCTTGGGCAAAGCGCTGTCCGCTGCGTCTTACCGCCGTGTCTGGAGGGACGCGCTCGACAAGCTGCAGGACTTGCTCTGGTCCAGCGTTCTCACCCGCCAAACGTTCACCACGCTCGGCGCGGCGCAGTTCGCGCACGATTGCGCGTCCATCTTCTCGCTCGTCGACCGGTTCATTCCCAATGGCTCGGCCGCGCTGGAAGCCCTTCGCGAGGGGCTGGTTCTGCTGAACTTGCCCGCTTCGGCAGAGGGCGAAGGGATGACGCTGAAGCAGGCGAGTGATCGGGCGTTTAGGGACAATGACGAGGCGCGGAGGGTTCTCGAGGAGCTGGAGCTTGTGGCTCTGACGCCCCTAAATGCAAGGCAGATTCTGCAGAAGCGGGTGGAGAATAATGAGAATGTCGGCTGGTAAAAACTGATGCCATGGTCACAGTCATATACACACAAGAGTCGGCCTAGAGTAACACGAGATTTAATCGATTAATTTCCATGTTGAATGCCCAAGATTTCACGACGCACATGATGAACCCACCCGACCGTCTACACTAGTATCTAGAACCCTAACAAGCCGGCTATTGTCCCTGAAATACTGTCTCTATCAGATTTGCTTAGCCTTGACTTCTTTTTCGCAAACACGCTCGTCCAAACCCAATTAACTTTTGATCTTTGTTGAACCAATAACGCCCCACCTCCTTCAAAGAACCAAGGAAAGAAAGGCTCTGCCCCCCCTTAATCTCTCCTATTCCGAATCGTCTCTTTCAAGCCCTCTCACTCAGTTGATGGCCCTCATGGTCATCTCCACCACGGCAAAAGTGCCCGCGCTCACAGGCATGGCCCTCAGCAGCGTAGGCCCAATGCCCTTCCAGAAGCCCCTGACGCCGTCGGCGCGCCAGGTGGCGGAGAAGCAGGCGCGCATGGTCGGATACTTTTGCTGGGCGCCGAAGGCGTCGGTCTGCATCTTGCTCTTGACGACGTCAAAGGGGTAGCTGGCGAGCCAGAGGACCTCGCCGGCGAGACCGCCGTAGAGGGCGATCTTGTAGCTGGGGATCTGCTTGCGGTCGATGCCGTTGCGCGCGGCGTCGGCGTTCATGAGGTACTCGAAGGCGGTGAACCAGGCGCCGTAGGCAAAGGCCTCGCGCCAGACGGTCACGACCTCGCCGCGGTAGAGCCCGCGCAGGGCGCCGCCGCTCTGGGCGCTGACCTTGCGGATGCAGTCGAGGGGCCCGTCGTACAGCCGGCCGGCGCCGTGCGGCTGGCTCTGCAGGCGGATGCGGATGTGCTCGATGGGGCCCGACAGCGGCGCGTTGGCGACGCCGGCGAAGGCGCCCGCCGCAAAGTACTGGCCGTAGTTGAGGTCCGAGGCCTTGCCGCGGCCGGCGTTGCGCGCCTCGAGCCACCGCCGCGCGGCGTGGAAGGCGCCGAACTGGACCGAGACGCAGGCGCCGATGCCGATGAGGGGCGTCAGCGTGCCCTTGTAGAAGGCCAGGGCGCCCTCATTCTTGTATATGGAGGCGGCGGCCTCGACGGCGCCCGAGTACTGGTTCGACGTCTGCAGGCGGACTTTGACAATGTCAAAGGGCTGGCCTGGAGGAAGGTGGGCTTGGTCAGTCTGGATTGTATAAGACATTTGGGGGAGTGGGTTGAGGTTTTGATGAGCCGCAACAAAGCGCGCCGGACCGTCGCCGAATTCTGCCCTCTTCAACTACGGGAGAGAGGACAAAAGAAGAAGAGGGGAAAACCAGTATGGGAACATACCAATTAGGACCTGGGCAATGCCTCCAACAGCACCGGAGAAGAGATCCTTTGCCGTCTGCAGCGCGCCGCCTTGGGGCTGCTCGATCTCTGCGGAAGCCATCTTCGATTCTTGGGTCCCCACGGCCGGGACCGATAACGGAATTGAGACTCGACGAGAGTGAGAAGGGGATGGTTGAGGTTATACGAAGTAGGCCAGAATGGATAACGCCAGAGTCTCCAGATCTATAGGGGGAGAACAAGAGAAGAAAAAGAACGGGATGAAAAGAAGCGGACAAAGAGCGACGGTCAGAAAGTCGAGTCGGACCCCGATGACCCGTCCGATATCGACGATGTCGTGATTTGATAAGACTATTTGAGATAGGGTCTGACCGCCCGCATACAAGGATATTGGATACTTCGATTGATGCATCCCCCCCCCACGAATTGGGTGGATATTCTCCCCGTATGGGGAATTTGGGGTTCTCTGAATCCAGAACATGATGATATTGTGCTTCTGCTTTGCAGATTGAAGAATCTTAGTGAGCGCGCAATGACGTTTCAAACAACGAAGGTTAGTTACAAGTACTCAGGAGGTAATTGTTTTATACGGACATTGTGGCTACAGGGCCATCATCTGGAGTCGTATTCGTATTGGTGTAGACTGTCATTCGCGATAGAGAGTCGTTCCTTCTCTCAGTGACAAAGAGAAAATCCCAACTACCAACATCCATCGACCTTTGTATCCTCATCTTCTTCACTTTCTTTCTCTCTCTTCCGCATGAAGTGCCACAAGAGAGCAGAGACTCTGACTCTACCGACTCGCTCAACCACAGCACAATACTCGAACTCTCCGTCACCTTGTCTTCGAGGAGGATTCGCTGACTGACGACGGGAAGTCCGTGGAATGTCACTGTCCGATCCACATGCATTTCCCTGGACACTTTGTTGGATCAAGCAAGCTATTCTATCGCCCAGCTGACTACCTAACAAAAAGTGCATGGACAATATTGAATGATCATTCCCCTTTACAAATTTATTAGGCGCCGAATCACGGCGTCGCCTGCTGTCCGAGCTCGTGCCGGTCAAACGAACAACGATATCCAATTCTCTTAGTCTCAGTAACAATACGGAGCGACATCCCATACCAGTGCTCGGGGTTCATACAATAATATGGCCAATATTTCCAACTTCGTTTTGAAATTTGGTACGAGCTTCGTCAGAGACCCCAGCCCTGATATGCAGGCTGACGAGGCGCGGCCGCAGCTCGTTGCCCAGCAGCATTGCGAGCAACCAGCATATCCTCACTCCACAGCTCACATCCGCACGTTTTCCAACGTTTGCCGCACGTGTAACAGAACTGAGCTCTGCAGTAACAGTCTATATGAGAGTTTCAGCAAAAGGACCAGACTAGCGGTGGCAGAAGAGAGGAAGGCAAGAGATCTCACATATATGGTTGCACCCGTGTGACAGCGAGACGACTCGGCGGCAACTGTAGCACCGTCTCCAGCCATTGTCTGCTGCGACACGAAGAACGTTGGCCGTTGCTGTGTCTTTGGGACAATCTCCCACATGCGATGCGTCTTTGCAAATCACACACGTCTTGCTCCGGCATTTGATGCATGTGGCCACTTCGTCTTTGATAAACTGCGCCGGGATAAACGCTGAGCAGGTCGGAACGTGGCAGTACGTTCTGTTTGCCGAATTGAACTCGAGCTCCTTGGCCCGATACTTGCCGATCAAGTGTGCCGGTATGAAGATCTGGTTGACGCCGTCGATGGGTATTGGCTGGCCGCAGCATCGAGGAGGGAATATGGACTCGTCGTTGACTGCTTTGCTAACGTAGTCCGACAGGCATCCTCGGCAATAGTCATGAGAACAAGGGCATCGCAGCGTGTCCACGAATGGAAAATCTTCGCTACATACGATACAGCGACGCCGCTGGCCGGTTCCCGTCGCTGGTCGCGCCTGGTTGCCCCTCTTGGACGACTCGGCAATAGACGAGGGCTCGCCGCCGCCATTGAACAATATGATGAGTTTGTCGGTCATTTCGTCGGACATGATTCCATCCATGGGATCCATGTCCGTCCATTCCCGAGCTTGAGGGAACACGTCCTCATGGAAGCCATCCGCATTGAAGCCGTTGAGCGCAAGCTCCCTGTCGCGTGCTGCCTGCTCCTCTTGGTGGACGAGTTCCCTGATGATGTCGGCATCTGTGACTACCGCACGAGCCACACTGCGAGTCATGGCTCGGTCGTGAAGCACGGTGTGAAGCGACTCGAGCTCCTCGTTGAAGCACTCAAGCGCCAGCTCGAAGTCGGGCGCCTCGCCCTCGCGATACTTGCCCTTGATGAGATTTTGGGCATCCTGCAATTGGAGCTCAATGATCAGATCAAGGCTTTCCTGGTCAATTCCGTATTCCATATTGACTGAAGGAAACAGAAAAAAAACCCGAAGAAAAAACCTCTCTGCTCTCTTCGACAGCTTGATTCCAATATAGAGCGTAACGCTGAGGAATTCCAGAGAACTCGACTCTACTACAACGCTGGATATGAGAAGGGGGGAAAGGGACAAACACGCCGCTCGCCATTGAGCCTTGCAGGTAAATTTTTGCCAGACGTGTAGGTAGGCACATGTAACCTGAGGTACTGAGTAATCCGTGTTACTGATCCGATGTACCTGGAATGTCTAGCACAAGGCACAATCTTGCCTCACTCTTCTTCCCCTCTCCCGAATCGGCATGCGGGTGGCCTACAAGCGTTGACGCACGGGAGAAGATACTCCGCCGATACATCATATGGCAGTTCCTGGACCCGAAGCGAAGTGCGGGGAGATGAACTGACTTATTGTATTATGCACAACCTCGCAACCTCGAAGTCAAGAGAAGCATGCAAGCCAACGATCGATAAAATGAATTCAGATCGGGGCGTCCTCAACTGATCTGCAACCGCCCTGGCCGAGTTCGAAGACGGCACATGTATACGGGGATGAGCCCGCTCGTTCGCAATGGGCCAGTATAAAGGAGCTCCGAAGCCTCTGCCGTGTCGGAATCCCGTCTTGAATCAGCCCGTGAGCGCTCCGTAGCGCAGAACAGACTGCGGACGGGACGAGCTGACGCCTGTTATTTCCGGAATTGGACGCATCTTTTGATAGGTATGTTCCGACATCATCTTGCGTCACAAGCAGTGGTAAGCATGTTGCTAACTTGGTAGATGACGCTTGACACTCACAGGCAGAACCGTGAAATTATTCCTGGATAGACTGACACTTTGCGTTTATTCTAGAGTAACATAGGATCGAGTCTCACCAAAGACAGGAGCTCGGAATACAAGTTGGCGAGAGACCCAAAAGATTTCCGGGTAGGCGCTCGACAACCAGAATGGCGAAGAGGGGAGCACGGCATGCAACCTAGCCATGGCGCAAGCTTAAGCTGCTCTCTGCGTATCAGCAGTTGGTGATCGTCGAAATAGTCGGAGAAAAGGGTACAATTCAACTGGAGTCTGTGGATCTATCGTCAACAACAACCAGTATATAAAAACCGCAGCTGGCTTGCTATCTCGAGACATGCGGTTCATGATTGTTACCTACTAATACGTTGCTCGACTCGGTACGCCATCTTCGATCTTCGACCAATTTGACATAAGGTCAATCAACCTAACCAATGAAAATGGTCCCGAAACTCACTCACACGATCCTCGCATCCTCATGGCTCCTTTCTGCAACGGCCCGGGCACATGCAGCGCCAAATCGCCCAAACATTGTCTTCATCCTGACAGACGACCAAGACAACCACATGGGATCATTGGATTACATGCCATCCCTGCAAGAGCATCTGATCCAACAAGGCACCACGTTTGAGAGGCATTATTGTTCTAGTATATCTCACTAGCATTCCTCGTGTGTATACCCGGTCAAAGGTTGACATCTGTCCTGCCATCTTTAGCTGCTATATGCTGTCCCTCGCGCGTCACCCTCTGGACAGGCCAGCTCGCTCATAATACCAATGTTACCAATGTGAATCCACCATGGGGTGAGTTTCTGGTTGACTTCGCCCTAGCCATATGCGTGGTAAGCTTCCAGTATCTGATATCAAACAGGAGGATACCCCAAGTTTGTCCAGAATGGCTACAACGACCACCATCTGGCCCTCTGGCTGCAGCAATCTGGCTACAACACCTACTACGCCGGCAAGCTCTTCAACTCCCATACCGTCCACAATTACGACTCGCCTCCAGTGAGCGGATACACTCAGTCAAACTTCTTTCTTGACCCCTTCACGTATCAGTACTACAATGTCAGCACCACGAGGAACGGGGCGCCGCCAACCAACCCTGTCGGCAAGTACTCGACCGATATTTTGGCTGAAAGTGCCCAAGAGTTCCTCCAGCATGCGCTCGAGGATGAAAGCTCGCCCTTCTTCATCACGCTTGCACCCATCGCTCCTCATGCTCTCGTGGGAGAAGGTTCGGTGGGAGCCTTTGACCCCCCACAAGTTGCAGAGCGACATCAAGGCCTGTTTCCAGAGTACAAAATTCCCCGGACACCAAACTTCAATCCTGACTCTCCAAGCGGCGTCAACTGGGTATCAAATCTTCCCAAGCTTGATGATGAGGTCGTTGACTATAATGACGAGTATCAGAGGCTGCGCCTACGGTCTCTCCAGGCAGTAGACGAAATTGTTGGATCCGTTGTTGCTCGCCTTGAAGAGGCGGGCGTGTTGGACAATACCTTTATCTTTTACACCTCTGACAATGGCTATCACATTGGCCAACATCGACTGCACCCCGGCAAGACATGCGGCTTCGAGACGGATATCAATGTCCCTCTTATTGTCCGTGGCCCCGGAATCCCTGCTCAGAAAGTCACCCGTGTTCCCTCTTCGCACACGGATCTCGCGCCGACCATACTGCAAATAGCTGGCATCGAGATTGACGACAAGAAGTTTGATGGTTCACCCATTGATCTCCATGGAATCGGCGGCGAGCCTCGTTCGGAGCACGTTGCCGTCGAATTCTGGGGATATGGGCTTGCAGAGAGCATCTTTGGGAGGAAGGATGGTCCGCCCGTCTACCCCAACAACTCTTACAAGGGGCTTCGCATCGAAGCAGAAGATTATGGCTTTTACTATTCGGTTTGGTGCAGCAACGAACGGGAACTCTATGATATGAAGGCAAGCCACATTCACTCCCAGACTCTAGAGAGAGGAAAGTTTGCTGACTCAAGTGGATACAGAGCGATCCAGGACAGTTACACAATCTCCTTAGCCCAGGAAGAAGCCTAATCGATGCAACTGTTACTATCAACGGCAAACAGTGGCCTCTCGAAAAGGTCGTCGACCGACTGGATGCCCTGATGATGGTTCTCAAATCCTGCAAGCAGCAAACTTGCATTCATCCCTGGAGAAGCCTCCATCCGTCTGAAAATGTCCAGAGCCTCAGTGATGCGCTGGCCACCGAATATGATGAGTTCTACAGAGGGCAGGTGAAAGTGAGCTTCACCAAGTGCGAGAGCGGATACATTCTCGAGTCGGAAGGACCTCAGGCAGTTCACGCGTATCAAGACATGAGGGACTACAGCCCTGACGATGAGATTTACGATCCGCTGAAACAACAGGTTTTGGTCAATCCCAATTGGAGCCTCTGGGAATAAAATTGATAGACATCAAAGAATATTACACCCAAACATGGCTTGCGCCTATCACGCCGTCACTCCCCGGCCCCCATGCAGTTGACAATTCTCACCAACACACAACAGAACAACGCTCAAAATCCACCAGCTAGACCCCCTTCAATCAAGGGTTCGCATACTCTCCCGGAATCTTGTTCAGTCCATCCACCTTCTTCGTCTTGAACCTGGCCACATCCACCCCCTGCAGCACCCTCGCATTCACCCCCGTATACTCATGCTGCGCATCGTAGATCCTCCGCGGCAGCTCCGGCAGCGCCTCGACTTGCTCGCTGGTAAGCTCGTTGAACAGGTTCGCCATGACGACGCCGCAGATGTTGCAAAAGACCTTGGACAGCATGCGCCTGTTGAACTGGTACCGTCCGATGTTGGCCTCGTCGCCGGAGAGGACGACGGCTTTGTTTGGGCGGTATACCCAGATGGCGGCGTACTTGAAACAACCGTGCTGTATATCAGTACCTCCTGCTTATCGTTTTGACAAAGGACGGCTGATGATGGCTTGGATGGGATGTGGATGGATGGTACATGGACTTACACGCTCGCAGCTGCTGCAGTTGCATTCTATGGCTCCCTCATAAGTCTCATCGAGCGGCTTGCTCGCCGTGGCAACGGTGACTGCGCCGCAATGACAGCTCCCCGTGTAGACGACCTCGCCGGCGTCGGGTGTAGGGAGGGCTCCCTTGTGGACGGGGTGCTCATAGGGTTCTCCTAGGGAAGCGCCGTCGTATCTGCTCAATCTGCAATTAGCTGAGTTTTTCCTCCCAAATGAGCTGAGACGATGATTCGATATTTGATACGTACGGAGGTTTCTCCAGGTCCGAAGTTACCAAGCCTTGAAAGCAATGGGCCTAGGTTATCAAACTCTCATTTCAGCGACTTCTCGAGTTCCGATCGACTTCGTGAGAGAATTGCACGACAAAGACAGACTTACATTCAGAGCAAGTTGAAAGTTTTCATCATCTGAAAAGCCACCCACAGGCGAAGCACATGTTGGACAAAACTACAAATACCCAACAACCCCCCCAAAATGACAATTAGCCCAACGTAAAACAAAGAAAAAAGAGTCTTCATACCAAATGCTTCAGCTTCTTGGGCCCAAACTCATACGCCGTCAGCCCCTCCTCCACGCTGCCCTTGACAATCTCCACGTTGCCCTTGCCGGGGAAGATCCAGAGGTAGCCCTTTTTCGCGCAGATGCTGCAGTTGCAGTCGATGGCGGACTTGATCTCCGGGAGGGCCGTCTGGAAGACAAAGGCGCCGCAGTGGCAGTTGCCGCGGTACGTGATGGTCTTGGGTTCTGCTGTCATGTTGTTGATGGTTTGTTTGGTGCTGGGGTGTGTTAGTGGGATTGAGTAAGGTAGTCACTTATGAGGGACGGCACTTGGAATAAAGACAGGCGAAACAATGATTTTGTGATTCTCTGGTTGAGGAGACAAAACTCAAGAGGCACTGGATCGGGTTGTCAAGACGACTTTTTATATGTTAATGTAGTTCTGAGTTGTGGGATTCTTGGCTCTGCCACGTTGCATCGGGACATCGCCTAGAACGTCCGTCGTCCAGCAGCAACTCAAACTGAATCCATACCATGAACAGGTCCGTTCAATTCCAGGGGCATTTCCAGGCGAAGGATTCACTACAATGGAGCAAAAATCACCATATGGGCTATTACCCCGCCTCGCCTCTTGTCGTCTATAACTGGTTTGATGAGTTGAGCATGGGGGGCATCAACCGCTAACTGCGGCTGAGTAGCGCGACTTACACGGGCTGGCCTGGAGACGGAGTAAGACGGGACGCCGAATGGTCCAGATGGAGCAAAGTGCCCGTGAAGGATCACTTCTAGATCAGGTGGTGATTCGATCTCTTTCTGCGCGGTAAAGTGGGAAGCGTGTAGGTGTCTAACAGAGCCACCGTCTCAAGGAAAAGTCATCATTATGGAATCATAATGCGTCTCTTAACGAGGGCGGCAACGCTCCTCATGCTGCTTCTGCTAATATCTCCGAGCCCCGTTCCCAGGACCCTGTGCCTCCTTTTGCGCCTGCGCATTCTGCTGTATGGCTTCCTTCAGCTTCGCAATGACCTCGGGCTGGTTACTGAATGCCGTGTCGAGTATGGTCTCCAGCTCGGCCTCTACCTTTGCAATGGGCTTCACGCCGGGCTTTCGGCTCTGGGAGTCATTGATCAGGGAAGCCCATCGCTTCGTAAAGGCGTAAATGGACTGGCGCAGAAGCTCATCCAGCTGCTCGCTCATGTCCTCGACGGTAAGCGTCTTGGCCGTGACGGACGGTGCGCCTCGAGACCACAGATTGCCGCTGATGATGCTCGCGAAGAATCCCACCCAGTTCTGTGGGCTCAGCGTGTCCCAGATCTGGCCAAAGTGCTGCATGGCCGGCTGGCTTCGGATATCGCCAATCTCAAGCGACACCAATTCGTTCTTGATGATGAGTAGATTCTTGACCATGAACAGGTCGGGATCGGTGTCCGTCTTGAGCGATTTGATCCTTGCCTCGGCGCGCTGGAGAATCTGTATCGTCTCGCGGACAATCTTGAACACAACCGGGCTGTTCTTGGCCTGCGAGATATGACATTAGCTTAAGCACTATACATTGACAGAGTTACCAGACGCGACACTTACAGATCTCTCCTTGGGCATTGCCTGATCAAACATGGCCAAAAGCTCAATGGCGCGCTTGACTAGGGGATATGCGTTCGAAGAGGCCACTCCGCCCACGACGGGGCCAATCTTGAGGTGGCCATCCTGCGTTGGGGCTTTGGTGATGGATCTGACAATCTCCGCTTCGAATAGACTGTCTGTAAAAGGCCAGAGGTGGTCTGCAAGCAGTCTGGCGGCGTACTCTCTGTACTTCCTGAATGACGGCGACTCCTCCTCGTCAACCTCTGCCACGGCGTACTCGTTGGCCAGCCAGCCAACCACGTTGCATGTTTCCTGGAGCCGAGCGTTCTGAAGCACGGCTTGCAAGTTGGTGGCCAACGGCACGAGGTTGCCCGGGTGAACCATTGCCGTGTTGATTTGCTTGACAGCATGGAAAGCGGAGTCGGGAGAGGGGCTCCAAGCGAGCTCTATGCTGAAGATCTTGGTAAACAGGCCATCTTCGCTATAAATCCGCTCAAACAGCTGTTTCACAAAGTTTCTGGAAGCTGTCTCTACCGACAAGCTTTTGACTTCTTTCTGGTACTCGTCTACATCATGCTGCGTCATCAGTTTCAAGTCTCGATCACGGGTAGAAAAGTATGTTCGAAAGATGGTGTTGACGACGTTGGCATATGTCGCTGTTGTAGTCGTGGCTTCTACTGGCTGGCCATATACGTGGTAAGCCGATCGGACCACCTTCCGGACGTTTGGTAGTAGGGAGTAAGATTGCGCCATCATCTCTTCGAACCTGCCATAGGCGAGTGCGTGACGAGCAGATTCTGACTTCGTGGCGGCGATTTGACGCCCAATGTCACTGGACACTTTTTCTAGGCAACTGTTGAAGCCATGGTCCAGAAGATGCAATGCTTTTGTGAGCAGGGCATTGTATCGTGCTAGATACGAGTCACGCTCGCGGTATTTCTCCTGTGGCTCGTTAGTATCAAGAGCGTCGCGGCTTGCGGGCTGGGTGCGCCTACATGGGCGGTCATGAACTTGATGCAGGCATCAATGTTCTCCACCATCTCACCAAAGTCGTCGTCCTCTACCAATTGACTGGCCCCGGGAGCATTCAGCCGTCTTGTTGCTTTCTCCAGATAGCCGTAGTAGTATAGATCAGTTCCAACTTCGTCTGCCAGCTTCTCCAGTCGCCGCTGCTCGGTCAGGAGCTCTTCGCATTGCGCCTGGAAAGTCGACGTCTGGGCCTCGACAGACTGGAAGGATTGCGACAAGGTCGTGAGCAGCATTAGCGCGTCATTGGCATTGCTAATCAGGCCTTCGAGATGGCGCTCAGTCACCTTCAGTTGGTCGCGGTAAAGCCTGGTCGTCGATTAGCTTCGCACAGGCTGTGGGCGGCTCTAGAACCATACAGGTACTCTCGCTGGCTCTCCTCCAGCAGTCGGTCGTCTAGCAGTTTCGTTGACCCGGCGTCCTCTTGAGCATAGTGGAAAGCTTCAGAGCTCTCGTTGAAGAGGGTCAAGGCCTCCCAGTGTCTGCTCCTCCTGTCGGCTTTTCGCCGCGGCCTGCGCTGCGACTGTTTGTGAAGCTCCGCCTTGACAACATCGTAGAAGTCGGAATATGAGGCGGCTCGGCGGGATAACGTGGGCTCGGGAGGGTCATTGGTGTGCTCGAGCTCTTCCAGGACATCCTCGAGCGTCTCGGCAACGGTGCTTGGATCCTATACAGCGTAAGCCGTCTGTGACATGTCGGTAGACAGGAGACGAGACACCCACGTTGGGCTGCTGGAGGAGCGATTCCTTGCGCTGGTGGCCTCGAGGCTTGCCGTTTGAGGTCTCGCTTCTCCCATTGTTGCTGCTGCTGCTGAGCTCCGGCACGAAGCTGTACCAGCCGTCTTCGTACATGGCGGCTCAGAGGGAGCTTGAAGCAGGAGTTGGAGCAGGATGGAGCTGTGCTGTTGTTGCTGCTTGGCCTTGATTGGGGATTGAGCTAGCATCCCACGGTACCTGGTGGTCTGGTGGTATACCATAGGACAGTGAGGTACCGTAGCGCTAACCTGGCTGTCTCAGCTAGTGATTATGACTAAGCCTTTGATGCTCAACGAGTGCGCGGCGATGCTCCGTCTTGTGCTAACAAGCAATCAAGGACTACAAAGGCAAAAGCGTGTGGACATAATACGTGCGCACAATTGCTGGTAAGCCGTCATAACGCCTTGGGTAATCCTGGTCTCAACTCGATGCCAAAGAAACCTTTGCTTTCTTGCGGTGGTGCGTTTACGCCACCGAGTCTCCTCGCCTTGTTCCGTTGAAGCTAAGAAGGTATACGAGACTTATTGTGTGACAACTGCATCGACTTCCAGTCTTTCAAGCTACGATCACAATGACATTATATATGGTCACTTCTTGCCAATGAATCACATAATCTCAACTGCACTCTTCAAGTCGTCCTTTTGGCACGCAGCCGAATCCCGAAGGTTCAGCTGGCTACGATGCATATGAAAGTCGTCGATTCCAGCCAATCAGCGCGCAGGCAAAGGCGGTTGACATCATGGAGGCGCCCCCCCAAAGGCTTCATTACAGGGATATCTGCGCTAAACCCTTAGTTGAGGTCGACTCCATCAGCTACTTTTTGTTTGCATGATCTCATGGCATCCAAGTCTGCAACCTCAGAGCTTGAGGCTGATGTTCCTGGTTATTTCGCTGCAAATCATCCGCAGATCAAGTCCAACCCACAGCGGGGCTGTCAGATTGTCTCTGGTAGGCCCTTTTTGAGATTGAACAAGTCGCTTCGATAGCTGGCCCAAGAGACTCGCAGCCATGAGAGCCTCTCAGTCTGCGTCTGCCCTTCGACGGACGTCTCGACTTCGCCTCCCAGCCCGGCCGCATCTCGCTGCTTCTGGGCGCCAGTGGGTGCGTTACAACAGCGGCGAGGCAGGGCCAGAGGCAGGTCCCAAGCGGCGAGGAGGCAAAGCTGTCGGATTCGCAGCCGTCTTCGCTGCGGCGGCTGCCGGAGCATATTACTACCCCAGGCTCCGGGATCAGCTCTTCCCAGCGCCCAAAGAGACCGAGACAAGAACGGCCTCGGGCCATCAGAAGGCCGAACTGGAGTTTGAAAAGTCCCGCGAGCACCCCGTCTCAAAGGAAGACAATCGCGACCTGATCAGCTCCCAGCACCTCCAAGTGAAGAAGAGCTGGGAGCATCCCGGAGTGTTCGCTTGGGGTTCCAATACAGGAAAGGTCATTGACCCCAACTCAAGCGACAAGTACATCAAGCATCCACGCAGGATACCGTTCTTCGACAACCAACTGCTTCGCGACTTGAAGCTCACTCAGAATTTTGGCGCAGCCATCACGGAGAAGGGCGACCTCGTGCAATGGGGCTTGGGGTTCTCCAAGGCGGATCCTACGCCGGTGACGACCCTGAAGGGCAAGGACCTATCCAAGATTGAGGTGTCAGAGGATCGAATCATTGCATTGTCCCGCGGCGGCTCCGTCTATGCCATTCCGGCTTCGCGTGATGACCAGGAGGGTGGAAAGAAGCTGGAGGAAAATAAGAGCTCGTGGTCCCTCTGGTCCTCTCCATCTGGCAGCGAGGCCATCAGCTTCCAGAACCTGACTCCGGCGGGCCTCAAATGGGGCGAGCGCGTTACTGATATCAGCAGCGGCCTCGAACATTGCTTGATGCTCACGTCAGGCGGGCGAGTCTTCTCTTCCGCCTCGAGCGCCTCGGCCTTCCCGACCAAGGGACAGATGGGCATCCCGGGCCTTACTTGGGAAACTCGGCCCAAGGGACGTTATGACCAGCCGCATGAGATCTCGTTGCTCAAGGGTTTCGACATCAAGAAGATTGCGACAGGAGACTACCACTCGGTTGTCCTGGACAAACTCGGCAGAGTCTTCACCTTTGGCGACAACACATATGGTCAGCTTGGCTTTGAGGCCCAGTTAGGCGACTCATCCGTCTCTACGCCTACAATCCTGCCGGTACACAAGCTGTACGCGAAAAGCGGCCTGATCCCGAAGGTCTCCTCAATCGCCGCCGGCGGGTTGAACACTTTCTTCGTCTGCGAGGCCGATACGCCCAGCGCCACGGACACCGAGGCCGACGCTACGGTGCCTTCCAGGAGACTGCCGCGGAGTACATGCGACCTCTGGGCGGCAGGACAGGGCACCACCGGCTCACTAGGCACGGGCAAATGGACTCACGTCTCCCTTGGGCCAACAAAGGTCAAGGCGCTGTCGGGTCTGTCCGAGTTTGACGAGAAGCGCAACCAGCTGATGCCCATCAAGATCAAGGATCTGAGCATCGGCACAACCCACAGCGCCGCCGTCATGGACAATGTCACACAGACGTCCGTGTCGGGCCGGTCCTCTGAGAACGAGACCAACTGGGGCTCTGACGTCGTCTTCTGGGGAGGCAACGAGCATTACCAGCTGGGGACGGGCAAGCGAAATAACCTGAACACCCCAAGCTACATCGGGCCACTGGACGGGGGCGAAGGCGATGCTGCCCGGGGACGAGAAGGCGAGGTGCATAGACTATGCCTGACGCCTCGACAGACTGCACGGCTAGGAGAAGGTGGAAAGGGCCGCAAAGCGACGTTGGAACAAAAAGTCGAGTGCGGTCGATTCGTCACAGGGGTCTACTCTGCCACTTGACGGAAGAAACGAAAAGGGGGGGTCAACGGGGACAGGCGAGGGGCCGTTATGGAGCGATGCAGAAAAAAGGACTGCTGAAACAAATCATGGGTAATGATAGGTCAGAGCTCAGCTGATGCAAGGTTGTTGGCTGCATACATCCGACCTGTTACCGAAGCACGTCGATGTGTAGTATATATGTAGGTTTGGTGTGTGTGTCACATGTCTCACACATGGGCTGCGTGGTGATGGTGTGTGTGTGTGTGTGTGCTACAGATCATGGCTGCTGCGTGGTGCTGCAACGGACACTGACGATGGAGGGACACACGGCAACGAAAAGAAGGAAGAAAAGGGGGGGGGGGGGGGGGGGGGGGGGGGGGGCAAGGAGAGAAAAGATAACGCAGAGGAGGACAAAAAAAAGAGGAAAAAGAAAAAAACAGCATCGACATACATGTATGATATTGAAATCGATCTCTACTATGGAGTACTAAGGTATTAATATATCTTGTAGGCTTATATACCTACCTAGGCACGTACCTTACTATACTTGTATACCTGTTGATACCAACCATACCTTACGATCGGGAACCCCAACGACTTGCACATGCTGCAGACTGCAAAGAAGGCAAAGATCGGTCGCGACACGAGCGCCAGCTGACGCGAGCACAGTCGCCCGACGCCAGATGACGCGCTCAGGCGAGGCGAGGCGAATCAAATGACTGACTGTACGAGTGCATCGTTGGATATAAAAATAGCCGGCATGGTGTGTGCGTGAGAACAGGGCCGCTTCACATGCAGGTACTGGCACATTCACATTGGAACAGGTTCTGCCGCTGTGGCGAGATCAGTGGACTCTGATGCGGTAAGACATGGATAAAAAAAAGACAGTTGGGCGGACATAGTAAGTATGCAGTACCTTGTCGGGGCTTCACAGGACCCGGGAGCACCAAGGACCCGTGGACCCCGAGTCGCGTGCTGAGATTGGATTCCCGACGCGGTTCTGGGCGGCAGACTCCACTGAAGACGGTGCTGCTGCAGGGCGCTGTCATTGGGGACGGATGGGCGAGTGCAGGTACCGGATACCTGCCTACCTAGGTACCTGCAGGTGCAAGAACCGGGCAGGTTGTTGCCGGCGTGAACTGCTGAGAAACTGATGAGCCGAACTGAGGATTTTTTTAACCTAGTGGCTGCATGCAATCAATTAATCAAATATTGCCGCCGCGGGTGATGGTGAGGGAATCTCGCAGATAGAGTGCATACTACTAGTACATACATACATACATACAGCTGATGCGCACATCTTTTCTTTTCCTCTCTTCTCTTCTTGATCCCCGATATTCGCAGTGACTTCTGTAGGTACCTTACCTGAGGCAATCTCACCAAGTGCACAGCCTGCATTAGTACCTTATTACTGGAGGCACCTGTACTGTATTGCTTGCATTCGCTCTGCTGCTAAAGCACGTCAGCTCTGGATTCATCTCATCTCCCGCACCGCTTGGGCCAAGTACCCGCAACCTTGCCGCCGCACTGCCAATCGCCCATCTGCCCCCGTACCCGGTACCAGGTCCCTCGCTCGCGCTCTCAGGTACAGACCAGGGAAGCTTCTGCCGTCTGCCTCTTTCCTCGTCTTGCCATCGCCTTCTCCTCTTCTCAACCTCTTTGTCCTTCCGATTCACGATTCTTTTTCTCGCCTTTGTCAACCGCTTCTTCTTCTCTTCTTCCCCTTCTTCTTCCTCCTCTTCATCGTCTTCTCTACACTTTCACGCACTCCTTAGCCGACCCGTTGCCGTTCTTCTTCTCCTCTCCTCTTCTTCTCTTCTCGATATACCAGGTACATTCCATATAGTCGTTATTTTTTCTTCTCCCCATTCCTCTTCTTCTCCTGCCCGTCCCTCCAACACGACCGCCCACCGATCGAAACCACGGCGACGGCCACGGCCAGCGGACGAGTCAACCGTCTAGTCGACGTCTTGACCTCGGCGGTGCGAAAGGCAGCCGCCAAAGCGACCAAGATCTCTCCCCTCGCCGCCATGGACAAGATCCCCAAGTTTCGCCGGAAACCAAAACCCCCGGTGCTCGAGACGGCCATCGATCGCAACGGCGCCGTGGCCTCGGATAGCATGAGCCCCAACGACTCGGTCCTTGGCCAGTCGCAGCGCGCGCACCATAAGATGGCGCCCTTTAGGAGCTTGCGCCTGCGAGGCCCCTCGAAGCGCGCCCGGGACAGTCCTCCCGCAGACCTCACGCCAACCACGCCGTCCGCCGTCGTCGTGGCCCAAGATGGCATCCAGTCGCCGCCACGGCCTACGCGGCCAGCGTCTCAGCCGGTGCAACACAAGTCGCCGCCTGTGCAGGATCGCCGTAGGAGCGTCAACCAACCGCCGCCTGTTTTGCCGGCATTCCTGACGCTGTCGCAGCAAGGTGCGTCATATCTCCCTCGGCGGCCGCCATGATAAGCTGCCTGTATATGCACGCCAGATGCATATGCACGTCATGTCCACCGGCGCTACAAAGTGCTGTCGCCCCGCTAACAATCACGCGCCATCTGCAGACATCGACGCCAAGTATCAGGAGCTCACCTGGGCGGAGCGGGTCAGGGTTGCGCAGGGCATGCGAGACGACAACATGGGCGACCCGCGATGGGCCCTGTACAAGCACGCCGACACGCAGGAGAAGATGGATCGCTACATCAACATCAGGCCCTGGGCGCACAACCGGGTCAAGCTCCGGGTGCCAGACGCCGAGTTCGACTATGTCAACGCCTCCGCCATTACCCTCACGTCCCCGACCGACCCGCACAAGCCGCCGTTGCGCTACCTTGCCATGCAGGGCCCTACCGTATCATCGTTCGATCACGTCTGGCGCATGATCGCGGAACAGTGTCCCTCTCCTGCCGTCATCGTGCAGCTCACCAACCTGGTGGAGCTTGACGTGATCAAGTGTGATCAGTACTTCCCCATGGGCGACGAGCTCCCCACAGGCGGACACGACACCACCTGGAGCGTCAACGAATACAATCTCTGGGGTGACAACTGGAGGGCGGATCTGACCTTTGTCTCGGTGGAGGAGCTTGCCGGTGGCGCGATTGAGAAGCGCAAGCTGCTGCTTCACGTCCACGGCGAGCAGGAGCCAAGAGTTGTCTGGCACTTTCTCTACAGGCGCTGGCCTGATTTTGGTGTGCCAACGGCCGAGGACGTAGACAGCTTCCTCGAGCTAATGAAGCTCTCTCGGGAGCATACCACGCCGTCAGCCCCGCGCGTCATCCACTGCAGTGCTGGTGTTGGCCGCACCGGTACATTTATCTGCCTCGAGCACCTGATGAGGGAGCTCGAGTCGGGGGCTTTGGCCAGATACGACGTGCCCTCAGAGCGTACTGACCTCGTGTGTCACACTGTTGACACACTCCGCCAGCAGCGTCGGGGCATGGTGCAAGGCGAGATCCAGTACCGGTTCATCTACCAGGTCCTGCGGAAGCTCTGGCATGACAAGTATGGCAGCGGGGACGAGGGAGCAAGGAGCACCGAACCGGCGGCTAAGAGACTCGAGGTTGCGAGCCCCTTTACTGGCAACTTCCGGCCTTCAACGAACTAGCGATTTGACCGTGGCAGATCGGCCCCACTCTTTACCGCCGCGGTCCTGAGAAGTAAGAGCTCAGCGCCAAGGCCTCAAGAGTGATGGGGGCCTGTTCTCTGTTGCCTCGCCTTGTTGGCTCATTCATCTTCATTTTTACTTTTCTCCGTTTTGGGCTTGGGCTTTGTTGGTAACCTGAATATTGCTCTTGATTGGGTTGGGTTTGCCTGGCGCGATTTGGAAATGGTTTTTAATGCCTGCATTTATTCTTTTTCTTTCTTTCTTTCTTCCTTTCTCTTCGGTTCTTGCCATTCTTCTTCATTCAAGCCACTACTTATGTGGCTCTGTATCCTCTGGATATTTTCTTTCTCCCTTTCTTCTACCTTAACATTGACATCCTTTTTACCCGTCTGCTTCCTCACTCCTCGAGTGGTCCCTCTTTTACTTTTGCGCCTGCATGGTAGGATCGAGGCACTCATAAGGAGCCACGGCAGTTAGGAGGGGGGAAGCGTGAAGCGAAATGGAAACTCTAGGAACCAAGCATTGATTCACGGAAGGTCGTGAAGGAAACCACATATGCCCTCTTATCACTTCTGAATCATTCATAGCACAGCGATGACTGAAAGAACAAGAATACATCATGGAGCGTCGGGAGCGCTTTCTGGAGATTGTCCGTAAATATACCAGGTAGAATGCTGGACTTGGAAAACAAAGGTAGCATCGCTAAAGCTACTACATTTGATCATACATTCATTATGCCAGGGCAACAGAGCAAAGCCAAAAAAACATGAGATGTATAACAAGCAGCTGGCCTCGCAAGTACCTATAGCCATTCACAATCATGACGAATGCGAGTCTTGAACTTGTTCAGTTGCTTGTGCTGCATACCGTATCTGGGCATCCCTTTCGCACAATTGGTTCTGACTTGGTTGCCGACATGTATGTAGTATTTTTTGTAGGTAGGTAGGTAAGTATGTCTGTACCTTGTGTATAATCAAGTTCTCGATCTTGCGTACTCTACTTCAAACCAAGCATTAATTTTCCCCCCTTTTCTCTTTCTTCCCGGCTTCCCTTGATGAGTATGATAGACCGGCTACATATTATATATATATTGAAACATGGAAAAACTCATGATCATAAAAAACAGAAATATCCATCCAACCAACATGTAAATAGCAAAAACAAAAGGTAAAGAAAAAGGGGAAAAAAAGTATAAAGGCATCAAGGTAAGGTATTTATTGTGGACCAACCTCGCACATTCAACATGCCCCTAAATCACCCCCCCATCAACAATCTCTCAAACGCCAACAGTGACAGTCACCGTCTCCTTCGAAGGAATCTGCGTAACAGTCACCGTCTCCCGCGCAACCGTCACCGTCTCCTTTTCCCTTTGCGTAACCGTCACAGTCTCCTTCTCGTGCTCGGTGACGGTAACAGTGGGCAAGATGCCAGATCCAGCAGCCGGCCCGTTACGGACCTCTGTGGGTTGAGGGGTCGGATTGCTGTTGCTGCTGCTGCTGGGGACGGCGAGCTCTGATGGGCCGGGGAGAGGGCTGTCGTCGGGGACGGGGATGAGGATGAGGCTCGTTGGGTTGGGCAGCGGGAGGGGCGCAAAGGGGTTGTTGTTGTTGGAGGGGGGCGTGATGCTCGGGGGAGGGACGACGCTGGTGCGGATGGTTTGGAAGGTTGTTGGCGTTGGGGCTGCGGGAGGGGACGGGGGTTGAGAGGCTGCTGGTGAAGAGACGGCTGGAGGAGGAGAAGGAGAAGGAGAAGGAGAAGGAGAAGGAGAAGGAGAAGGAGAAGGAGAAGGAGAAGGAGAAGGAGAAGGAGAGGCGACTGGATGAGAGACTGCAGGGGGGTCCGCTGCTGGAGGCGCTGCAGCCGGAGGAGCAGAGGGCGGCTGGGGCGAGGGAACCACGACAGTAGCAGTAGATGTCGTAGGCGCCACGGGCGGCAAGTCGCTGACGGTGATGTAACTGGTGACTATCACACCGGGGTCAGTCGTCGTCGTCGTCGTGGGCACCGCTGGGGGACCAGCCGGGACAGACGTCGGAGCCGGCCCGCTGCTGCTGCTGCTGCTGCTGCTGCTGCTGCTCTGGGGCGCACCCGCGCCGCCGAGGATGCTCTCCGCAAGAGCAGGGTCATGGCATCCAAGCAGGACGCCTGCGGTGTTGTTCATCGGCAGAGCAAAGCACTTGGTGCCCGGGTCGCATGCCTCGAGGACAAAGGCGCCGCTGGGCCCGCACGTCGCCAGCTGGCCGTCGATGCAGGCCGCCTGGGCGCCGGTACAGGCGGACTCGGGGTCCATGTTGGTGAAGACGTCGTTGTACCTCTGGGCGGCGGCGAGGTTGCTTGCGTAGACCTGGGCGGGGACGGTGGTGGTGGCCGTGGGGAAGAAGGTCAATGTGGTTGGGACGGCGGCGTTGGGGGTTCCGGTGGGCTGGACGGTGACGGTGGCGGTGGATGTCGTCGTGCGTTTTGTCGTTGTGGTTGCGTCTTCAGAGGACTCTGTTGGCGTTGGCAGGAAGACGGGCTTCGTCAGGCTGGCCGACTGTGTGGTTTCAGGGGCTGTCGTTAGCGAGGGGGCAGCCTGGCTTGAGGTGCTGGCCGCGGCTGTGGATGAGCTTGAAGCTGACGAGGCTGTGGAGGATGTTGTAGGCTCAATGGGGGCTGACGATGTCACGAACACTGCTTCGCTGGTAGTAGACGCGGAGGTTGTAGTGGCAGCAGCAGCAGAGCTTGATGTTGATGCTACACTTTCAGTTGACGTCGAGCTCGCCGGCAGGCCAACAGAAGTCGTCGTCGACAACGAGGTCAGGAGTGTAGTACCAGTTTGAGCAACAGTCGAGGTCAGGCTGCTTCCACCCGTAAGAGCAAGAGAAGCACTCGTGCTCTGCGGAGGCTGAATCAGGCTGGTAGAGACGGTCACCGTGTTGGCAGGGACAGGGATAGAGCTTGTGCTGAAGGTGGCAGCAACAGAGCCTGGTGGCTGAGTCTGTGATGTCGAGGCATCCTGAGACGTCACTGTTGTGCTTCCGACAGTTGAACTGGATTGTGTTTGGTGGGCAATGGTCGTCTGCGTGAGCGAATTCTGAAGACCGGTGCTGGAGCCAGTGGCAGTCGTCTGAGTCTCAGGGGCTGTGGTTGGGGCAGCAGCAGAGGGCACGGTGCTTGTGACGGCCGAAGTCTCAGTAGCTGCTGATGTGCCTGTCACTGCTGAGGTTCCAGGAGCTACGGAAGGTTGGGTCGCTGCTAAAGTCCCAGTCGTCGTTGACGTGCCTGAAGCTGAAGTTGCAGTAGCCGAAGTTCCTGTAACTGTGGAACTTGCGGTAGCCGTTGTAGCTATCGAAGTCCCAGTAGCCGCCAAAGTCTCCGTCACTGAAGAAGCAGTCGTCTCCGTAGTCAACGGTTGAGTTGTAGATCCCGTCACCCCAGCAGGCGCCGTCGCAGATGCGGTCTCTGTGTTCACCGTGGAAGCGCTCGACGCCGTGGTGTCCGTATGAGCAGCTCCAGTTGTGGCGGCACTTGTTGCCGTCGTCTCAGCAACCGTCTCCGTAGACGTAGAGCTGCCCACAGAGGTCTGTATGATGTCCACAGCGGTGCTGTGAGTCGTAACAGGAGCGGCAACCGTCGTGGAAGTCGTCGCAGCGGGGACGCCAGTCGTGGTGGGCCTGTCGGTAGCAATGCCAGACTCCAGATCCGGACCTATACTCGTGACGGAGGTTCCAACGGTGGTTGGCTTGGCAGGCTCCGTCGAACTCGTAGTGGGAGCCGTAGTAGGAGGATTGAGATCCGGGATGACGACCGTGGTAAACATGCTAGTTGTAGTTGGTACAGCAGGCTCAGAAGAGGCTGTCTGAACAGCACTCGTAGGGGCAGCATTGGCCTCAGACGTGGACGAAGGCGGAACGGCGGTGCTAGTGTGAGAGTCAATGACACTGCTGGACGAGGTCACCGGCGCCGATGGTATGCTGGTCGACGAAGTCTCAACCGGGACGACGCTTGGTCCAGCCGAAGTCGAGACCGGATCTTGGGTCTGAGCCTGTGTAGGGATGCTGGACCGGAGGGAGTCGGGAATGTCTGCCGACGTGCCGGTCAAGGTCTGGAAGATGGGGCGAGGAGCTGTGCCCGTGGGTACATTTGGCGAGGCAGGCTGGGTAGAACTGTGACATGTCAGACAACTTGCTCCTATACCATGTCTGTCGTTCAGATCAGCTTACCCAGGTCCATCAGGGATGGCAGAGGTGTCGAATACGGCAGTTTCCGCTCTTTCAGCTTTGAGCCTATAACGAAGAAGAGCATCAGTACCATGATCAGCAGATCAGAGGAGGCTTCAAGGAGTCCACTTACAGCCTGGGGCCGAGGCGTGGCAACGGACCAGCCTGGACAGGCCCAGCAACCAGGATCATGCCCAGAGCACTGCCAAAGAGTATGTGATAACGCATTATGTCGAGGAGGTATGTGTAGATCGCACAGCGATGTTTTAATCCAAGAAGAAAAAAAGAAAAAAAGAAAGAAAGAATTCGGAGACGGCAAGGATCAGCAAATCGACACCTTTTTGTGTGTTCCGGTGAGCGGCTGCTTGAACAAATAGCTGTGAACGATGCTTGTTGCTCGAGATTGCCGCCAGCAAGTCGTGCGTTTGTTCAACACACACAAAGGGAGGGTGTGTGTGATATCCGGTAGATTGCGCCGAGACCGTTCAGAAGACGAGGAAGAATGGAAGCAGAGCAAGAAATGACAAGGAAATGTAAGGAAAAGATGGTAGATGGAAGCACGTCTTGCCTCGAGGGACTGAAGCTCACTCCAGGTAGTGAATGAGGGCGAGGAGGGGACAAGGAGTGTGTAACCAGAGGCACCAACAAGAGCCGACAAGTGAAAGTGATTATGTGCAGCAGACAATATCCCAGATGACAATGAAGGTTGACAAAACAAGAAAAAGAATGGAGATTAAAGAGACTCGTCAAAGAGAGAGTGGAAGAGAGAGAGAGAGAGAGAGAGAGAGAGAGGAACCCGGATCGACCAGAGCACCAGAAAGGAAATTCGTTCAGACAGTAAGGAAAAGCTGGCAAACCAAAAGGGAGAGAGAAGAAGAAGAAGCAGGAGAAGAAGAAAAGGATTGGGAAAGGATCGCCCTTGGGGGCATTATGTAGGTACGTGTCTGTCTGGTCAAGCTCGCAAGCATGCGGAATCAATGGCGATCCGGTTTGCCAGACCCAGACCCAGACCCAGCCCTGTCTCTGGTTCCGTCTGTCAGGTACAGGCAGAACCATCAAACCAGACCCTGGCATGCATGAGGCCCTGCCCCCATGTGCCGGCATCACGACTGAATGAATGGATGCATCAGCATCCGCATCAGCCAGGCACCGTCGGAACAGAGACAACAAACACACGCTCCAACTGCATCCTCCCGCCATCAATCAACACCAAAAATCCATGGCAAGAGGTAATCATACTCAAGATGGAAAACAGGGCACAGTCCAAAGCAAAGCAAACGACAAAGAAAAAATGATTGGCCACCGCAAGCCCCAGAGCCAAAACAGCGGCCCAGGTCCCAGGAAAGAAAGCAGTTGTAAAGGCTTCGTTCAGTCCAATCGTCCCTCTTCCATAAGGTAAGGTACATGTATGCAGCCGCGCATGGCTGTCTGAGGCGGCGAGGCGTGCTGGCCAATCAGCTGCGCCCCACCACGGCCACCTGTGGCTCAATGGCAGAACAGACATGTAATGAGCCTGGTAGTACCTACTTTCAAGTAACATGCAAGTTTTAAGCGCCCGATTCTTGTTCGGCTTCGGGGGGGGCACTGATGAAACCAGGCTGAGCATCTCCTCTCAATTTCATAATATTGATGTCTGTTCTTCTTGTTCATGAGCTGCACACGTGGCAATGTAATTGAGTGATGATGAGATGAGAAACATCCGAGATAGATAGATAGATACATGCATGTTGGCGGAGACAGACGCAGGTGCTCTATGACTCTATCCACATCTTTCCGGCCAGTCCAAGTCGCGAACCACACGCACTTCAATCAATCCTTCAAACATACCTACCTTGAACGCATTCACTTGATGCCACCTACTATCCTGTCTTCCAGCATCCCTCACCCCCAGCACCCATCAGGCTACACTTCTACCACGCCTCTCTACACGGGCGGGCATTGACCACGCCACCAATCGGAAGCTTGTTACCGCCCCCCCTGCACGCTACATTCGTCTTGTTAAGATGAGAACTGCGATAGCCGCTCGCTTCTCTGCAACCTCAGAATAGAAGCATCGGCAATCACTGGCTTCCGCGCTCGTACGGCATTATCGAGTAAAACAAAGCACACCCTGCCTGTATATTCTCCTCATTTTACCTAGTTAAAATAAACAGCTGATGGCTAAAGAGGTATATTCTATCGCTGGCATTCCTCGCGGCTAGGTACCTACCTGGGTACCTAGTATCCAACACTTACCAAAAGCAACCATACCTACAACGCAGCTTCATACTTCAAACGTCAATTCCAGGCCCTTCTTGAAAACGCCCCCCTCCATGCCTATAATATCCCTTGATTCAGACGCAGAAAATCCCCCAGGCTCATACATGGCTCCTCCATCTAGTATTACCTGCCGGCTCCGTATCCAGCTCCGCCTCCCTCTCGGCATCGTCTCTCGTATTAGTCCACGACAAGCGCACCCGCTCCAATACGCGCGCCAAAGCCTGAATCGAGTCGTCCTCTTGCGTCTCAACGTACGCCTCCACGGCTTCTTCGTCGGGCCATGCCCAGTCCAACCCAGCCGCGTCAATGGCTTCCCGCAGAGACGCCACCACCCCCTGCCCCAGCATCGGCTCGGCCACAAGTCGAAAGGCGCACAGAGTCCTTGCAAAGTCGGCATACGGCGGCACCTCGTCCAGCTCCGACAACGCCTGCACCACCTCAGGCTGCCCCCACTTCGTAATCAACCACTCCAGCAGCTTGGCCATCTGTTGAAACTCGCCCAGGTATGCCAGGGATATCATGTACTCGTACGCGTGCTCGGCTCGGGCTGGGTCTCGCCGCCACATCATCTCATCCAATGGCGCCACCCTCGTTGCACCCAGCAGTCGCCGGCTCTCTCCTTCAAGCGACACAAGTTTGTCAAAAAGCCCCTTCATCTGCAAGGCGGAGGATCGAAAAAGACGAAATAGATCCAAGGCCCCCGGCCTGCCGCCGAATGTGTCCCAGTGCATGGCATCCTTGTGGATGGACTTTGTGTCGTACAGGGCCCATAGCGCGTTGTTCTTGACCGTTGACGGACTAGATTCCATTTCGCTGCAGAGCTGCTCCAGTTCGCGTTTGATTATCTTGCGCGTCGTCTTGCTGAACTGGACAAACGCAGGCAGCGGGATCCCGCAAGCCCCGTCGAGTTTGTGGACAACATGGAGGGACAGCTTGAGCTGCTGGTAGGGCAGAATCTTCAGGCCGCGATGGTGCTGTGACAAGTCTTTGAGAATCGTGCCCCAGATGAAATCAGACCACGGACTTTGCACAGGCCCTAATCGCTGTTCTGCCAGCTCAATAGCCCGCACCAGGTATTTTCTCCCGCGTCTTCCGCCTTGTCGTGTCATCACTTGAATATAGGCTGAGACGAGGCTGAGCGGCACCTTCTTGAGGGCTTCCACGTCCATTTCCTGAGACAACAGCCGATACAGAGCGCCGGTTCCGTCGCTGTCGCGTAGATATCTTCTCGCCATTTCCATCGATTCAGTGTTAGCCAGCAGTATGGCAAGGCAGCTGCCGCTAGGGCGGATGCCATTCTTGAGCATCTTCTCATACAGCTGGGACGTGCTTGGCGGGCGGATGCGGGCCTTTTCGAACTCGGTGAGATTGGCCTCCTGCGGTGTGGGAAAGTTCAAGGCTTTGTCACCAGGCAGGGCTGTCGTGTGTTCGTCGGCCTCCCTTAGCATCAACTTTCCAAACATGGCGGTATATTCGGCCAAGCCGAGTTCAAGTCCTGCCCTTGGAGGGTTCTGAAACCTCTCCCAAGCCTCCTGCGCATTGCGCGTGGCTCTGATGGAAGCCTCCCACAGGCCTACCTTTCGACGTTTCACTAGCGATACCCGCTGCTGGATCGTCGGGGTTCCATCCGGTGACATGCCCTGTAGGACGTCGACGGCGTCGTCGAGTTCTTCCTTGGGAAATCCGGCCTCCTGCATCAGCATTCCCGCCCGTACAGACCGGCTCCAGCTCTCTTCGGGATCCATCTCTTCATCCATTCCATCTCCAGGTTGTAGATACGGGGGCCATGTAGGTGCGTGCCTAAACGAGCTGTGTATCTCGACGTGGTTCTTGGACATGCCTGCCAAGACCTTTCTAATGGCACGAAACCCCTCGGCGTCAACTAGCAGTTGTTTTTTCAGCTTGGAGGAGGCAGCAAGAAGGATTCTCTGTGCTTCCCAAAAGAATGCATTTGGCAAAGCCTGCTGGATCGGATGCCTTCTGTAGGTCGAACCGAGGAGCTTCAGGCTGTGGTTGAATACCGAGCATTGAGCTTCGTAAATCTTCTCCTGTGGCAGGTGTGATTCCGCCAGTGCCTCGATGTATTGTACAGTTAGATCACACAGCGTAACTATGTGCCTGGCGTCAAGACGCATGCAATGGTGCGCAAGAAGGGACAGAACAAAGTTGAGGCTTTCTGGCCCATGTGGCCGCTTCGGCTTCTTGGTCAGTGTCCCGGCTGTATCTGATTCATTTCTCAAGGCCTCCAGATAAAAGGAGCGGCAATAACCAACGAGGCAGTTGAGCGTTTCGAGCTGGGAGAACCTAGAGGTCGACCTTAGGAGCAAGTGCAGAATAAAGGGCGGCTTGTATGACTCGCGCTCAAGAAATCTTTCGCACCGCATGTCGTCCGTCTTTCCTTCGAGAATATACAGATAATGCGCCAGGTCATCTTGCGAATGGCCCCGTCGCTGTACTTTCTCCAGCATCAAGTCCCATTCTTGCGTGGACGGGAGTAGATTCAGTAGCTCGCTTTGGCCGGGTTCTTGTGACGCTTCTTTGCGAATCATCATTTGCAGCAGGATGGATGGAAGGCGGGCGATGCGATTCCGTGCCGCTTGCATTTTCCAGTCCCTATCTTCGCCGTCCAATGCCTTTTGTAGCAAGAGATTGAGCGAGTTGTCGCGCCATGCTTTCAAGGTCATTGTATTATATCTCGGCTTAAGGCGGCGTGAGGCTCGGGGCTGGTTCGACGAACTTGGCGAAATCTCAGCTGTGTCGGAAACCGCAGTGCCGCTCGGAGAATTTCTACGCTGCCGATGCCGTGCAAGGATACTCTTCTGGAACTCATATCGAATATTCGGCTTGTTTTCGACGCCATGCCTGGGAGGTTGCGCAGTGTGTCTGTAAATGTCGATCTTTGCTGCGACTCGTGGAAGTTCCCGAGGAGGCTGCGCTTCGAAGATACGATCGTCTTGATCGAGTCTGGCAATCCTTGAGCCTTCGCGCCCTACAGCCACGGCGGCTTGCGATGAGACCTTCCGACGGCTACATTGTTGTAGCAGTGTTCCATAGAGCATCTGTACAGGTAGCAAAGTGTCAGATGCCGCAGTCCGTTCAGCCCATCAAGAGTCCCAAGTGCACCTGCACCTACCAAAGACGCATGGAACAGTTGGCGCGGCGCCCGCCGCCTCTGCTCCAACTCCCGAGTTGCATTTTTGAGCATTCCTCCGCATGTCTCCAACACGGCCAGCAATGGTCCGTTGAAGAAGCCTCTTGTCGTGGAGTTTGTGCCGTTGGGGGAAGTTGAGTCGAAGCGTAGTCGCGAGTCGTCCCAAAAGTTCAAATTCGATCCGGTCTTCATGCAACAATCGGGGCGTGTACCAAAGTGGGGCCCTATCAAGCAAGTCCTCTCGGCGTCTCGAGGTGACATGACCAGCACCGACTCACCTCGCCGACGGTTATTACTCAGGGACATTCTATTGATATCGTGATATTGACGAGTCCTATCACGAGCTATGCATGCTCAACTGGCCTCCAATGAAAGAGTAAACGCTCAAGTATTCTTCGCAGTATATCAAATCATCACATGTTGGAGTGGAGCTCTTCATGGCCAGCCAAACGAGAAGCTTTTCCCAAGTCTCTATTACGCAGAAGTGTCTTTCAGGTTCTTCTTCTCTGCTTCCTCCTCCAGCTTCTCTTTCCTCTTCTGTGCGACCTCCCAATTGTAGACCCTTGCAAGGGCAACCTCCATAGTCTGGCACCTGCGTCAGCATTTCGCCTCTTCTCAAAGGCCGGGGTGTTGAGGTTTGTCTTACCGTAATCTGCTCGCGGAGAAAATCCAAGTCCTCCTCACAGTTTGACAGACTTGTCTTGGCGGCTGTCAGTTTCGAGGTCAGGAGCGTCTCGGCCTCGTCGATAGGGTAAGACAACATGACGTTGGCCTATAGCACAGTCAGCTTGACGGCTCCTCGTTCTCTTCGCGCACTCTCCGTCGTACCCCAAGCCAAATGTACACCTCCTCTGTCGGCGGAATGTTTGCTCTGGCATACAGAGTGTCGTTGAGCTCAAAGGTCGTCTCGATGGGATCCGTCTCGTCCTATTTTCGAGCATGAGTTGGAGTGTCCTCTCCCAAGAATCACTCTGGCGCGCTCAAACCTTGCGCAGCTTCAAGAACTGCACCGTGTCCAGCGTCTTCTGGATATCAGGAATCTTCTCCCTCAGCCCCGTCATCCGACGTTGCAGGTTCAGCTCCATGAATTGGTACTTCCTACCGCGGGCTGATTAGCCCCTTTGGCCATGGCGAACGGTCCAAGTCTGTGTTCGCAGCTCACGAGATCATTTCTTGAAACTTTCGAAGCGTCGGCTCGACATCCTCCCGTGTTGAGACGTAGTCCTCGACCTTGTCGACAAAGGGAGCATACGGGATGCCCCTAGGGTTCGTCGGCGTATCATCTTTACCACTGCGCCCAGCCCCTGTCAGCACGCGCACCCGCTCCATTGAAACTATTAGTCGGTCATCTTCCTGTGGTCGCACTCACCTTACGACTGGCTGTTTCTCTGAGCTCGCCATCTTTGCTGCGAGTGCGTCTCCCGGCGCATGAAATGGGAGGTTTTCCAGAGGTCATGCCAGCGCTGGGGGGACAATTCGTCGGAATACCTTAGCGCTGGTGGGGACCTACCACCTCACCTAGGTGAGGGGCAAATGGCGGGGTTCCTTTACCAGAGGTTGAAGATTCGGGCGAGTTTGCAGGGTAAGCAGGACATGCACGTAGCCGAATCTAATTGCAATCAGTGAACTTGAGTCGCTTCTGGTATACCATCATATTGTAGGAGGCAGCGGCAATGTAGGAGTGGTAGAGACGCGTGTGTTTGAGTCTCTAACACCTACCACTAGGTATCGTTCCAATTGCTTGGCTGAGGCCTCCTGAAACTAAAGGACGGTAATACAGCAACACTGCGTGGTGGAGGACTTGCAATGCTTTCACATCCCACAGAGCTATTGAAGGAAGGACCAACTTAGTCATTATGTTCTGGATAAACAGACTATCGTGAACTAGACATGGATCCTCACTATCGAGAAACAACTAGCTAAGCGTCATCATGAGCACATATACGTCGTCTACCTCCCCGTTGATACTGTTATGCCCAGATAGCCCAAATCTTGACCCAGAAACGCCAGTAGTGCAGATCCGTGATCAATGCTGCGTAGAGCCAAGCACAATGGTCGGCTCGACCCAAAACCCCAGGTATGAAGCCCGGGTTTCAGTCTGTTCGTTTCTTGGTTTCCCGAGCATCAGCTGCATCCGATTCTTTGGCGACTGCTGGTGACGGTGTATCGGGAATCGATGCGTTGTCATCGTCCCAGTTGTCTTCCGCATTCTCATCCCAGTTATCGACCTCCTCCTCGAGGGTCCTGCCTCGAGCCGGGCCGTCTGTGATACCGGACTCCTGGCCCTGCCCAAGCTCTACATCTTCGGCATCGTCACCTGGGACAGCGTCATAGTGCTTGCGCTGCCTCTTCCTCTCCAGCATTCGCTTATGATACCATGCGCAGAGGCCGAGCCCCAGCAAGCTGCCGATGATGTTTGCTACAATGTCGTAGAGATCAAAATCTCGGTCGTTTGGGAGGAAGCTCTGCACGAACTCGGACCCGATGCCTAGTACGAGAGTGCAGACAACAAGAGTCATGTGCAGGGTTCGGCGGCGATTGGTATCGACGACCCAGTAGAAGACGACCGTCAGGAGAAAAAAGGTTAGGAAGTGGAGGACCTTGTCGTTGATGTATGCGCCGAGCTGCAGAGATGACAGGCCGGCGTAGGCTGCCAGCAGCAGCAAGAGCAGGAAAACACCTTGGGAGAGAGTATCAGCATCTTGCAGTAGGCCAGCAGAAGATGGCGCGCATGCTATTGCAGAATCCAGAGGGCCAGACAAATTTCTGGCCGCGATGCTGTGCGGCCTGGGCCGAACGACGTACGCACCTGCAAAGGGCAGCCTTATCCGCATGGCTGGATGTGGGCGACTGGCTGATGTGACGGGCGGCTGAGCTGAGTGACGGCCTCGAGAGCGGCACGGGCTCTCCAGACCACAGGACCAGATGCGAGACGGAGATTTTGCATGCAACGGGCGTGGAGGTGCAGGGAAAGCTCTCAATGTCTCTTGAGCTGGTGAAGCTGTGCTGTGGCCGGGCCCGGGTGGCGCAGCCGGGATGCAGTACGTACTCCTCATGTATACCTTACCTACAGCACCAGCTCAGCGTTACTAACGCAGGTCATCGGTGCTGCTGCTTAAGGCAATAGTACTAGGGATGGCATTTCTGCCAGCACGGTTCGTTATATATAGTAGTATCCGGCACAAATTACAGCAGTTCTGTCCATTCTGAGTGAGGGAAGGAATTGACGGCAAAGCTCATGCAAATGATTTTTCTTTTCATCCCTTTTTGTAATCCCGCCTTGTCGTATCACTTCATGTATAGAATTCTCACTCTAAGCTCAGTCTGTCGTCAACTCTGCATGGCATTTGGATGCATCGGAGTTTACACATCACGTGCAGCCCCACGTGCAGATACAACCGCCCTTTTGCAGCAGAAAGTTATACCTAGGTACCTAACCTTAGGTAATACCCAAGCACACACACAAAACACAAGTACAGAACGGCTGCTTAGATAATGCACAAAGGCGAAGGCAATGCCTCTACTATCCGCGACTTGTACTCGTACTCCGTCCGCGCACCACAGCATCCGTCCAGCAGCGAGGCATCATCCAACCGCGGCCTGCATATCTTATACTAACAACACGCTGCTCTGCCCGGAGGCGACGCACGCCTTATCGATACTTGTCGAGGGCTCCAGCAGGCGTATGCACCGCCCAAGTCTAAAGTAAAGCTCTTGCAGCGCCCTGCTCCCGCTCCAGCGCTCCCCGACAGGCGCCCCATCAGGTACCAGCCTTCCAGGTGCTGGTACCACCGGCCCAGTGCAAAGTCTCCGCTTTGGGAAGGGTTCCCCATACGTACAAGCCTCCCAAATCCTCAACCTCACCTCTCGATCCGCAGACAAACCAGCCGATCGCGATCCATCAACACTGGCCCAGTTCATCTCCGGCCGTCGCGATTTTCTGGCCTCCATCTCGCCCGATGCCGCTCCTTCGGCCCATGCCGTCTTGAGAAGCTCGTTCGCTCCCGGTCCGCCCGCACGCGAGCGCATCTGTTGGCGCATGGCGAAAGGGGCCCTGCTGTCGCTTCCATCGCCCGGGGCCCAATATGTCGGTTTCTAATGGCCAGGCCGCCTGGCCGCCGCCCGGACTGCATCATTCCAGCAGCAGCAGAAGCCTGCAGGTTGCAGACGATGGAGTGGCGCGTATCGCGACCCCCGTCGACAACTCGATGGTGTTGATGCCTGAGGCAACCCTTGATGTCGAGGACGAGAGGCGACGCGCCCATTTCGCAGACCTGTACCAAAAATCCGAGGAGAAGATCGCTTTGCTCTTTGCCGACGACGGGTCCTACAATCTCAACGCGATCGAGTCTCTCCGCCGCTACCCCCCCACCCCTGCCGTCACCCTCCCTCCAACCACCGACCACGATCCTATCAAAGAGCCGCCGCTGAAGAAAGCGAAACGTACAATAGACGAAGATGATTATGACGACGACGACGAAGATGAAGATGACCAGGATGCCTCGTCTGCCGTCCACAAACCTGCGGCTGCGACTGCGGCGACCGCCGCTTCCAACTCACTGTTATCGCCATCCAAGTCCGGTAGCTCTCCGGTGCAGTCCATTACCTCCCCCGGCAGGATAGCAGACAAAACGAGGTCTCAGGATGGATCGCAAACCAAGGGAAAGCCAGAAGACGACGCTATCAAGCAGCTCGAAGACGCCAGGAAGGCGACAGAAGCCGCCGCCCGGCGAAGCTTTCATACAATCATATATACCCTTGAGAATGACCGAACGGCAATGCTTGAGCAGCAGCAGCTGGAAGATTCGGAGAAGCAGCTACAGGCAGAAATGGAGAATAACAACAGCGCAAGTGCGACGGGGCCGCAAGCAGCGAATCAGGGCTCCCTCAGCAGCGCCAATCTTGGCGCTTCAAGTCTCACACTCAAGCACCTCATTGCGAGGATAGATATGAAGAGAGACCAAGTCAAGGCCTCCGACGCCGAACTCAGGCTCTTGATGAATGAAGTGCGAAAAAATCGCAGCAAGTGGGCAAGCGAGGAGAATGTCAACCAGGAGGAGCTCTACGAGGCCTTGGAAAAGGTTTTGACGGAGCTGAAAGCGCATACCGAGTATTCAACACCATTTCTCACCCGCGTTAACAAGAGGGATGCTCCAGACTACTATAACTGTACGACCAGCTTCCGCGTTTCCCTCGTACATGTACTGACATTGTTCTAGTCATCAAAAACCCGATGGATCTTGGCACCATGACTAAGAAGCTGAAGTCGCTGACTTACAAGTCAAAGACCGAATTCGTGGTTGACCTCAACCTGATTTGGGACAACTGTCTCAAGTACAACCAGGACATGAATCACCCGCTCCGCCGAATGGCTAATGGCATGCGGAAGGAAGCCGAAAAGCTGATACCTCTCATTCCGGACCTCACCATTCGTTCGCGCGCCGAGGTCGAAGCTGAAGAGCGACGGAAGCAAAACGGCGGCGAGGACGACGGCGGCGAGGACTCCGATGACGAACCTATCATGTCTTCTCGTGGTCGTAAGGCCACTACTAAGGGGGCCAATAAGTCTAGGAAGGCTCCTAATGATCCCAAGGAAGATACCCCGGTGGTTGACCAGAAGCCCATCCTACAAGTGAACGGACTCCTGGGGAAGCTAGGCCGCGAGGGCTCGGAATTGGACGGAAGCAATGGCTTCGCAACACCTCCTATCGGCGGCTCCATCACTCCTGGCGCGGCTAATGGGCCATCTGGAATCACCAGCAACGCCGATGCCATGGATATCGACGGTCCAAGCATCAATGGTATGAGTCTGAACCAAGCCTTTGGCCAGGCTGCGGAACAGGCCTACGAAGATGAGGAGTACAAGATATGGAAGCAGTGTACAAAGAAAGACCGGGCTTTGGCTGCCAAAGAACGCTTCCAGCTCTTCAAAGACAACAAGCTCAGCGTGGACGCTCCCGCCTTACTCAGAACCAAAGCTGGGATGCGAAGGTTTCTGGCTCGCCAAAAGGAAGCAGAGCTGACCAATGGCACTGAATCTGACGCGCCCGCAACTGCTACCAAAACCGCTGGAAGCAAAGCGCCCGAGACGTTGGCCGAAGGCATCGAAGAGGAAAAGGAGCAAGTTCTTCCGGATTATTACACCCCCATGAGTAACATCCCAGATATCCCAACCAAGATGCAATGGGTCGAGGATGGCGAGGGCCAGGTGATTAACCAGCACGAGGAGTTCCTTCGCCTTGTGCCGCCCGGCTCCTTTGTTGCGTCGCAGAGTAAATTGACGAAGAAGATGGATGAAAACATTCACCAGATACAAGAGACAAGAAAGCTGGCCATGAAGATTTCCGTTATCAAACAGATGCAGGTCCAGTCACAGGTAAGCACCCGGCACCGTGATAGTCGTCTTCTGAGGATGGAAACTGCAGGCTCACACTTCACAGGTATATACGAATCAGTTTCCCAAATCAAATGCAGAGCCGTTCAGAGAATTGGACGTAGAGCCCCATTTCATCTCAGATGATGGTCCGGTCATGGCACCCAACACCTGCCAGAATGCTCTGAAGCGCTCTATCGCAAAGATACTTTACACCACTGGGTTTGAAGAGCTACAGCCATCCGCCATGGATGCCTTCACGTCTATCGCAGCCGACTACTTCCAGAAGCTGGTCAGAACGTTCAATGTCTACCGAGAGGCTGAGAAGAAATCAGTCCAGATTGGTGGCGAGACGGTGCTGCAGCCACGCTTTACGCCGGAGGAGGTAATTCTTCACACTCTGGATGAGAATGGTCATGACGTTGCGTCCCTGGAAAGCTACGTCAAAGACGACGTCGAGAGATTGAGCAGCAAGTTGGGTGCTTTGCATGATAGGATGAAATCCCACCTGGCGGATCTCCTCCGCCCTGCCCTTTCTGCGGATGCTGGCGAAGACGGTGCTGGCGCCTTTAACGACGGCAGTGACCAGTTCACTAGTGGAGATTTCGCCGAGGATCTGGGAGAAGACTTCTTCGGCTTCCGGGCTCTTGGACTGGACAAGGAAATGGGTCTCGACTTTGTGTCTGTGCCGTTCCATCTGCTGCAGAGCAGAGTGCGCAGCCAGTACCAGATGCAAACACAGGCTTCTGGTGGATCGAGCAGCGAAATATTTGAGCCACTGCCCATCTCGGAGCCTGTCAACAAGGAGAACATCCAGTACCAGATTGGCCTGGTCAAGAACTTCTTCCTCGCCAAGCTCCATGCTAACAACGATGCACCGTTGGTTGAGGATGAAGACTTGCCGACCAAGCAGCGCAAACCGCGTCCTCGTCTTGGTGCCAGCGGTAAAATCATATCGGCTCAGAAGCGTCCGCCAAAGGAGCAGTTGGCGCTCGCCAAGAAGAAGAAGAAGTTGGAGGCTGCTGCAGCCGAAGCTCGACTGAATCCATCCCCCGACAAAGCGGCGGCAGCAGCAGCAAACGCAGCTGGAGCGAAGAAGAGGCCGACGCCCACGGCCAACGGCAATGTGCCCAACCCTGCGCTTCTCGCACTCGCACCGAGCATGGAGCGGACGGACAGCATGCAAAGCCAGGGCGGCATGAGCCAAACTGACAAGGACGACACCACTGGGATGATGAGCCCAGAGAGCATTGCCCAGTAACAACGCTCGATCGCAACGACGAAGCGTATGGTTTCGGTTTATACGCAACGCATAGCTGCTTCCATTTTGTTTGCCAGTGCTGTAGATGCACAAGACGCTGTGGCGTTTTCGATACCAAAAGAGAGAAAATTCTGGCGCAAGAGATTGCTTTCTTCGAATATACCGGCCTTCTTGCCTATATCCATGAGCAGACACACCCATTCTACTCATCTTGCAGGACCGCCAAATCTTGTCTTGACGCATATCCGATGCTCTGATGTTTTACACCCTTAATGATCTCTATTCTTGCCTTACCCCCATTCAGGGTTAGGCAGGGACTCATCCTTCTCTTCTTTTACTTCTTCACCTTTCTTGGAACCTTTACTCTTCTCAGCTGTCCTTACGAGATGGCCGACATTGAGGCTTTGTTTGTGGCGTTTAATAGGATCTGAGGTGGACAGGATGCCTTGGCTCTTCACGAAGGAGAGGGCCGATTTACCTTACGACGAATCACGCGGGCGACGATGCGCCTCATCTCGTCAAAGGAGAGGAGAGACGAACCCGAGGTTGAAACAGCACTCCTAAAACAAATTGCGTGCTGAAACCTCACCATCGCTGCAATGGCTATGAGGCCCGAGATGAAGCCGAACGCCAAAGGAAAGCGGGGGGTGGAAAAACGAAATAACGTAACGATGGGTACGGAGGGATGTGTGGATGATATGATGCAATTGACCGGAGGCGGCAATTCTTGGTTCTTCTTTTCTTCTCTTTTCTTTCTTTCTTTCTTCCTTCTCCCTTGCCTTCACAGAGTATGATTCTGTACTCTTCGTCTTGTCTTCATTTCTTTACTGCAACCCAGTCGACACCCTCCATTAAACCTCGGGGGGTTTTCTCCTACTTCTATTTCTTCTTTTTTCGATCTTGGGTCGGTGTGGTTTAAAACTGTCCTTTCTGGTACACCTCGGGTTTTAGATTACCTTAAGTATCAATATACCTTACCTAGTTTTTATTGATCACCACTATGAGGGATGTCTTTGTCTACTGTTTACTTGATGCCTTTTCTTCCCCATGCCCCTCTTGTGGTTTGCTTGGGCCATGTGGTAGGTAAGATGTATGTCGGCGGTTTTATATGAAGAAAATGAGACATAGCGTGAGCGTCTAGGACTAGATTGAAGTAGTTTTGCCTGATTTGTGTTGCTTTGCTTTTCCCTCTGGATGATGTCCTTTCTAATGTCTTCCTGATCTTGGTCGTTTCTGTATTTCAATGGTGCTGGCTACGATCTTGATACCTTAATTTGTTGAAATTGAGCGATTGTGTTGATGGTTCAGATGGGACAGGAAATCATACCCAGCTAGTGCAGGATGAAGGCAGTGAGGTCATTTGAATAGGTTTGAGGGAGAGGAGCGGAATAAATAGGAACTCAACAGCATCCATGTCAGTTGCTACGCTGGACCAAGCCAATTGGGATAAACGCAAGGAATAGACGGAGATAAACCCTCAAATATTATTTCAGAGTGAAAATAGCCATCACAGACGCATGAGAAAGTCACCACGTATGTCGTTACAGAGAAGAATATGTCTTTTCTTGGATTTCTGTAAAAGCTGACCTACTTGTTGAAGCAGGATAGGACCCTCCCTATACCAACCGACGTTGAAATGCCGTTGATACTCAGGATCAATGGCAAAAAGGGTTTTGTATGTAAGTGTCCTGTTGATATACCCAGTCAAAACTCCTCCACCCGCCTCCCACTCGGTTCCGGTTGAAATGGAAAGAAATCATAACGCATGCGCCAGCCCTCATGATATAACTAAAATTGCAAAGTTGTTGAACCTTTCGCCGATTTTTTGGCTTTTTGTCCCATCCCATGTTAAATGCCCCAGTGGACCCGATCTTTTTGATTTTCCACGTGTTTAAGATTTTTGGTATCTTTTGTCCTTTATGAAATTGCAGAGTGATGTCCATCAAGTTTCATGAAACTGGATGACGGACAGACCAGTTTGTTTGCTAGCATCTTGCAATTAGATGCCGGCATCCAGGCGCCAGCCCTCAACGGGAAGAGGGAAGCTGCTGGCCCAAGCAGCAATCTCCTTCTGGAGCTCGCCGAGCTTGGCAACCTTGCCGCTGGTGACCTCGGCCTTGAAGTCCTTGAGCTTGTTGTTGGGCTTGGGCAGAGAGGCCTGGATCTCGACGCAGAGCTTGATGGCCTGGTCAATGTAGAGGGCGACGCGCTCAAAGTCCTTCTCGCCGAAGCCACGGCTGGTCATGGCGGGAGTGCCAATGCGGATACCGCAAGGAGTCAGGGCGCTCTTGTCTCCGGGGATGGCGTTCTTGTTGCAGGCAATGTTGATCTGCTCAAGGACGGTCTCAACACGGGCACCGTCGAGGTTGAACTGACGAAGGTCGAGCAGGACCATGTGGCTGTCAGTGCCGTCGGCAACAAGCTTGTGGCCGAGCTCCTTGAACTTGACCTCGAGGGTCTTGGCGTTGGAAACGACCTTCTCCTGGTAGGCCTTGAACTCGGGGGTCTGAGCCTGCTTGAGGGCGACAGCCAGAGCGGTGATGGTGTGGTTGTGGGGGCCGCCCTGGTGGCCGGGGAAGACGGAGAAGTTGATGGGGTCCTCCAGGTCGTAGAGCGTCTCCTTGCCAGTCTTAGGGTCGACGGAGCGGACGCCCTTGCGGAAGAAGATCATGGCACCACGAGGGCCACGGAGAGACTTGTGGGTGGTGGTGGTGACAATGTCAGCCCACTGGAAGGGGGAGGGGATGGCCTCGGCGGCGATGAGACCGGAGATGTGAGCCATATCGACAACGAGGTAGGCGCCAACAGAGTCGGCGATCTTGCGCATGCGCTCGTAATCAATCAGACGGCAGTAAGCAGAAGTACCGGCGACGAGGACCTTGGGGCGGTACAGGAGGGCGTTCTGCTGGAGCTGGTCATAGTCGATGATGCCGGTCTCCAGGTTGACACGGTAGGGCATGGTCTCGAAGTAGGTAGAGACAGCAGAGATCCTGCAGGGCGCTGTTAGTCAAAAGAGCCTTCTTTCCTCGAGCGCAGAAACACAGCCGTCAAAGCCGTGTTCAGCCAATGCTGCTCAGTCTCAAGCTTACTTTCGCTGGGGAGTCTGGTAACCGTGGCTCAAGTGGCCACCGTGGGGGAGGTCAAGGCCCATGAGACGGCCGTGGGGAGGCATGATGGCCTGGTAGACCTGGAGGTTGGCAGGGCTGCCGCTGAGGCACTGGACGTTGACACCCCACTTGGCCGGGTCGAGGTGGAAGGCCTCGAGGGCACGGCGCTGGCACAGCAGCTCGATCTGGTCAATGTGCTGGTTGCCGCCGTAGTAGCGGGCGCCGGGCAGACCCTCGGAGTACTTGTTGGACATGGGGGAGCCCAGGGCATCGAAGACGGCGCGGGAGGTGATGTTCTCGGAGGCAATGAGAACAATGGACTCGCGCTGACGCTGGACCTCATCTTTCTGCAAGGCGTATTAGTGTCAGTCCAGCTGGGCCCGCCAGAGGAATTTGGAGGGGCAGAGGGAGTGTTACGCACCATGATGGCGGCGACCTCAGGGTCAGACTCGAGAAGAGACTTCTCAAGCATCTGTAGAGCAGCATTGAATCAGTACAGCTGGTCCATTGAGGCAGACAAAGACGTCCAACGAACCTCCTTGTGAGACGCGGGCAGAGCGTAGGTAGACATGGTGGGGGATGTGGATGGTGGGGTGACAACAAGAGAGAGGATGGATGATGGACGAGGCAATTGAGGCTGTCTGGAGAGAAGAAAGAGAAGAGAAGAGAAGAGGGAGAAGAGGAGGAGAAACGGTTGAAGATAAGGAAGACGGCTGAAGAGAAGAAGGAAAGGTGACGAGAGGGAAAAAAATGCGCCGACTAAATTTTCCGTGGCGCTCAGCAGGAAGCAGTCCTGAGAAGTGGCCGAAGAGGGAAAAAAAAAATTGTAGCGCAGGCAGATAGAATAACGGGCGAGATCGGATAGCGGGGAGTCGCAGTGGGGTAAGGCGGTGTGGATTGGCCCAGGTGGTGGGGATTCGGAGATCAGTGGATGGGCGGGACTCAGCGAGTGAAGGGCCCTGTAGAGCGATGCCTGGGGGCCTAGATGCCCTGTGGGAGGCCCTGTGTTTCTCACCCGACGATCACTGGCCGCGTCGCCACGCCTTGCACCGTCTGAGCATAACGCGGCGCCGCCGTCGTTAAAGCTGTTGTCATTCTCGTGTGTCGCAGCTAACAGGAAAGAGTCATTTTGCGTGGGTTGGCTCTGTTACTACTGGACATGCGACTACTTGTACATGGTACTGCTCTTTCTCATAGACTGGCCGGTTACGCCAATGAGGATTGGGGGGGAGTAAGCAAAGCAAGGCCCTGCATGGAAGGACGATAGAATGCAGCTGCAAAGTCCGAGGGAACGGGATGGCTTGGACGCTGGCGTCGGACTTGCAATTGCTTACTGCAGATGCGGAGGATCGTTACGACCAGGTTCAGACGCTCAAGATGCATCGACATACTCCGTGCTGCGTCTATGATACTCCGGCTGGACCTCGTCTGAGTCAGCTGCTGCCGTGGCCAAGGCAAGGACTCTAGGTATCGAGTGACTGGTCCTAGAGAAGATAACAAGGAGCCAATCATCATCACTGTATAAGTAGGTAGTCTTCTCAATTCAAGGGACGTTGATTCTGTTCGCTTCCTCCTCCCTCAATTGATTACCTACGGTACTTAGTAGACTTCTGTGAGAGTACCTAAGAATGGCAGACATCAAGGTACACCAAGGGTCCTCTTGTTCACATGCACACTCCAGGTCGCTCAGGATGTGGCTGAATTCCTCCCCCACAAGCCACACACAATGCATACCATGTCGTGGCGCATCACCATACCTACCAACTGTACCAGACCCCCAGCCCAGGGATGCGCCTCCTCCACCAACTGCAACCACTTTGCCATCTGGTGTTAGTCGTCATCACATCACCATGCATCACTCCAAACCCGTAAAACCATACTGAAAAAAAAAAAAAAAAAAAACAAATAAAAAAAAGACACAAAAAAAACATCGACGAAAGGAACAGAATACAATAGAGCCTAGGTACAAACATCAAACACCGGCTCAACCATGGGCTGGCCGTACCACTTCCTCACCCTCTCACAGCAAGACGTCCTCCTCCGCCGCCAAACCATCGACCGCTACGCCCTCATCGCCCACCTCGCCGCCCTCGCCCCGGCCCTGCTCCTCACGCTCCTCCGCCTCGCCGTCCGCGCCGCCGGCCTCATCCCCCGCAACGGCCACAACGGCGGCGACGGCGGCCGCGGCCGCTATTCGCACGTCCCCGGCTCGCCCACCGTCAAGGCCCAGCGCAGCTCCGGCCTCGGCCTGCTGGCGGCGAGATGGAGGGCCCTCAAGTGGTGGCTGGGCGACGACGTGGTGGTGAGAGGCGTGCAATGGGGACAGCGCGATGAGTGGCTGTTGGGCCTTGTCTGGACCGGCGTGCTGCTGGTTCTGTGCGTCTTGGAGACCGGTCAAGGTAAGCCGTGGCCTCTCCTGATATCGACACTCAACGTGTGAATCTCACATGAGATCTCACCCATATATATATATATACCTAAGCCTTCATAACAGCAACTCAGCATCACTAACATTCACACCTCCTCCCAGACTACCTCCACCTCACAAAACGCTTCGGCTCAATCGCAATCTCCCAGCTCCCCATCCAGTACCTCCTCTCCCTCAAGGCCCTCAACCCCTACGCATACGCCTTCGCCTCCTCCCACGAGCACGTCAACCGCTACCACCGCGTCCTCGGCCGCGTCATCTTCGCTCTCATCATCGCCCACATCGTCTTCTACAACGTCTTCTTCGTCCTCTCCGGCCTCTGGCTCAAGCGCTTCTTCGCCCCCGTCGTCTTCTGCGGCGTCCTGGCCGCCGTCGCCCTCCACGCCCTCATGGGCACCGCCCTTGTCCGCGTCAGGACGCTCTCGTACCGCATCTTCTTCATCACCCACTTGGGCGTCGCACTGCTTACCCCCGTGCTGCTCTTCTTCCACGCCCACTCCGCCCGCTTCTACGTCGTCGAGAGCCTCGTCGTCTTCCTCGTGGACATTGCAGTTCGCAAATTCGGCATGATCACACACACAGCCTCTACAGTCGAGATTGTCCCAGGGACAAACCTCATCAAAATTACCGCGCCCATGCCTGCCCACAAGATCGAAGACTTCCGCTCCCGCCCAGGCTCTCACGTCTACCTCAGCCTGCCCCCCGAGGGCAGAACAAGCAATCATCCGGTTTCCAAGTCATTCATCTTCGACCTCCTCTTCAACCCCTTCACCGTCGCCGCCGCCAGCCAGGATAACCAAACCATCACCCTGGTAGCCAGAAGGCGAACCGGCCCCATGACCAACATGCTCTCCCAAGTCGCCTCCTCTTCATCCTCCTCCTCCTCCTCCACCACATCATTCCCCCCACAATCACCATACCCAGGGGACCATGCCACCAACACAATCACCCTCGCCATAGAAGGCCCCCACGGCGCCATAGGCAAACAATTCCAGCACCTCCTCGCATGGGGCCCCTCCCGGACCCTCCTCGTCGCAGGCGGCGTCGGCGCCACCTTTGCCCTCCCGCTCTACCACGCTCTCCGGCGCGACCTCGCCTCCTCCTCTCCTGCCCACGTCCACTTCGTCTGGGCTATCCGCTCCGCCGCCGACGCAACCTGGGCCATGGCCCCCAACTCTAGCAGCGACGACAATGAAAAATCTCTCCTGGACGACGACAACGTCCACCTCTACCTCACAGAGAATCTCATGGGCAACGATGCGTCGTCCATCGAGCTGCAAGACATGCGCGGCAGCAGCAGAAACAACAAAAACAGCCGACGGCCCAACTTTCAAAAGATTGTCGACGACCTCTTCCGTCACGGTGCGGATGAAAAAGTGGCCATCCTCGTCTGCGGGCCGGATGAGATGGCGAGGGATGTGCGCCGACGGGTCGGGCCGTGGGTCTTCAAGGGCCGCGAGGTGTGGTGGCACAACGAGAGTTTTGGATGGTAGATGAATAAACCAGATGAGAGGAACTGGAAGACCTATAGACAGGGAACAAGAAAGAGCCGGGGCTATAATTACATGATTATTCCTTCATAGATATCATAGCATGGTTATTTGCTCGTCGATGATGCACATGCAAAACAGCTTCACACAAACTTCACAAAGCATTTCCCTTGATCGCGCAGACTTGGACCATGTCAAAAATGTCATGAATACCTATTTTGACATCACGCCTCTCCTTTCTCGGTTAAGACCCTCTGCAGACCGTCTGTCCAGCTCTAGTCCCGTTAAAAGAAAAAAAGAACGCAGGGCAAAATCAGTGTTGAAAAGGAGCAAGAAAGGAGGCCAGCGAATCCAAGGGGGTACATCAAGCCTATTGCCTCAGCACCGGGCGTCTATCTATCCTCCTCGGACGTCGTCATCAGACTCCGCAAATGTCCTCGTCCAAAGCAAAATATAAAGCAATTGAGTTTGGCCTCCGTGTGGTATCAGAATTCGAAATAAACCCATCGTCAATCAATCAATCATGCGGTTAAAGCTCCCAGGACGCATCCGCAAAAGGGTGGGCAGCAAACGCAAAGCTATGAGAAGAGAAGAAGAATCGAAAAAGAAAGGGAGATGACTGGCCACGATTATTGGCGATAACGAGCCAGCTGGGCCATGATGTTCTGCACCTGAGTCGCTGCGTCGCCGGTGCCTGCGGCCTGCGGTGCAACACCCACGGGAGGGACGGGTGCATGCTGGCCACCACCGTAGGGCACGCCGTACGGCATCTGGGGATGCGCTCCATGGTGCTGCTGCGGTGCTGCTCCTCCGCCAAGAGAGCCCAGTATCGCCTGGAGATCAACTGGCGCGTGTGCATTGGCCGCTGGCGCAGCCGGCTTAGCTAGTCCGCCGGGCATGGCTCCCGCAGATCCGGCCTGAATGGTGGACAGGAGCCTCTGCAGCGTGTTGTTGTCCACCTGGCCGATGAGCGCCGCGAGGTCGGCGGCTGATGGCGTGGGCTGCGGTGGATACGAGCCGGGCTGCTGCAGACCAGGATACGCAGCTACGTGAGGGGGTTGCGGGACCTGTGCACCATACTGCTGCGTCTGCGCGGCATATCCGCCGCCTCCTCCATATGGCTGGCCGTAGCCCGCTGTGCCAGATGCCTTGGCTCGCAGGATGACCTCGGCCGCTGTGCTGGGCTCCAGGTCGACGTATTGCTCGAAGCGGACGTTGTGGATGCCGCCAGACCGATCGAATGAGTGAACGGGGATCCGGCCCACGCTCTGGGCGCGGACATCCAGGTCTACAACCCCGTGCACACCCTCGGCCGCCTGTCGTTGGATGACCTGGTCCTTTGGAAACCGCGGGTGAAGATACATGACGTTGGTCCTCAGTCCTTTGGCCTTGAAGGCTCCCTCGACCCAAGTGCCAAAGTCCCGGTTAACGTCTGGCTGCATAATGATTTGCACGTCTGGAACGTCTGCACCGTATCGGCGCGGTAGATCAAGCTCCGGCTCATGCCGCGCCCGATTGTAGGGGCTGGGGCTTCTCCTGCGGTAAGAGTCCTTGTCGTTTCTGGCATACCCGTTGGGAGATCGCGAGCGGCCACGGTCTCTGTCCGAGTCGTAGTATCCTCGGTCGCGGCCGTAGGCATCGGTCCTGTTGCCCCTATCTGCTCTACCATAGTATTCGTTGCGACGAGGCGAGTGATTGCGCGGTGGTCGGTTATCGTCACGGAACTTTTCCCCTCTACGGCCAGTCTCGCGTCCTCGAGTCCGTTCCGAACTACGGTTTCTTTCCTTCTTGGACTTATCCTGGAGCCGGGAGATTTCCAAATCTGCCCAGTGGTTAGAATCGATGTAGTGTTCATGAAGACAGGGGGAAACAGAAAGAGATAGGTGGCCAAGCTTGGCGGACAATTGGGCAGCCACTTACGAATGCGCCGGCCTTTCACTTCCATGCCCTGGAGGTGTTCCAGAGCGTTACGGCCTTCCTCGACAGTGTGATACTGAACGAAGCCATACGCCGACTTGAGAGAGATCTGGGCCAGCCTACCATATTTGTGGAATATGTCAAACACATCACGCTTTGAAACCTTGTCGCTGGAAAGATTTCCTACAGGAATCATTAGCATGTACGAGCGCGTATACACTTGGAAGGTTGGAAATGGGAAGCAACACGAGAAACTGAGGCAAAGTCACTAACCAATGAAGATGCGGGAGCCTTCTGGGAACCGATCCCACTTGGCCTCCGACATGTACTGTCGCTCATCGGCCATGAACTGATCCCACTGTCGCTGATAGTCCGCATCTTGGGATCGATCAACATGGTATCCGGGGGTTTTGGAAGCATGGGAAGAAGGCTTCATGGATGATGCAGCAGCCGAGTTCATGGCCGTGGTAGGATGGGGTGGGAGTGTCCCCAGAGCTTCAGTCGAAGTTCCAGGGGCACCAGCATGAGTAAAAGTGGAGGGAGCGCCGGCGCCTCCTGAGACATTGGAATTGGCTCCGGGAGGATGGTGCGAAGAAGCATACGATGGGGGAGCGGCTTGCGGCAGGGGAGGGCGCGGCGGGAGAGACGAGGAAGATGGCAGAGCAGTAGGAATTGTGGTAGTGTTGGCAGTAGTGGTTGAGGGGATTGGGTTGGATGCCTCCGGGACATCAGCCGTCGCGCGAGGAGCCGGCGTTGGGTCAGGGTTCTCTGGGCCGGACTCAGCGGGATGGGCAGTGAGGTCGGCCACGAGCTGTTGGATGTCAAGGGATGAAGAGGCCTCGGAGGCTCGCCTGGCAGGGCCAGCTCCGGGCGGCGTGGACTGAGCCACGGACTGGATGGGAGAGGGTGCATCGCTCGACTGCGACATGGCGGACTCAGGGCCGGCTGCGGGCTGTGCGGTAGAGAGAGATGGGTTCTGAGCAGCAGCTGGGACAGCAGCAGACGCGGATGGATCAGCAGCGGGATGAGAGACGTCTGATGGGCGACTAGTCAAATGCTCGGCTATAATGGATGATGATGAGATCTCGTTGGATTCTCGTGGTACTGATGATACATCTTGGTCTTCCCCCTCCTCGGGGCCGATAGGAGAGTCAAACGTCTTGGCGTAGTCGTCGTTGTTGTCGACGAGCTCCTGCCGCGGCGGCTCTACGGCCACGTCCTCTGTCTCTTCGCCGTAGGCATCGCTGAAGCTGTCATCATCTACGACCTCGTCGGGCTCACCAGCAGACGCGAGGGAAGGATCGATGGCAGGGGCGTCGGCCGTCCCGCCGGGAAGCGACGCAGCAGCAGCAACCATGGCGTCGATGGTATCGACCGTGTGCTGCAGCGCTGGCACCACAAGAGGCGCGGCCGAGTGGACGGGCGAGGGGGAGACGGGCGAGAGGTTAGCAGTGGCGTGCAGAGTGGCTTCGGGTTGTAGCTCCGGCTCTGGCATGGACGTTTTGGGGGATTCGCTGGCTAGGTGAGGTTCAAGGGAGCGAAAGGCTGGACAGTTGGCATCCGCGCAAGAGGCGAGGCTGTTATGGACAAGCTGTTGCCGGCGGCAGAGAGAGGGATAATGATCACCTGCTTGCTGGTCGACGATGGTTCGATGTGGGGCTAATTGTTGAGGTGTGTGCGCAAGGATCCTCTGAAGCTGCAGGGAGAAAAGCTAGGAGTGTACTCGTAGTAGTAAGGTAGTAGTAGTGGTAGCAGTAGCAGTGGTAGTCTGGCGGTGGTGGTAGGAGGAGATGGAACGATTCTGCTGCTTTTTTGCGACACGGGTGAAGCGTCCGGCTACGAGAGACTGGCGTCAAGTCACTGGATTCGAGCAAACGCCCTCGGCGCTGCGGGACGGAAGACGAAGACGAAGACGAAGACGGAGACGGAGACAGAGACAGGCGGCAAGCCGTGACTGAAATGCGCCGCACCGTGGTGAGGCTACGTGGAGGAGAAGAGTCGAGGGTTTGGCGAGAGTTTGCTGAGGGAGAGGAAGCAGAAGCAGAAGCAGAAGCAGAAGCAGAAGCAGAAGCAGAAGCAGAAGCAGAAGCAGAGGTAGAAAAGCCGGGCAAAGCTTTGCTGGTGTTATTACGGCAGAAGGAGCCTCAGATTCTGCCACCTTGGCTAGTCCGCTTTGGGCCGACAGTGCGGGGCCTCACCTGAGGAAGAGATAAACCGGACTGAATACCTTTGCTTTGATTCCTATTACTGACTGGCCTCTTCAAGTTGTAGCCTTTCCACGATTATCACGTTGTCAATGATTTGCATTTTGTCTGTTACAAGAATCTTTTGACCATTGTCTATCTTCGAAGATCCCTTCTCTTGCCGGGCTGTTGCTTGGGAGACATCGAGGGGCTGGCGCTGCGAACCACCAGATCTGCGAGACATGCACTGATAAGGCACGATTAAGCATCTCGCTGGGGCCGACATATGAGATGCCATATCCATATCACACCTGATTCCTGCACCTGAACCAAGTATCAATCACAATGTTTCTCCTATCTCGTCTGCCAAAAAGAACGGCCTTGTCTGCCGTCGCGCCGCGGCAACCGAGGCTGTCGTTGGTATCCTCTCAGCCGGTGAGATTTAAACGCTACGAGGCTTACGATGCTCAGCTGGACCAGGACGCCTTGGCCGAGGCACGGCTGTGGTACAATTCGTTTGATGCGTCTCAGCTGCCTAAAGGCAATACGACGTATGCAAGGTCCAGCGGTCCTGGAGGCCAGCACGTCAACAAGTATGGAAGCCCCCCTCTTCTACGACTTACGTATCACCTGGAGTAAATGCACGACAGGGTATCTCGATGGCTGACGGCAACCGGCTACGACAGAACCGAAACAAAGGCAATCACAGTAATTCCCGTGAAAGAGCTTCTCGCCGTTCTCCCCAAATATCTCCATTCCGCAGTGCGGTCCTCCAAGTACTACACTGCCGGCAATGACTCTCTCACATTCTCGGCGCAGGCTCATCGGTCAAGATCTGCCAACCTCGACGAGAACCGAAGGAAGCTCATAGACGAGGTCATGGGCATCTACCGCCAATTGACTCCCGCCGAGACCAGCGCCGAGAAGAAGAAGAAGCACCAGGACATGTAAGTGCGCGCTCTCGTTGTCAAAACGGGTTGAATGTGCTAATATGCCACAGAGAGAAGCGCTTTCATGAGGCGCGAGTCCAGGACAAGAAATACAACAGCGCCAAAAAGCAGTCGCGCAGAGGGCCGCAAGAATAATAGCAAAGTCCATTGGCACTCTGGATTCCAAATAACAAATTCTTCAACCATGGGTTGTTGCTCGTTGGATCTGGCTGCCGTGTAAGCTTACACTCTCTTGTCGTCCTCGCCCAAATTTCGAAGCAATGGATTCATGCGCTCAGCTTCCACGGCTATTCTGTATGTAAAAAGGAACAGAGCAGGGCGTGAATCATTCAGTCAAGGGGTACACGCTGACTCGACACAAAGCAAGACCATTTCAGCCGAGTCGTTCTGTAGTCACAAACGGTGAGGGAATCGGATTTACAGCGAGTTGTGCGTCGTAGCCACTACAGTGCAGATGCGCGCACAGGCTTGCTTTCACTCCCGTCAGCTGCATCGCGACGAGTAATCGAAGGCACCCGAAAGGCTGGTTGCTGTACGGATAAGACGCATGGTATTATCAACTGAAACCATCTGCGCGCCTTGTCCAAAATCTCCGTTCATACCTACTATAATAGATGATCAGGTCGTTTTACTATTGGATAACGGCGCCTCCATAATGTCTACAGCTACGGCATTGGGAATATCAATGGTGTCCTAGTCCGAAGCGTTGCGCCGCTGAGTTCAACAACGACCACTGCTTCGTACCTCGTCTAAAAATAAACCGCCTTTTTGAACGGCCACAATCGCCACTTTGATCTGAGTTCAGTACTGTAGCTCGCAGGCTCTCCTGGCAGGTAAAGGTAATACTAAGGTAGCAAGTGTTAAGGCCAAAGATCCGGGGCATGTCTCGACAGCTCCCATATTCCATCTTCAACTGGCAGATGTGGCGAATCTCCCAACCTACCTTACCTATACAGTTGGGACGTTGGTCGCAGCTCCTACTGCCGTCTCTCCCCCATGCACAACGTACAACGCCATGACCTGCAACCTTTGGCCCTTGTAAAATCCTTGCAGCTAGACTCCAAGCGGCCTCTTCTTTCTTTCTCTACTGCTGTGTTTGCCGGCGTCGGCAAGGCAATCAAATGGCCCTGTCAGCCTCTTCCTCTGCTCAGGTCATCAGCCTCTGAAATCGCGGCTTGATAGGCTGCTGCCCGCAGACTCCCAAACCGCTTCTAGTATCCAGGCTTCCCCCTTTGGCCCCTCCCCCACCTGGTTTCAACCTGCAAGACCGCCAAACTACTCCGAACTCCCTCACAGTCAGGCCCTTGAGCCGTAGCCACGAGACAGACTCGATCCCAGAGTATTGCACTCGCCCAGAGTCTCGCAGGGAGTCCATCGAATCTACAGGCATCATCTGCATCACGCCACACCGACAGCGCTCGCCTTGTGCCCCCGTCTCTGCCGCCAGTCCTCCTTCTCCCGCCGCCATTCAAACTTGACGCCTCTCTCTCTCTCTCTGCATTTGAAGTCCGCCGCCTTTCCTTTCCCCCCCATTCTCCCAATCCCTCTCAGTCCCTCCGGCGATCGCGCGCCCGACCTTCACCCACGGGGCGCCCACGATGAGTCGCCAGCAGCCTCAGCAGCAGCCCCAGGTCCAGCCTTGCAGATACAAGGTCGGAAAGACTCTGGGCGCGGGCTCGTACTCGGTCGTCAAGGAATGCGTCCACATCGACACCGGCCGCTATTATGCCGCCAAAGTCATCAACAAGCGACTGATGGCGGGGCGAGAACACATGGTATGCCGAGCCTCGTCTGCGCAAAAATTTCTTTGATATGAGATTTCCAAGACCAAGAGACAGAAGAAAACCGGCCAAAGATTGCTAATCAGTTTGAATTTTGCGAGAGCGACAGGTCCGCAATGAAATCGCCGTGCTCAAAAAGGTCTCCATGGGCCACCAGAACATCCTGACGCTGGTCGACTACTTCGAGACAATGAACAACCTCTACCTCGTCACGGACCTGGCCCTCGGCGGCGAGCTCTTCGACCGCATCTGCCGCAAGGGCTCCTACTACGAATCCGACGCGGCCGACCTCATCCGCGCGACGCTCTCGGCCGTCGCATACCTGCACGACCACGGCATCGTCCACCGCGACCTCAAGCCCGAGAACCTGCTCTTCCGCACGCCCGAGGACAACGCCGACCTGCTCATTGCCGACTTTGGCCTCTCGCGCATCATGGACGAGGAGCAGTTCCACGTGCTGACCACCACCTGCGGCACCCCCGGCTACATGGCCCCCGAGATCTTCAAGAAGACGGGCCACGGCAAGCCCGTCGACCTCTGGGCCATTGGCGTCATCACCTACTTCCTGCTCTGCGGCTACACCCCCTTCGACCGCGACTCCGACTTTGAGGAGATGCAGGCCATCCTCAACGCCGATTATAGCTTCACCCCCGTCGAGTACTGGCGCGGCGTCTCCTCCTCCGCAAAGGACTTCATCCGCCGCTGCCTCACCATCGACCAGGACAAGCGCATCACCGCCCACGAGGCCCTGCAGCACGCCTTCGTCGCCGGCCTCGCGCCCTCGGACGGCGCCGGCGAGAACCTGCTGCCCACCATCAAGAAGAACTTCAACGCCCGGCGCACCCTGCACGCCGCCATCGACACCGTCCGCGCCATCAACAAGCTCCGCGAGGCCCAGAACCTCCTCATGGACGGCGCCCGCTCTCAAGAGCCCGCGCGCAGCCGGGGAGCAGGAGGCGCTGGTGCCGGCAACAACAACAACAACAATGGTGCCGCCGCTGCTCCGCCCAGCACCCGCAAGGACGACAGCGCAATCTCCATGGGCTCCAGCCAGGGCACCGACGGCGCAGACAGCAACAACAACAGCAACAACAGATCCCATCCCGACGATGTCGTCATGGGCAACACGACGGCTCCCGCCAGCGATGTGCCTGCGCTGCTGCAGCCGGGCAACATGGCCAACCGCATCGTGCAAACAAGCAAAGGCCTCTGGAACCCCGAAGCCGCGAGGTAGCAGCCGCAAGCAAGCAAAAAGTCACAAGGCACGCGAAGAAAGAAGTAATAATGAAGGAATGATGAAATCACACGCAACGTTTTTTTTCTCTTTTTTTTTTTCTCTCTTTTGGTGATGGGGACTCTTTTGTGTTTCCTGTGTTTTGATTTGTTACCCCTTTTCTTTCTCTTCAGTTTCGCTCTCACTCCCCCCCTCTTTGTTTTCCCCTCTTCTTTTCTGGACAAAGATTGAAAATGTGTGGGGATGCCATCGCTGGCGCTGGCAGACTGGTCTGATAAATAGCATGTTTCTTTCTCATATATAGAGATCTTATACCTACTTTTTCTCTTATTCATATTGATGCAAATTATAACAAATCAACAACAAATCAACAACGAAGTATGCTATTCACCGAACCTATTGAGAATATCCAATGACGAAGAGAAGCGGGCGAGAGAGAACGGCTCTGAGCCCTCTATCTTCATAGGTAGTTGTCTATTTATCCTGTCGGGGGTCTCCTTGTAGAAGAAAGTCCGAGACATTCTTCTACTCCTACAGAGTCACGGGCAACGGTGGCAGGATGCACCTCATATAAGTCATTCGGCATCAAGAGACTTTGTGTAGAAGCAAAGGTAGACAAGGTTTCGGTTCATTTGTGTCTTTTCATTGTTCAGACAGGGTTTGAGCGAGCGGCATCTTTGGTATCTTTCCGCCACTGGCCTAGTTAACTCTTCATCACCTCTCCGTTCCCCCATATCCATAGGTATCTGGACATCGCCTTCTCCCAGCTCTCATCCCTCATGAGTGCCCATCTCGTGGCTCACTTAGCGAGCGTTCAGTGCATGTCCTCATCCCATCCATCTCCCATGCACGGATTATCTCCTTGGTATGTATACATTACGTACTCTATCGTTTCAAGTACTCCACCCCGCGTTGTCGAATATATGCAGTCGACTCATTTGACGGTTCGAATGGAGGAAGTATTATATCCCTTTTCTTTCCCATGATTCCCGATCCAGACTCCCCTCCCCAGTATTAGATGTTCGGTATCCGGTAACCGTGCGGAACCCAAGACGTAACCCCTCCTCACCAGTAACGGGGGTAAAGAAAAATCAACACCACATGCGCCATTTCGCTGTGCCGATGAATGCCAAAGATGTGTTGGAAAAGAAAATAGCGGCCTGGGCCAAATATTAATTACGGATTTTGGAATCGAATCATAAGCGGGTTCGTTAGCGCTCAGTCACCTGTCGTGGAGGTGACGAGTTGGTTGAAACATAGAAAATCTGTGTGTCGTCGAGCAAGCGGCGACATCCTCGGACCTGGAGACGATATTATCGTGATACGACGACTTCGCTCAGGTCAACGTCCCTAGGAGGAACCTGCCCATCCCAGGCTTGGCCATCGCTGGTCAGGTCCATGACGAACATTCCTGGAACCGAGGCTTCTGAGGCAGTGGGGCTGAGAGTGCCACTGCTGGAGCTGCAGCTGGAGCTGCTGGCGACAGTCCATCCGTCACTGGAGTTGGCTCGGCGATGGTCGATGAAACCGAGGCTAAAGTACTGGCCCGACTCTTCGTCCGCCACCTTGTAGTGTTCACCAGTCTCAACGTACTCGTACTCCCATCGGGTCAGCTTGTCGGCCTGGCGCTGGGGCAACCACCTAGCGCGAGAGGAGTAGTAGAAGGCGGCCGCAATGAGACCACCGGTGACCAGATCGATAGCGTAGTGGTGGCTCAGGTACATGGTAGCCCACCAGACCCAGCCAGCGTATGCCGCAAAGAAGAACTTGAACTGGGGGAAGCAGTGGCTCATGAAGAGGGCTTCGAGAACGGCGTTGGCGGCATGGAGAGAAGGGAAAGCACCAAAGGGAAGCGGAGCATTGGTGAAGTTGGTGGTGTACAGATCAATGCCGAAAATTGCGTCGACGCGAGCCAATCCAGCGGGCGATCCGGGCATGCCGTACGCGGCGGGGACAAGTCCATGTTCGTTCTCATACCATGGCGGCGTGCAGGGGAAGATGAGCTGAATCGTGACGCCGAGGATGCTCATCCAGCCAAAGGCACGCGCAAAGACTGGCGTGGTTCCGGGTGCAGAGAAGATGAAGATGATGAGCGAGCACACTGCGGGAGCTCCAAAGTGAATGATGCCGTAGGGAAGCCAAGCCAGAATATCCAGAATAGGGTGCTTGTGGGCCGAGAGGATGTTGGAAAGGTTGGCGCCGTAGAGAACGTTTTCCAGGGCGGGCAGGATTCGAACCCAGATGTGAGGACGATACTCGGTAGGGATAAATCTGCGGAAACAAGCAAGAGTTAGCAAGACAGTCACCTTGCAGCGCAAATCGTCCAACCGGAGCCAACTCACCGACTAGTGAAAAAGTAGAGCAGCCAGACCCAGATGGGCAGCGACGGAAGGAAGAATTGGCGGGTGGCAGGCATGCAAAGAATCCATGTGGCACCAATGAGGCCAAACAGCTTCAGGGCGGGCGCCGGAGGAGCGATGTAAAGCGAGAAGAGCGTCACCGCGGCCAGGACGAGGTATTGCAGGTCGGACAGACGCCATTGGTGCTTCTGCAAGTCGCGCAGGCCGTCCCAGAAGTTGAAGGAGGTCTGCAGGCTCGTGATGTCTTCGCCGCGATGCGTCGTGTTGGACTTTGCCCGGGGGCGTCGGCGCTGGTAGCGGGCGGGCAGGCGGTTGAGAAAGGCCAGGTTGACGTGCTCCGTCAGCAGAGCCGGCAGCTTGGGCTTTCCCGATCCCAGATCCATCATTGTAGTTGGACGATTCTTTTTTCTTCTTTCTGCTTCGCGTATGCCCCAAAATGCAATGTTCAAAAAAGAGAACCACGGGTCGCTTGATCGTTCAGAGGCGGAGGATTTGTCGCGATTCTTCTCTTGAAGCAAGAAAGCAACGGCTTTTGGTGGAGAGACGGACACCAAAGAAGCAAGAAAGGAAAGAAAAAAAAGGAGTCGTCGGCAGCGAAGCCCGTCGGCAAAAGTATGAATACAGCGGATTACCCCCAAACACTACCTCATAATACCCAAGGACAAGAGAAGCCAAAGAAACCAGTGATTCTTTGAATTTTTGCTTTTGCGCGCAAAAGCCTGAACAGCGTCGCAGCCGAAGCGTGTCGAGAAGATTGACGAGGACGAGCACGTGCGGGTTTGGCAAAACGGTTCGGCGACCAGGGCGAAGGGTCGAGGAGCAGGTTCCACAGGGCGAATTGAGATTGGCAGCGTCGCGGGCTCTGCAGGGCTTTTTGCGTGCGTGACGGGGCAAAAGGCCGCTGTGGACGGTGTTTGACCTTTGGGTCCAAGGGACTGAGAGGCGGAAAAGGCCAGGAGCGCCGCAGGGGAAGCGAGGCGAGGGAAGAGGAGGAGGAAGCACGAGGAGACGAGGCGGGAGGATGGTGGACAAAGGAGAGTGAAGCCGGCCGGAGGAGGGGGACCAGTCTAGTATGTAAAGGTCGAGCAGAGGCGCCGGCGCAGAAGAGAAAGAGGGTCGTCAGTGGCAGCAGTGCCGTGAGGTAAGACAAGGGAATGATGACAAGGTGCAGGAGGGCGGTACGCTATCAGCGGTCTCAGCGGTACCGTACCGGTACGAGGCGCTGGGTACCTCCGCCGGGCGGGTACCGGTACATGCGTCGGTCAAGGACCTGACATTGCAGGCTGAGGCGTGTCGTGTGGCGCAATGCCTGGCACAGCAGCATGGCGGCGGGTTTAGTAGGTACATGTACAGACGACCGCCGGCGCTTGGGCGACGTCGAGCGCTGCAGGGAAGCACGAGGCTCAGCGGCTCAGCGGCTCAGAGGCACGCGTGCGCAGCGGCGGTGCCCTTGGCAGCCTGTACCTTACCTGATGTTAGGTAAGTAAGGTACCCAAGTACCTGTACAGGCCTGCGTCCTTCAAGCTCTTGCCCTCTGTCTCACTCTTGCCTTGCTCTTTCCTTTCTCTCATCTCCTCTCCCGTCCCGTCTTCTCATCGAACGGCCTCTTTCTCCCAGTTTAGCGCGCCTGGACGGGCACCCGGGCCTTTGCGCTGTGCGGCGCCAGGGCCTGGCAACTGGGCAACAGCGGACTGTCGTGCTAGCGGTTTGGGGACAAGTCCCGGAAGCTGCGGCCCAAGGGTACCGGTACTTTTCAGCGGTACCCTGACTTGACCACAGGCAGGTACACTGGCAGCAAGGCTCTTGAGAAACTGAGCACACGCTGTTGATGCTCAGTCAGGGCACTTGCAACACGCACTGGTCTACTTTTTGAATGTCTGAACATGCAGCTTGTCTGTTCATGGAGCTCGTCATGCAAAAACTCAGATTCAATGGACATCTTAAGCCTCGAGTTCAAGTTCGTTCAAGCTCAGCCTTGGAAGCTCCCAAAAGCCAGCCACCGCCGGCTCACCAGGCCGGCTCAGCAGGTACCGGTACACGCCCTCCCCAACGCTCCGAGGCTGGCAGTCGTCGCTCCTCCCCCAAGGACAGGCGGAATCCCTGGACCGTCTTGGCGGCTTGGCCCTGGGCGCCTGATGGTGAAATTGCACAGGGTCAATGAGTGGCTGCTGCTCTTCTGCGGTGGAGACCGCACACGACTTTTGCGACTGTCTGCTGGGCCGAGAGAGCCGGGATTTCCTCGACTTGCGCGCACAATTTTCCTGCCTTTTTCTGCTGGGAGGGGAACAAACGTGGAGGGAATCTCTCTTTTTGGTCCGTTTTTACGGAAAACGGAGTGCGGAACTAGCGAGCAGAAGAAAGATTTTTTTTTTTTTTTTTTTTTTTTTTTTTTTTTTTTATCTTTCCCTTCAACCTCGGCGTTGACGGAGCCCGCCCGGTGCTTTGCTTGCTTTGCTCTCCGAGATGCCAAATGTATTCCTTTGTTTGTCTCTGCAGCGTCCCTTGTTCTTTTGTTCCATTTCTATTTCCCTCGACATTGTTTGTCAAACGCGGCCATGTGGCAATTTCCACGAGAAAGACTTGGTACGCGTAAGTGCAATTTCCATGGCTGGTATTGATTTCACAAGTATCTTTGGCATCATGACTCTGGCATGAATGAGGCCAAGAGCATGTGGAATCGGCTCAACCTCCAGATGACGGACAGACCAATGCTTCCATCTGGAAAGCTTCTTCTATTTGAGGCGTAAAATAGGAACGACGTCGTTGCTAGTGCAGCCCTTTTTTTCTGCTGTAAGCACCTAAAAAGCCATCGGGCTGCCTTGCTTGCTTTGAGCTGTGAGCGCGCATGACGTAAACGAAGTCTTGTGTCTGGGCATGTGCTTGGTGGTCTGTGATGCTACAGTTCACTGCCTCCCATGTCGGGCCGCCGGAGGTTAGCAAAAGCCGACGAGAGCCATTAATCCAAAGCACTCTAGTAGAGAAGTGGTCCGTGGAATTCTCCTCGCTGCGGCATCTTTGGCGGCATACGGGGCGCGGAGGACTCCGTTGGGAGAGAGGAGAAGGGGGGGAGAAAAACGGACGTTTCGGTGCCGGGTCCTTTCTCAGCTCGACCGAGTCCCTTCCTGAGAGTCCGAGTCGGCATTGAGGGGGGACGAAGTGAGCAATGCCGGCCGTGGCGCTTGGATGGCGCCGCTGAGGCAGGACAAGAGCCGAATCCTCGATGCTGGAGGAATCAGCAGGGGCGTTCAGTCGTTAACAGCAGTTAACTGTTGACAGCCAGCATGGGACAGACAATATGAGTACACTCCCCAGCCGCCAAAGGAAGCAAAAGCGGCGATGAAGAGCTGCAGCAATTTGCCAGTTGTATTACTGTAGGTACTGTACGGTCAAAGGTCAAAGGTCAAGCTCAGAGGTCGGATCGTGGTGTTGAATCCAGCTAGAGCGCCAAGCCCGCTAGCGCGCGACAGTCACATTTTCGCCCTCCTTCCCTCCCTCTCTCGTCTCTCGTCTTCCCGTCGTTCTGTCCGTGCGGTGAGCAGCCGAGTCGCCTCCAAGAATGCTCCGTGTCCGCTGACGAGCTAGCGCACGTACGAGTAATTCAAGTCGAATGTGATGCGGGCAGCATCGTGCCATCTTTTTGTGTCGCAAGAGGCCATCACCAACTCGAGGCGCTTACTACTACATAGTACTACTTGTATGCAATACATACATACATGTTCGCGTAGAAGTAGTACATGGATACCTTTGTCTTGGTATCACCGAGACAGCGAAATAAGGATCGGTGGCCTCAACCCCGAAACTGGCTCGGGGATCCCTGCATGTCAGTTCGCATGGTTTTTTCCTCAGCTCCAGGCGCTTTGAAGATCAATTGGAGGACCACGGCCGTTTGAAACGGCACCATGACCGATTCCTACGGGCCAACGGTACCTCTACCAATGACATGCTGCACACAGAGACAGAGAAAATAAGAGAGCGCTGTAATAACCGCGCGCGCGTGTAATACTATCTTCTGGTTCCATTCTCATCGACCCCTCTCAATAGTATCAACGGGCGTCGACCACTTCATCGTCGGTTTAGGCTTCAGAGGTTAATGCCTCCAGAGCTTAGCTGCAACTGGGCTGTGGCGGCCGTCATCTCATCTCACCCGCACTTCCATCTACTAGAGCTGGAGCTATGCTCGTCTCACAGTACCAACGGGTTAAAGGCCACCGAGTGTGATATCCTATCCCCATGATGTGATTCAAGAGACGAGATCAAAGCGAACCTGTATTAGTATCCCGCATGTCATGCCTCTTCAAGATGCAATATCAACCCCCACCAAGACAAACGACTGCAACCAAAGGCCTGATCGCGTGGTCGATGCTCCGCAACTACTAGTACTTGGGACTCTGCCACCCATCTCCCTGATAAGCTGCAAGAAATACGTGTATCAGCCGGCTTGACTCGCTAAAGCTATCGGCGGTAAGAACTGGCAAGCTCGAGTCAAGAAAAAGCCATGCGCCGCTCCAAGTTGGTCCATCGGCCGAAAACCACATGTCCATGGAGATTACTAGGGGGGTCTCAAAAGCGACCGCATTCCCCGTGATAGTGGGACTATCACGGGGGGGTCGTTGAGTTGCAAAAGGACCGTTGATTTGCAAAAAAAAGATACACCACTTATAGTGTGTATGCCATACAATATGATGTACCTCAACAACCACCAATTTTACGATTTCTAAAGTAAAAAGACTACCAGGCTGCTCCTTATTACAAGGCGATGCTAGATCTAAGTAATATAGCTTTTTTTAGAGCAGAAATGATGGTTTTAGAAATCGGTACTTTAATTTATATGGCATGCACACCAAGACTAAAGTATTTTGCGAATCAACAACCCTTTTGCAAATCAACGTGCCCCCCGTCCTAGTGGGGCTAGGACGGGAAACGCGGTCGTTTTTGAGACCCCCCTAGTATTTATTTAGTAGCAGCATCTCTCTGTTCTTCCTCCTACTCTCGTGACCCCCCTGCCCCCTGTTTACGCGCGGGAATCTCGGACAGCATGCAGCTCGCAACGACTTCCCAACCAACGCACGCTCATCACCACCCCGGCTAGGCGAAGAGCAATGCTATGTACTATGTATCAAGAGGTCGGTTATCACCAACCTGGCAGCCCTGCTGCTCTGGGCGGCGGCCTCACTTGCGATGCAGGGCTTTGGACCTGTAAGAGAGAACGACGAGGCAGGATGACGACATTGAACAGTACCGAGCAAACTAGTAATGCGGACAGATTCCAGCCAACAGTTTCCCTGCCTCTTTTTCCTTTTTTTCCTTCGGTGCGACCTTCTTTGGCGTTGTCGTTAGCTCAAGCGGCGGGTTTCTTTTCAGTTTTTTTTTTTTTTTTTTCTTT